AAACCGAGGGACAAAGATATGTTACAGAGAAAATGTGTATGAATACTTACATTCATGTGCTTTTTTGTTTTTGGTAATTTCATGAAACTATCTGTCAACCTTGTCTTTCTATGCCACAGGAACTTGTTTGCAAGCTTTTCAAGGAATAACATGTAAGTTTTATATTTCATGCGCTGACCTTTATATCATATACTTACATATCTTTTCATTTTTCCTTTCTCTTGTGTAATTTATGTTATTTTTGTTTTGATTACTGTCCTGTCCTTGCTCCCTCAGTGGACCAGTTTCTTGTGAGAGCAGCACTAGAATTTGTTCTAAAAGTAAGTTATAATCAAGTATGTAGTTAATGTAAATTACTTAGATCACTAGGCTAATATTGTAACACTCTTGGTCTAACATGTGTAACAACCTAAACTTTTTTTTCTTGCCTGGACTCCTACATTAATTTTAATTCCCTACCTTCTCCATTTATGGAAGAAAAGAAAGGGGCACCTTAATGCTAAAAAAGAAAAGGAGAGAAAAATAATGAAAGAATAGAACAATATAATTTGAATGAATTTCTATTTATTATTGTTATTTCTTGTTTGTGCTTAACTTTTCTGTTGGCTTTTGAATTCTGACCATTTGCTTCCTATTCCAGATGTTAAATCTCTACATATAAATTGTGGTGGAAAACAAACTACCATTGGAGGTGTAACATATGATGAAGATATAGATCCAGCTGGACCAGCAGTCTATAAACAAACTAGATACAATTGGGCATTTAGCAACACTGGTCACTTCATGGATAATGATACCACACCAACACAACTTCTCCTCTATACCATAGAAAATGAAACAAGGCTTTATATGACTGATACTGAGTTGTATAAGAATGCACGTATTTCCCCTGTATCTTTGACTTATTATGGATTTTGTTTGGAAAATGGAGACTATACAGTGAAGCTCCACTTTGCTGAGATATTGTTCTCTGATCATAAAACATATTATAGCTTAGGGAGGCGTCTATTTGATGTATACATCCAGGTAAATGGTTTCATTACTTTTCTAACTAGTTCAACTAAATATTCAACCAAAGAGAAAATATTTTTAACCAATTGATCACTGTTTCCTTTAGGATCATCATCAATCAATGTTTAAATCCTTTTCATAACCATTTTTATGCAGATAAAAACCCATGTTTGCAATAGATTAATATATAGAGAATCACATTAGATAAATAGAATTGACGTTAATAAGTTCATTGATTTCATCTGTGGAATCATTTAATACAATATTAGTTAAAAATATACGTTGTTACTCATTTTCGAACTAGTCCCTGTACCTAAGTTTTAGTCCCTAGTGTTGATATATTTTATTCCTTGTCATTATAACACCATTAATAAAAGTTACTATTCATTTTTAGTATTTTTTTAACAATATTACAATGGTAGAAATCAAAATGTAAGAAAATATTCATGAGATTAAAGTACAAGTTTTTTGAATGCAATGATTAATTTGAAAATTAATCTTACCTATAATGACCGTGTGTGTATTATAACCTACACAATTTCAAGCAAAATTCAAATGGCTTATTTAAATTTGTAAATCACAAAACCCATTTAGGTTTTGTATTTGAAATATTGCAGGGAAAACGAGTGCTAAAGGATTTCAACATTGCAAATGAAGCACAAGGAGTTGGCAAGGAACTCATAAAACAATTTCGTGTTCATGTGAGTAGCAATGACCTAGAGATTCGCTTCTATTGGGCTGGCAAAGGAACAACATATATACCATACAAATCAGTAAATGGTCCTCTTATATCTGCTATTTCTGTCAAGTATGGTGGGTTGTCTTCTAAGTTTTGTTTCTTTTATTGCCACTTCTATGGTATTATCTGACTCATATGGTTCTTGTATAATAATCAAGCAGACTCTACAAGTGGTAAATCTGCAGGAGCTATTATTGCAATTGTAATTGTAGCAGTGATTTTTTTCTTATTGGTTGTTGTTGGCATACTTTGGTGGTGGGGTTTCCTAGGAAAGAAACATTCACTGATGAAAGGTAATTGCAAAACAATTACTTTTGACATGCATTTGAGAATTATCAAGCACAACATTTCCGTTTTGTTCATGGTATTTGACCACTAATTCTAGTTATCTATCTTGCTAATTCTATATAATAAAAGTAACGGACAATTGATGACCAGTTCCAGTATAATCAAAGCGTTGTTACCTAAATATTTTTCTTTTTTCTGACCGAGGAGAGTGAAATAATACATATAATTATCTCTCATTTTGCTTTGCTTTTATTTGTAGAGCTAAGGGAATTAGATCTGCAAACCAGCTTATTTACCTTACATCAAATCAAAGCAGCAACAAATAACTTCGATATTTCCAATAAGATTGGAGAAGGAGGATTTGGTCCTGTCTATAAGGTATCCCAATCATATAATATTTATTGACTTTTGATTTGACGTGTTGTACTTGTGAATATTAATGACTAAATTCATGTTTTTGAAAATTCTGCAAAAATGTATATTGTGATGTAGGGCACTCTGTCAAATGGCACAAGAATAGCAGTTAAACAACTTTCATCTAAATCAGTGCAAGGAACCCATGAGTTCATAAATGAGATAGGCATGATCTCTGCTTTGCAACACCCTTATCTTGTTAAACTTTATGGCTGTTGTGTAGAGGGAGATCAATTGTTGCTGGTATATGAATATATGGAAAACAATAGCCTTGCACAAGCTTTATTTGGTAAATCATTGCTTTATTTGTTCAACTTCACTTGCTTTTTATGCGGCATTTCTATCTTAAAAGTATACATGGTTAAATAAATTGTATCTAATTTATGTTTCACTCACAAAAGGCCCAGAAAATAGCCATTTAAAATTGAATTGGCCAACAAGGCAGAAGATTTGTGTTGGTATTGCTAGAGGTTTAGCTTTCTTGCATGAAGAATCAAGACTCAAAGTTGTTCATAGGGACTTAAAGACCTCTAATGTGTTGCTTGATGAAGACTTGAACCCAAAGATATCTGATTTTGGTTTGGCTAGGCTTAATGATGGGGAAAATACTCACATAAGCACCAGAATTGCAGGGACTTGGTGAGTTTTATATTAAGTTTTTTTTTTTTTTTTTTTTTTGGTATAAGTAGTTTAAAAAAAATTGAGGGAGAATGTACACTGAAAAGCCTTATTAAATCCAATTCAAAAAGACTTTAGATATAAAAACTAGACTTTTATCTTAGAAATTGTTGCAATAATGTATTTCAATTATGCAGTGGATATATGGCTCCTGAATATGCAATGCATGGTTATCTGACCAACAAAGCAGATGTCTATAGTTTTGGAATTGTTACCTTGGAAATTGTATGTGGAAAGAGAAACATTGTTCATCGGTCAAAGGATGAAGCATTCTATCTTGTTGATTGGGTAACTTTTATTCTCAATGTTCTCTATTGTTTATGTCCATATGAATACTCATCATACAACATACTTACACTTATCCATGAAATGTTAAACTATCATTCAATTCTCATATTGTGCCACTTTAGAAGAAAAATATTGCATGCATTTCACCTTTGTTGAGTTTTCTTTTTTTAATTTACCAACTTGAAAGCATCTAAACGACATCATTGTAGTTTTTTCCTTCTAAAATTCTAGTTTCTCTCCATACAAAATGGCCTGTCTTAGGCTAATGAATCTTCAAACATGGGAATAATACTTGTTACCTCTTCATAGGTTGCATGTTTGACTTTATAAGACACAAATCAAACTAATGTTTGTTCTTCTCTTTCAACAGGCACATTTGTTGAAAGAGAAAGGTAACCTATTGGAGCTAGTTGATCCAAGGTTGGGTTTGGATTTCAATGAAGAGGAGCTAATAGTGATGATTAAAGTGGCTCTTCTGTGCACCAATGGCCCGCCAAACCTTAGGCCCTCCATGTCTTCAGTGTTAAGCATGCTTGAGGGCAAAACAATGGTCCCAGAATTCGTTTCACATCCAAGCGATGTAATGGATGAGATGAAATTAGAGGAAATGAGAGAGTTTTATACTCAAATGGAAGAAAATAAAACAAGTGAGGCACGAAGTTTGAGCTTAACAATTGATGTGCCATGGACTGCTTCATCTTTATCAGTTGTAGGCTTCAATCCAACTCACCTTGATGCTTCTTATATACTAGGAGAGTCTGGATGAATTATATTTTTAATTTCCTCTGTGCCCCTTTGTTATTTCACTATTGGTTTCCAAATATTATCACCATAAATACATCATTTTGGATCGCATTAACATAAGAAGATTAATATAAGACATCATTATTAGAATTTTGTTTCTTGTAATCTTATATTTTATTTCTTTATTTTATTTTACTCTTAATTAAAAATAAAAAACATGAAAAAAAAACTAAAACATCAAAGGAAAAAATTTAAAAGGATAAAAAAAATTAAAAAATTGGTAGAGGCAACTTGGCCTGTTCACCCCACCTGCTCGATCTCTTAAATACTGCCTGGCCCCGCCATCGAATTAGAGCCAACTTGCTACTGAAAATGGGGAGAATTGACAGCAGCAAATGATTTGATTAAACATTCAGAGAGCTTATTAAACTTTAATAATAAAATAAAATGAGAGAATATAAATTATGAAATGTCACACCAGCATTCATCGACCAGAAAAAGAAACGTACACCAAATAATCAACTCTAGGTTCAATTTTTTCCTTTGATAATTCTCTCTCTCTTCATTTGTTACTCGCTATTTTCTAAATTTCTTTGCTTTGCTAATCGTCTCTTACATTGGTTTATAAGCCCAAGCAACTGCATTGTAATTTCTTGCTTTAGGAAAAGTCATTATAGCTAAATTTCATGAAAACAACATGAGCATGCCAAGGTTGACTATTTAACATTATTTTCTTCTAGGTCTTTTAAAGGATTAATTCAAATCCACTGTCCCTTTTCTTCTTGGACCTTTTCCAAATTTCTCCTTTAAAATCTGTAACCGCGGCTATTGATTAATCCCCCTAATCAGAAGTTATTTTCTTCACTAGGTTTTCATTAACGAAAGGAATTAAACATCTCTCACCCCTCAAATTCCGAACCTATATGCTATACTCCATGCACTCCCACCACTAAATTATTGCTTCCTTTCCCATTGATCTGAATTTCATTTCCGCTGCCATATATTGATCAGTCGAAGATGATCACCACTTTCTCTCAAATTCTCTTTCTTTCGTTCCTTGCCATTTGGTTCACATCGTTTGCTGCCAATATTACTCAGCCAGATGAAGGTATGATGTGTAGTTTATGCCATGCAATGCATAGGTCCCAGACAATAAAGGGAAATAAAAAGACAGATAAAACTTAATATAATATCTTGAATTAGAGTTTTATTGTACGAATTATCAAGATAAAAATTGAATTTTAATTAAAAAAATTATAAAAACGCTTATTTATCTAAGTTTTGTTTATAGAAAAGAATTGTTATCGTCTAATTTCACATTTGTTTAAATATATTGTTTTTTTCTTAATAAATTTTTCGCACAGTTGATATAAAAATTCTATATTTCAAGATATGAGTGGGTAGTTTGGAACATAGCTAAGTACTCTGCTATAGCCCTAAATCAAATATGTATATGCAGTGCAAGCTCTGAAAGATATAGCAAACACACTTGGTAAGAAGGATTGGGACTTGAATATAGATCCATGTGGTGAACGAAGAAACTGGACTACTCCTACTGTGAACGGAGTAATGAACAACGTCACCTGCAATTGCTCTATCCCCGGTTCCAATTTCTGCCACGTTGTTGGGATGTAAGTTTCTTTAATGACTCTCTGCCACCAACACTATCTATTAATTGGATTTTAATTTGCTAATTTTAGCATTTAAAATAATAATACATTTATTATCTTAAAAATATAATAAATATTTTTTAAATAAAATATTATTATTGTTGTTTTACTTTCTTGAAGTCAACTTTAAAAATTGAGATTAACAATTTTTTTTTGTTAATTTAATATACTTTGACTTGAAGTATTTTTTTCATCGAACAGTATAAGAGGAAGGTAACGATTCAAATGTTTAAATGAAAGTGAAATTAAAAATTTATTATCTTAATGTATAGGTATAATTAGAATGTATAAATTATTCTTAACAATGTTAAATGAATTTCTATCATAAGAAAGTGTAAATTTGTACAAAAAATTATGATTATCCTTGAGGAAAACGCCTATATTAATAATTTTTTCTAATTAATTTCAAATTCTCATGTTAAATAAATGGACAGATTGCTGAAATCACAAAATCTTCAAGGCGTGCTCCCACCCGAACTGATAAGGTTGCCTTACCTCGAAGAAATGTACGTAATAATTAATCTTCTTTGTATGATAATAAACTTATTTCATTGTGTGTGTGTGTATATATATATATATATATATATATATATATATATATATATTATTCATTTCTTTGATTTTAATTATTGAAACAGTGACCTCACTCGCAACTACCTTAACGGTACAATACCTAAGGAATGGGGCTCCTCCAATCTTCGCATCATGTATGTTCTTTCTTTGTCCATCTTTCTTCTTTGCTATAATTTTTTTATGTTCTTTTTTATAATTTTTAATTTGATTACATATATTTTGTTCGCTAAAAAAATTTCAAATTTTAATTATAATCCCTCATTTTCTAAGCTTGTGATTTTAGTCATTCTTTTTATAGAAGGTTAAAAAATATTACTTTTTGAGACAGTTGAGGTGGAATTCCGTTTGCCCATCATCACTTAAGTGGATGAAGTTTACAGGAAGGACTAAACTTAGACCATTCTATAAAAAGAAAGATCAAAATCATGGGTTTAAAACATATTGAATCTTTTTAGTTTGTATAATTTTTTTGGGCTTGTAACATGAATCTAATTTATGATTTTGATTATGATGATATAGTTCTCTTCTTGGAAACCGACTGACTGGTACAATCCCAACGGAGATAGGAAACATTACCACACTTGAGAGTTTGTGAGTTTCTGATTATCCATATATAGATTAAGGATTTTGGTTACTGAATTTTCATCACTACTTAATTTTAAATGGATAGGGTCCTCGAGGACAATCAATTCTATGGAAATCTTCCTCCGGAACTTGGGGACCTTTCAAACATTGAAAGATTGTAAGTTCCAGTCATTTTTATTAATATAACAATCTATGATACCCTAAATTTTATTTGAATTGATAAAAAAAAAAACTTCATCACTTTTTTAACTTACTCTGAGTATCAATGATTGATTCGAGCTTTTACATCAAAAATTGATTGTGGGTATAGGCATCTTACCTCTAACAACTTTACTGGAGAGCTCCCTGAAACTTTGGCGAGACTTACAACATTGAGGGAACTGTAAGCTTAATTCCCTTTTTTATTGTCTTTAGTTACTTTGAACTTTGTTGTTATTTTTGGTTATGAAACAATTATAACTTTTCAATGTTTATTCTTACATGAGGCAGACGACTTGGTGACAATCAATTCTCTGGAAAGATACCCGATTTTATTCAAAGATTGACAAATCTTGAAATGCTGTAAGATCCATTTGTTTTTAGACCGAAATGTGATCTTGTGTTATATTTCTTTTGTTATATATTTTTGTGTTATATTTCTATTTGGAAAAGGTTAACTTTGCTGAGGTTGAAAATAAACATCTACTAATAATAATTTAAAAAAAAGCATTTAAAACTTTAATACAAATAATATACATTTTTTTAATAAAAAATTACTATTTATTAATGCATAAAGTCAGCCCTTATAAGTTAACAAAACTCTTAATTTTTTTATGTATGTGTTGTTATTTTGACAGAGTAATTCAAGGGAGTGGTTTAAGTGGCCCAATTCCTTCTGGAATTTCATTTCTGCAAAGCTTAACCGACTTGTAAGTATAGTGTTTAAAAAAGTAATCATGCTTTTAAAATCAAGTTACCTTAATTTTTTTTATTATTCCCATTATAATATCAAATGCAGGTGGATTAGTGACTTGAATGAAGGTGGTGATTCTACTTTTCCACGAATTGATAACTTGACAAAATTGGAAAGATTGTGAGTTAATTGCTTTTATTTTATTTATTCTTTTCTTGTCAGTGCCTTAATATGGCATTGATTTAAGGAGTACAATATCCAAATTAAGAGATATTGGCATAATTTTAGTACCACAAAAGTCATAAATTTGATTTTGTTTCAACTTTCACAGGATATTAAGGAGTTGCCAAATAAATGACACGTTACCCCAATATCTTGGGAACATGACAAGTTTGAACTCTTTACAATCCATGTAAGTGCTTATTCACTTCTGTTTCCTGTATATATGTTAATCTTGCTTCGATTTATAAACTTTTCTAGGATTAAATATGCTTTTTTATAGTTATATTTTTATGAATTTTTAATTTTAATCCCATTAACCATATTCTTCTTCTTCTTTGTTTTTTTTTTTTACTAATATGACGCATAAAATATCGACACATGATAATATTTTAATTAATTATATTATCATTTAATAATTATTAATGATTAAACGTGAAAATTTAAAATATATATATATATATATATATATTTAAATTAAACACTAAAAAAATATAGAAATTCTATAAACCTGATTTATTTTTAATATAAGTTTTTATTTTACTATCAACTAATCATGTCTCATACATCTTTAAAAGGGTGTTTTGCCCGTTACAACCTATACTCTATTTTACTTTAATAACGTAATTTTGCAATAATGTAAAGAGAATGTAGATCAAAATTTAATCTTGGAGTGAAAAACACAGGAACACCAATGCTCTTTTTGTTTTATTATTTTTTTAGTGTGTCACCATTGTAACATATATTTTTAAAAATTATGCGGTAAACATTAAAACATAATGTTTCTTGATTTAAATTAACATTCTTTGCATTACACGATAATTTTTGTATTGATTTAATTTGTTTTGGGATACATATTGTAAAAATTCTTTTTGAATATTATTTGAATATCGTGTCGATTAAGCTTCAAGTTCTTTTAAATAATAACTGAATTAGTAAGAATACGCTAAATAGTAACAGAATTAATTTGAATTAAAAAAAATTGATGCGGTCAATATATCTTAATGTTTTATTGTTTGTTTGTTTTATTTATCATTTCTTAACTTATTTTGGATAATATTTATCTTTCAGAGACCTGAGCTATAACAAATTAAGTGGAAACATTTCAGAAACTTTTGAAGAGATATCAAGATTGACTTACCTGTAAGAGAATTTCAGCTTTTACTTCAAGAAACCCAATCCAATATTAGACATTTTTATGGTAACTGGATAGCAATAAACTAAATTCAGATTGATCCCTATACAACCTACTCATTAACATTTCATTATTTGATTTATTCATTTTACTCTCCTACAAGGTGTTCCTACACCCTTTTTTTTTAATATATATATATATATGGGGCTAATTTCCTCTGGGGCATTGTTAATAGTATCTTAATAACTATATGTAACTTCCAAGCAAATCTTATTCTAATTTGTGGAATGGGAAAAGCTAGAAAAGGACTGGGTTAATTGGGTGATTAGCTTATTTTTCATTTTGATGAATTGACCTGTAATTGACACATTTTCCATGATTTTTTTTATTGTCTTTCTTAGATATTTAACTGGAAACTCATTCACTGGACCAGTACCCAAGTGGGTAGAGAAAGCTGATCACTACATGTGAGGCCTATTTCAAACGCTAATTATATGCTTTACTGAATTACATAATTTAGATATTCTTCGTTCTTTGGATTCTATATTAGCTTGCCTCATGATTTCTTGTTTAAAATGTTGAATTTCTCGCATAAGCATTTTATTTTGTTGCTCCCATCAATTAGAAGTTGCAACAAAACATGTTTAGATCTTGATGAGCATTATCAAGGAACACATGGTTGGGGCCAATTTAAATACAACCATGCACCAATTGTTTCTAATTCTTAATTACGAATCATGCAATTTACCAATATTTTAAACCGTTCTGTTATTATTGGACACCAAAATTTTATACAATCTTTTCATACCAGTTAATAACTTTGCTGTCACTGTTATTTTCTAGTCTTTGTCAACGACTAATTGTTTCATCTTAGTTTCTGAATTGGATTTTACATTTATACATAGAGATCTTTCATATAACAACTTCAGCAATGAAAACGTCCAGCAACAGACATGCCAACAAAGTACAAAATCGAAAGTGTAAGTATTCTTTTATTGTTATTATTTTATAAAACCATTTGTATCTGACTGTTAACTATGTCTTATATGATATAGGAACTTGTTTGCAAGCTTTCCAAATAGCAAAAAGTAAGATTTATATCTTTCTATGTAACACACACACACACATGAAAATACCTTCTTTTTACTTTCTCTTGTGAAGTCTAAGTTGTTTATGGTTTAATTGTGTGCTAACATGTCTCCCCTTAATATTTCTTCAGTGGACCAATTTATTGTCCGACGACAAGAAATGATTGTTCTAAAAGTAAGTTTAACCAATAAATTTATGTAAATTGAAGTTAATACTCAAATGTTAGTTTTTTGCCATTGAAATTGTAAACCCATTAATCTTTTGAGGTACAAAGAAAAGTAGAGGAATTGTCCTCCAAAGAATACTTCAATATCAAGAGTTTTTGTAGGACAAACAACTAAGGAACGTCAATAATATATTTTTTCAATATTATTGGCTAAAACTTGTTAAGGTATCATCAAACTCTAACACATCATGGTTTCTGAATTGGCTTTTTTTTTTTTCTTTTGTTTTGTAACAGCCGTTAACTCTCTCCATATCAATTGTGGAGGAAGAAAAATAGAGAGTGGAGGTATAATATATGAGGATGATTTAGATCAAGCTGGACCAGCAATATCGAAAGAGCAAGGAGAAAATTGGGCATTTAGCAACACTGGTTACTTCTTGGATAATGGCACTGCAGCAGAAGCTTATATACAAGAAAACAACACTAGGCTTTCAATGCCTGATTTTACACTATATCAAACTGCACGTGTGTCCCCAATTTCTCTGACCTATTATGGTTTTTGTCTAGAAAATGGAGACTACACAGTAACGCTCCATTTTGCAGAGATAATGTTCACTGATGATGACACATATAGTAGCTTAGGGAGGCGTATATTTGATGTTTACATTCAGGTACACAGGTTTTTTTTGTTTTTTTGTTTTTTTTTTTTCTAATTCTGATACCAAAATATTTGATGGGGACTGAAGACTTCTAAGTTTTAACCTACCAGTTAATAGTTTTCCTTTAAGATCATCATCCTCATCCAATGTTTCGATATCCTTGTTGTGGACATTTTATATAAAGCCATGTTTAATTTACCACATTTAAATATATAGAATATCACAATATATGTAGGATTGGCTCTACATAGTCCTTTTGACTTCAATTGTAGAATCACTAACTAAAATATTTTCAAGAATCTAGATTGCATATTTAAAACTATTAAAAAAAACCATTTAGGTTTGTATTTGAAATATTGCAGGGAGTGCGGGTATTGACAGATTTCAATATTGCAAATGCAGCAGGAGGAGTTGGAAAGGAAACTATACAACGATTTCCTACTTCTGTGAATAATAACTCTTTAAAAATACGTTTTTATTGGGCTGGAAAAGGGACAACTGATATCCCATATAAATCCATATATGGCCCTCTTATATCAGCTATATCTATAAGTCATGGTGAGATTATTAAGTTTTTGTATGTTCTTATTCATCTATTTTTTACCTTGATAATATGGATGACACGTTAACTCTTGTGCAATAATGAAGCAGATTCTACAAGTGGCATATCTGCAGGGGTTGTGGTTGGAATAGTAGCTGCTGCAATTTTTGTTGTCATCATGTTTGTACTACTTTGGTGGAAAGGTTATATTGGGAAAAGAAATTCGTTAGCAAAAGGTGATTCTCTAGGATAAAATAGTAGACTATAGATGGTTCTGTTTGGTTCTCATTCTTATTTTTCCAATTAAATTTTGATAATTTTTAAAATAAAGAGAAAAAAAAAACTGAATAATGGATTTTATTTTCATTTGATAATTTTGTTCTATTGGCAGAGTTGAAGGATTTAAATCTGCAAACGGGTTTATTTACTTTGCGTCAAATTAAAGTTGCAACAAATAACTTCGATGTTTCTAATAAGATCGGAGAAGGGGGCTTTGGTCCTGTTTATAAGGTATAATACAAGACATTACTTAACATCTCATGATTAAAATTGTTCAAAAATTGTATAATATTTTATAAATGCAGGGCATTTTGTCTGATGGCACAATAATAGCTGTGAAGCAGCTTTCATCTAAGTCAAAGCAAGGAAACCGTGAGTTTGTAAATGAGATAGGCATGATTTCTGGTTTGCAACACCCTTGTCTTGTTAAACTTTATGGTTGTTGTGTTGAGGGAGATCAATTGTTGTTGGTATATGAATATATGGAAAACAATAGCCTTGCACAAGCTTTATTTGGTAAGTGTCTTGAATAATCAATTTCAGTTGCTTTTAATGTGACTTAATTTTCAAGCTTATTATGATCAGATGATATTGATGCCTAATTTTTTTGTTAATTAACAAAGGTCATGAAAAAAATAATTTAAAATTGGATTGGCCAACAAGGCACAAGATTTGTGTTGGTATTGCGAGAGGTTTGGCATTCTTACATGAAGAATCAAGATTGAAAATTGTCCATAGGGACATTAAGGCCACTAATGTGTTGCTAGACAAAGAATTAAACCCAAAGATATCGGATTTTGGTCTAGCTAAGCTCAATGAGGAAGACAATACTCACATAAGCACAAGAATAGCTGGGACTTAGTAAGTTAATTTAAGTTCTCAATATTGTGTGAATTTTACTAAAAATTATTTGAAAAGAGAATGCATAGTCCAAGTTAGCCAACTTATGATATTTCAAATAAAGAACAAATTTAAGGATTGTTTTATTTGAAGAATTTGATATGATGATGTATTTCAATTATGTAGTGGATATATGGCTCCAGAGTATGCAATGCATGGTTATTTGACCGAAAAAGCAGATGTCTATAGTTTTGGAGTTGTGGCCTTGGAAATTGTCAGTGGAAAGAACAACACAATCCATCGTTCGAAGCAAGAAGCTTTGCATCTTCTTGATTGGGTAACTTTTGTTTCATATATTTGTTCATGTGCATCAAATTATCTGTAATATACTATACCTGTGCATGTTGTGTTAGACAAGTTGCGCCATTCAATTGTCATCTATCATTTAAACACTGCAGTACATTATTCACACATAACATGATTTACATAAAATCTATCAACATGATGGACATTAAACTAACAAAATTGATTTTTCTCAACATTATAGTTTTTTCAGCATACACATTTACATGGCCAATGTCCTCTAAAGAATCCTCAAATTACAAATCCTGTGCTATTATATTCTTCTAATTTGATCAGCTATGGGTATTTCAAAACAGACTTCGGTATTTTATTCCAACAGGCACGTTTATTGAAAGAGAAAGGTAACCTAATGGAGCTAGTCGATGGAAGGTTAGGTGCAAATTTCAATGAAGATGAGGCAATGATCATGATCAAAGTAGGTCTCTTATGCACCAATGTCACTTCAAACCTAAGGCCTACCATGTCATCAGTGCTTAGCATGCTTGAAGGAAAAAGTATGATTCCAGAATCAATTTCAGATCCAAATGAGATGATGAATGAAATGAAGTTAGAGGAAATGCGAGAATATTACTACCAAGTAGAAGAAAATAAGATAAGTGAGACACGAACACAAAGCCATAGTTTATCAATTGATGGACCATGGACTACATCTTCATCAGCTGTAGACTTATATCCTGTCCATATTGATTCTTCGTACTTGGAGAAAAGAAATTAAGAGTATGCACAAATTGCACTTACAAATTCATGTGATATCTTTTGTTCTTTCATGCTTATTTTTTCCTCTTATACTCCATGACTTGATAGTTTATTGAAAAACATGTAAATAAAGCAATACCAAAAAAATGCTTTCTACATTTTGTATATGTAATTACAAGCCCTTCCAGCATACTCTATGCATTCAAACCCTTCTCCGTAGTGACATATCAGAAAATATTGATATGAAATATAGGAATTTTATTTGGGAAGATTCAGAAGCATTGAAAAAAAGGTCCACTTACTCAACTGGGTGTCTATACGCAAACCAAAAGAATAAGGGTCATGATCTTTGCGCTTCAGCACAAATAAACCTAGTTTTTCCAATGAAAGTGGGATGGTATCCTATACATGATTGTGCTGAATTATGGGTAAAAGTAGTCAAAAGTAAATATGTATATGGAAATGAAATTATAACAAAAATTCAAAGGCATAAAGGAGGTTCTAATATCAGGAATGGAGTTCTCAAAGAATGGAATACACCACTCACTTCTTATCTAATTAGAGGAGATATTTTACCTTATTATAGTAATGAGAAAAACTATTGGTGGTCTTCTTTGCATTATTTTTTGTTCATTTCAGTATTTTTTTTTTTTAATATATCATATAGATGAACCATTGATCGAAGAATTGAAACAAAATGAAATTTATTGACATAATTAAAAATATGTAAATCAATTCTCTGTTTATAAAATGGAACATTGTTTGTACTACAAATTTCAAAAGCCAGGCCACTGCTCAATGTACATGACCCATCTTTTTTGTCAAGCGTGACCCATCTTATGAAACTAATGAAGACACCCTTTACTAGGACGATAATCTTGCTACAAGGCCTTTGCACCGCATTCTGGGCTCCATAATAACACATAAAGATTGATCCAACTCCTCCAAAACCCGAACAATCTGGCAGAATTCCGGCCTCTTCTCTGGTTTCAAGGCCCAACATTGCTGAATCAACTGTAAACATGTGGGCAATGTGAGGGAATAGTGGGCCTTGAATTCTTTTGTGCCACTGCAATAGCAACTTGGATTGGACTCATACCTATAAATGGAACTTTTCCACTCAGCATCTCCAATAACATAAGCCCAAAACTATACACATCAATTTTTCTCCCATAGCGTTTTCTATTTATCATCTCTGGTGCCATCCAACGGTAGGTACCCTTCAATGAGTCACACTTCTTAGCTTCACAAGCAAGGCCAAAATCACAAATTTTAAGGTGAAAGTCCCCATCAATAAGCACATTCTCGGGTTTAAGATCTCTATGAATGATCCCTTGTGCATGTATATACTCCATTCCACGTGCAATATCTAAAGCAAAAGCTATCACCTTTTGTAAAGAAATTGGCTTGAACTTAAACCTGTTTAAATATGACCTTAAAGAACCCTTTTGTAGAAACTCCGTGAGAATGCAATAATAATTTGTGTATTTGCATGCGGCTATGAACTTCACAACATTTTGATGGTGGAGACGAGGTAGAAGTGTGGCTTCACTTAAAAATTGCGTCTCTAAATGGGTTGTTAAGGTTCCCTTTTGGTCATTATCGGGTACCTTGAGAAATTTAATGGCAACATTTTCATCCTTATACCTACCACGGTAAATTTGACTATAAGCACCATAAGAAAGCTTGTACCCAATGAGGAGATCGGAGAAGTCAATGTTCCATTCTTGTGAAACTCCCTCAACAGCATCTCTTCCATTATTACCGAAGTGAAAACACTTCGTCAATGACCATGATGATTCCTTGCTATTCTTGCACTTATCACGATGAAACATGCTTAATAACTTCGCCATAGTAACTCTCTGATGAGAATAATGGTCTCTTATGATTTTTGAAGATGAGAAGTGAGAAACCTAGCTTCAACTTTGAATATGTATATCTTTTTTCGGCTTTCAACTCCTAATATTTCGCTAAATTAGGTAGGTTTTCTTTTTTTGTTTTGGTGATAATCCAATGGCTTTCATTGTTTTTGTACATAGTTTAATTATAAATCCAATGGCTTGTATCATACCGTAAATAATCAGTTTTATTCGCATACGTTAAAATAATAATAATATAACAAAATTTTAAAATTAAAAAATTAAAGAGACTAGGAACAGTTGCACTATGTAGGCAGGCGGTTAAGATAGTGAATAAAAACTGATTTAAAACAGATTTAAATTTTAAAATTTTCAAAAAATTAAAAATAGGTTATTTTTTTTAGGAATTGAGTGTTAGTAGATAAAAATTTATTCAAAATGTTCAAAGAAAATTGATAAATTGTGTGAGAAAGGGAATAGAATTGTGAAAAAAAAATCTATTAGTATCAAAATATAAAAGATGAAGGAGATGACAAAAGTTTTAAAATTATATATAATTAAATAATAATCAAGAAGAGATGCAAACTGGACTAGGTGTCTTTAGAAAAGAAAAGAAAAAGGAAAGAGAAAAAAATGAAAAAGAGAGAGAGAAAGAGGCTAGAAGAGATGATTTGGGGGGGGGGGGGGGATCAAAATTTTAAGAACACTAGAAAAAAAAATCTAAAAATAAATTTCTCTTATTTATCAGATTGAATTAGAACTTTTATTTTTACATTTTTTTATATCAATTCTTCTTCACTTGTTTCTTTCTCTATACTTTATCTTATATCTCTATTTTGTTTGCATCTCATAAGCATGCAAGTTTGCCTCATCTCCTTAGCCTTATTGCATGCAAGCCTTGTGTCTATTCATTTTATAGGCTCACCTAATGTATCTCATGAACTTCTTCTATTCATTCTCCCTTTACTAGGATGTCAACATCTTCCCAATGCATAAACAACTCTTATCATCATTCTTTTTAATTAATTGCAACTTATATTTATCTTTTCTTTCCAGTCATCTTTATGTTGTGGTTCAGTTACAACATATATCAAAGTTCACGCATAAAAAACAACAAATGTAAATACATAAACAAAAATATATATATATTATTTATGATCACTATAAGATCTATTTTATCTTTAAAGTTTATCAGTTAAATTTGAATTTTTAACATATTATTTTCATTTCATTTCAAATTTTAAGTATAAAAATCTTAACATTTTCTTATTTTGGCTGTTATTCCACTCACTTTTTTCTGTTGTTCCGCTCAATATAAACAATAAAGTAATTTTATAATCATTCAACAAAATTACAAAACTAATTCACAAACGAAAACGGAGTTCAATTAAATGCCAATAACTTTATAAAAAAACACGACAAACTTTTGTTTTCATTCTTTCTTTATTATTATTATTTGGTTTATGAAACTCAAGTAACAAAGTGGTAAAGATTATAGAACGGGGATGCATTAAATAATTGTGTCTACAAAGTTTGATATAATAAAAAAATTTAATATATAAAGTGAGAGTATACAAACTTATAATATTTTTAAAATAAAAAAATAGTCATCAATTATTTAATTATTAAAACAAATTGAGAATAATATAACAAATAAAAATCAAGGCACGAAATATATCATCTCATTTAATATACTAGAATAAAAAGAAACATTGGCACTTGTCGGTGCCCTGTGCATAGAATTTACATACTCCTAGTTTCTTCCACACAATTCTGCTAAGTGGTCGTGTTTTCCGGGTGAATTTCAAAGCAACAAGACAACGTTGCAAGCTGTACATGCATTTAAAGTAGAAATATACAACAACATCATATCATAGTTGATGTAAACTCTTTTGTTTTTTATTTTGGTAGGAGAGAGATAAATAATAAATAAATTATCCAAAATTATTATTATATTTTTGTATTTTTGGTAAAAATAATTAATTCTTTAAGATACTAGTATTAATCTAACTACAAAATTGTTTAAGACAGAATTTGAGCACAATCTTTTTAAATACATTAATATTATTTATAAATTAAAATTAGCAATAACTTATACAATACTTATCATATTTAAGATTGATATATATGGCTATGAAGTGTAGGTTTGATTTTAATTAAAAAAATAATACTAAAAATAGATTAACAGAAAAATTTATTATCATAATCATTAATTATATTTATAATTGATTATTGTGATAACTAATTGTATAAAATAAGTTTTATGTTAAAATGCGTTAAGTGATTAGTGATTTTAATTAAAATAATCTACTGTGTGTATAAAAGATTAATTCACTGTTTCTAGAATAAAATTTTAAAAATTATATATAAGTTTACGTGTAATGATTAATTTTATTTTTGAAATAGTTAATTATTAACAATAAAATAAAAACAGCAAAATTAACAATAATTTAAACTGACTACTCTTAATTATGAGCTTGAAAATTTTATATTAAATCATTTCTTGTGTTATAAAAAAATGTTGTAATGACTATTATAATAATTATTCATTAAATTTAAATTTACGTGAGTTAAGTGATAGAACTGACCTGAGAAACTTCTTCACCGTCGGTACCAACTGAAAATTAAAATTCTATATATCATCACTAACCCTTTATATATATATATATATCATCATCATCATCATCAACCCATTTTTTGTCCCTCTTGTGTTCATATTTCTCATTCACATGTCTTCCCATGGCTTCTCTTTGATTTCATTTGTTTAATTTCTTTCATAATTCTTTGACTTCGTTTACCAGTTTGAACTTCTACATAAATTATAAATCAAACCCAACAAAGTCAACCGTACTAACTAATTAAAGACCAGATAATTAGTACTAAATTGGCAACTTGTGGAAGAAAATTAAACCAAAATTTCTAAGAAAATAAAACTTAACACACATTCCAATGTTTACAACGTGTATCCTCCTTTATAATTCATCATCGTTCATATATTTAACTCAAGTAGCCTCAATTTCAAGATACCCTAAATTACTCTACTCCAAATTTCCTATTTGCTCCTGTATATGAAGTACAAGCTGGCAATCCTTCATGTTTAATATCTAATTCACTTTACTATTAAGGTTGCATTATTAAAATAAAAAATAAATTTATTTTAATAAGTTATACTAAAATTTTTAAAATAAATTTAAAAAAGTTATAATATATTTTCAAATTTACAATAGCTTTTTCAAAACAAGTCAAGTCATTTCATGGTAAGCTGGTTTCATTTTATTCTTTTTATGTGAGCCTCTCTTTTCATATATTTAACACAGAAAATTTCTATCTCTGTGTTCATTTCTCAACTACTCTTTCACAATCAAACTTCTACCACTGATTGCTTTCAAATCTGAATTTTCTTCCAGCCATCATCACGATCATGAGTTTCCCTTCACTTGTTCATCTTTGGTTTCTTGCCTTTGGTTTGATCCCTTTTCTTGCTAGTGGAGCTACTCTGTTAGAAGAGGAAGGTGCATACCATACATAACTATATCTCACATCATGTTTAGAATATTCGCTTATTCTTGGAGAAATAATCGCTTACTTTTTAAAAGTTCTCTTAGAAAAATTAAAACAGATAAGCTTTTTTTTTTTATAAATAATATTATGGGTACAATATTGATTTGGTGTTGATTTTGACTATTCAGTGCAAGTTATGAAAAGGATAGCTAAGACAATTGGGAAGGATTGGGACTTCAGTGTAGATCCATGCAGTGGACAAAGTAATTGGAAATCATCTGTTCAAGTGAAGGGGTTTGAAAATTCTGTCAGCTGCAATTGCTCTTTTGCTAATGCCACTTTTTGCCATGTTGTTAGCATGTAAGCTTCTCATATACATGTTTCTATGCTAATTGTGTGTTCTGCTTTTGAGCTTCACCCAAAGCCAAGATGAGTTTTGCTATGTGTTTTGATTTGTTTTCCTCTCTTTGGTCTCTTGGGTTTGGTTTTGGTACTGCAAAACTTAAACCAAACCAAACAAGTAATTTTTCTTATTTAAGTAGTGTTTGACAAGTTTTTTTCCTCCTCTTCTTATAAGTAAAAATTTCTCTAATTAACTTCTATAAAATTTCCGTTTTTTTTTATTTATTAAAATACTACTTTTTAAAGACTTTTACTAAAATTTTGTTTGACCCAAATATTCTTAAGAAAAGATAAAATACCACCTAAACAGAACATGAATTATCAATAATATTGGTATGTATGAAGCAACAACTTGAATAATCCATCAAAAGATTCAAAATAACATAAATAATGAAATTTTTTGACAAAATAATCATAGGTATATATTTTATCAATGGGTAGTTAATTAGTAATACATGCTTAATTTCTCTTAAATATTTTTATAATACATGATTAAGACGGTGAACGTGAAATTATAATTTTAGTAAATTAATAATAAAATTTTTGGACATGTATAATAAATAATAAGGCATTAAAAATATAATAATTTTAAAGTTTTTAATTAATAATTATAATTTCACTCATCTTGAACTTTTAAAGTTTATTTTTTACTTTACGGGTAAATTTCTATTTTATATATATAAAAAGAAAGCAAAAATCTTTTCATAGTAGTATGAGTCTAAAAAATTTTACACTCAATTTAGATTTTTCTTTAACTTATCTCTAACGAATTATAATTTATTATTTCACTGACCGTTAGATATAAATTAAATAAAAAGTTCAGACCGATTATAAAATTTTTTAGACTTACACAAAGTCAAATAAAGTTAAAGCATACATAAGCTAAAATATATTATTCTAGTAATTTACGGTTTAAAAAATGACATATGATTATTATACTATAATATTATATTTTGTGGAAGAATCATTCAACTAAATTGCTTGAGTTGTGCTTTATATTCAATGTCCACCTATCAGAATGCTTTTGCATATTACAATTAAGATATTACGCTAAGTATAATTTAGTGCTCTTGCTTAAATTGTTGGCTATGGTAAAATTTTCGATAAGCCTTTGCTACTTATTTAGCAATTATCTCCCCTTTTTTTCTTAAAGTGTTTCTTGGCAGTTTACCGGTTAAATTAAAAACTGGCTATTAAATGAAATACATGCAATGAGAATATCTAAAACAAAAAGTATTAAAACTTTCATGCTTGATCAATCCACTAATTATCAAAATCAAACAAATACTTCGCTGTATCTTGTAAAAGCTTTTTTTTTTTTGGGCTGAATGTTGCACTCTCCTCTTTTCAACCAGAAATTTAATTTCTAAATTTATAAAATATGATTTTTCAAAAATTTAATTTAATAAGTGATATATAAATTAATTTTTCATAATTTAATTTGTAGAATATATTTAATTGTTTTCAAATTAAATATCGAAAGTAAGAGAAGAAAAGAAAAAAAAAAATCGTTTTTATTTTTGTAGATTCGTGGTTTTAAGCCCATTACAAGCAAGTTCAGTGGGCTTCAAAAATGAAAGTAAACGTAACAAAATGTCCATGAGTAACACAAGCTTTTAATAAAGATTTTCTATATTTTAGTAATGATTTTCATGTATGGATCAAAATCAATAATGATGGTGCAGTGTTCTCAAGTCACAAAATCTTTCGGGCACACTCCCAAGTGAGCTAGTGATGTTGCCTTACCTCCAAGAAATGTATGTCACTCTGAATCCACAATTGATCAACTAAATTTGCATGTCTTTTATCTTTGTGTTTATGCAATTGTTTGATTCTTTAACATAATGTGTTACAGTGACTTCACCCGCAACTATCTTAATGGTACAATCCCTCCACAATGGAGCTCCATGAAACTTGTCAACATGTACTCTCCCTCACCTTTCTTTGATTTCCTTTCATTTTGTTTTTTCTAGTTGATCAATGCCAATAGCATGTGTGTGTGTGTGTATATATATATATATATATATATATGATCTTCTACTGATTTCATGTAACATGAAACTAGTTATGCATCTTTTTTAATTGTGGCAGTTCCCTTCTTGGAAACCGAATAACAGGTCCAATCCCAAAAGAATGGGGAAACATCACCACCCTGAAAAGCTTGTAAGTTTGCGATCATCCACGTAGAGTTCTTTACCATTTCGATTTTATGAAAATTTCAAAAGAAAAATTTATCTCTTAAACTTGAAATGCATAGGGTCCTGGAGTTCAATCAATTATCTGGAGAGCTTCCTCCAGAGCTTGGAAATCTCCCCCAGCTTGAAATATTGTAAGCCTATTGTGTGCATTCGAATTTACAATTGCTACTAAAACATAAATATTCAGTTTTCATTGATAAAATTTTGTTTTACATACTAATCCTCTGATTTGTTTTTTTAAACTGATTAATTAGTTAATCATTGATGAGGAAATTATTTCCAAACTCATAGATGGGTACAGGTTGCTTTTATTTTATAAAAAAAAAAAAAAAAAACCAGTGTTTATTTTTATGATTTTATCCAAGCCAGGTTTAATAAAGTACACATTAGACTTTAGAGCATCCTAATCCCTAATGCCTTGTATTCTAAATTCCAATTTGCTATAGGCTTCTCACCTCCAACTATTTTACTGGAAATTTACCAGCATCATTTGCTAGGCTCACTACATTGAAGCACCTGTAAGTGCCCTTCCTTTAATTTTACTTTTATTGAAGTCATTACATTCACTATATAATTGAAGTATAATAATTAGCATTTTCTTTTGTTTCAAATACAGTCGACTTGGCGACAATCAATTCTCTGGAACAATACCCAATTTAATTCAGAGCTGGACAAGTCTTGAGAGACTGTATGTATATTTTCTTTCTTCTAAATTTAAATATTCAAAATATTTATAGTAGAAGTATATATGATATGTTGGTTTATCAAAAAATGGTTAATTGTGATAGGGTGATGCAAGGAAGTGGTTTTAGTGGGCCAATTCCTTCCGGAATTTCATTTCTGAAAAACCTCACTGACTTGTAAGTATGGTGTTTTGATTGCAATCAAGGTTTCAAATTTTAATTTGTTCTCTTGTTGTGTTTCACTATGCTCAAGATATGTTATGCAGGAGGATCAGTGACTTGAAAGGACCAGATTCTCAATTTCCACAGCTTAAAAACTTGACAAACTTGGAAACACTGTAAGTCAAATGCTTGGATTATCATTATAAATTTATAATAATTTCTCATTTTCATTTTGCGAGTTAATGCCTCAATAAGAAAATGGTCTTAGCAACAGAAAATAGGAAAACCTAATGTATTTTTGCCCTCAAACTAACTTACATATTGTCAAATTTTTTCCACAGAGTATTGAGGAGTTGCAATCTTATAGGGACAGTTCCTGAATATCTTGGAAATGTGACTACTTTAAGATCATTGTAAGTGATGTTTTGTCTCTTTTCAAATCTGAAAGGTTGGTGCAATGGTGGCATATTTGGAAGTTTCTTGAATTATTTGTATGTATTTAGAACCATTTATTATTGTTGCAATTTGAACTTATCTATTTGGTGAAGAGCATTAACATGCTTCTTCTATTCATTGCATTGGAGGGACTGAACATTTTCATGTTGCTTTTAGCACCATTTTTTTCTCTCTTAAATAATACTTGTTCTATACATTTTTTTTACAGAGACCTCAGTTTTAACAAATTAACTGGACCGATTCCAAGAACGATCGGTAACCTAGAGAACATTAATATACTGTAAGCAACATTTTCTTTAGTTTCCAATTTGATTTATTGTTTGACCAAAATGTGGACTTAGATAAATGGGAGGTATTAGTCAATTTTAGTAATTGCTTTGATCTAGTGAGAATTTACAGTTCAGCTGCTTCCCCTAGACACTATAGAACCCATCGATAATTATAATGAATCAAATGAATATAAGATTCTGACACTGTAAATTTAGAATCAGTCTATAATATTTTATCTTTGTTACTTGTATAACTGAAGTTCTGAGGAAGGAACTGGAATGGCCAAGAAAACAGTTAAAATCAAGTGGATTCTTAAGATACATGCAAAACCTGGTCTAATTTAAGTTGATCAAGATAGGGTTGACATGTTTGCATTGAAATGTCATGAATTTTATAAATTTTTAATGGATTGGTGTTTCGATACACACACTAATGCAAAAGTGCGATATATGTATCTGCAAATTATATTTTCATTTCAAATCCGTGTGCCGATCCATCAGTTACTTTTGTTTTGAAGTTCAATAGATAAGTACTTTTAAAAGTAGCAAGAGAGAATCATGTCCCCACCGGACATTGAGAAAATTTGAAAATGATTAAAAAAGGGAAAATCTATATTGGAGATAAAGAGAGAGAAGAGAACATTGGAGCTTAGTTCTTTCTAAATGTCATTAATCTATGATCAGGTATAGATTAAAATAAATATTTACATGGACAACCCAATTAAGTCAATGAAAGAAACCTTGGACAACACCCAAATTATTTTGGAATAAGATTTAATTTACTAGTATTTATCATTTTATGGTTCACAAACAATTGATGATATCTACACATTGACTTCATTATATTGCTTTTGCCTAGATATTTAACCGGAAACAATTTTAGTGGACCACTGCCGAATTGGATAGATAAACCAGACTACACGTGAGTAATCCTTCAAATGCTACTTATATGATTTATCGAGTTAAATTATATCTTTAGCATGATAAATTATTACTCTATTATTCTTAGGATTCTTCAGTGCCACCAAGTGTTTTGACATATAATTGCTTGTTCCATTTTTTATTCTTAATCACATCGATAAATTGACACAGAGATCTCTCATATAACAATCTGAGTATCGAAAATCCAGAGCAATTGACATGTCAACAGGGAAGCGTGTAAGAATCATTGCATTTGCATACCTTTTTTTTTTTTTGGCAATTTTTAGAAGCTAGTAATCTGAATCTCGGCCATTTATTATGTCTTTAGGAACTTGTTTGCATCATCTTTGAAGGGAAATAACATGTAAGTTTTATACTACTTATGCTAAATTAATTTTTGTATTGCATATGCTGACTATAATGTGATTATGCTGACTTGTTATGTCAACTCCATTATTTTCACAGGGGAATGGTTCCATGTTTGGGGAACATTAACTGTCCTAAAAGTAAGTTGACTTGTTATGAATTTCCAACAGATAATTTTAGTGCTTTAGAATTTGAACCTGTTCATTTTTGTTTGTTTATTTATTTTTGCAAAGGTAGAAGGTGAAAGGGGATTATCTTTCAGAATATTGCAATACTTGTATATCAAGAGCTTTTTTATAGGGAATTGAAGAAATGAAATGTTTATTTATTACACAACTGAAAAACATAAATTAGTTATTTGAACTTGAAAATGGTCTTTTTTTCTAGACACTCTTCTTTGGAAGTAATTATCAATGATTGTCTATAAATTAGATTTGCATTTTGACTTTTATAGGAAGATACCAGAGCCACTTAGAGCTATTAGGGACTTTGTCTTAATTGATAACACTTATTGTGTACATTTTGTACTCATTATATTGTTCTAAGAAGTGCATGAGTTTTCCATCATTTGTTACTATGGAACATTTATGTAATTAAAAATCTAAAAATTTTGGTTGGAGTGCTAAACATCTATGAAACCAGTGCTAATGTTCTAGTACTCTTACATTAACTTTTATATGTTATATCATACTGAAAATTAGCAACAAGACAAGAAATGAACAATTTCCTTTGCCCATGCTTGTATAATTTAATGACACTCCCTAGTTTTATTCTCCTTGATCATCAAAAGGACAGAGAAATGGAGGGTTAGAAGAGTGTGGAAAAGTAATATTTATACAAATATTTTTCTGATGTGATCTTATTGTGCTTGATTCCTTTTACTTGCTTTTCACCCTTTTGTGTTCATCCCAGCTCGGTACTCTCTCCATATAAATTGTGGTGGGAAGCTTATTTCTAATGAAAGCGTTACATATGATGATGATTCACAAGAAGCTGGACAAGCAAGATTTCGCCGGACAGGATCAAACTGGGTATTTAGCAACACTGGTCATTTCTTTGATAGCAGCCGCTTAGACTACTATACTTGGTCTAATGCTACTATGCTTGCTATGGACAATAGTGAATTGTATATGGATGCACGTGTTTCTCCCCTCTCTCTCACATATTATGGATTTTGCATGGAAAATGGAAACTACACTGTAAATCTGCATTTTGCTGAGATAATGTTCACGGATGATCACACATATAGCAGCCTTGGAAGACGTCTATTTGACATCTATATTCAGGTGCTTGGTTTCATCATTTCACCTTTGTCAACAACATAGTATCTTGGTTCTTATTTATCTGTCCAGAGAAAGAAGAAATTACACAAATCAAGAAATCTAATCATTTTGTTAGAATTAATTGCTAAGTTTCGTAATTTATCCTTTATTAGTGGGTTTCCTTTTGACTATTAGACTACTTATAGTGGAAGAATAACAATTAATATTGTCTTGAATTTCTTTATGGACAAATAAATAACAAAAATCTTTTTTTTTTCTCTCTAGACAAATAAATAGAAACAGAAATAGTATTTAACATTGAACAAATGCCTCTGGACCATCATAAACCATCATGAACCATTTGTGTTTGCATTGAAGTATTGCAGAGAAACTTGGTGCTAAAGGATTTCAACATTGTAAAAGAAGCAGGAGGTGTTGGTAAGGCAGTCATAAAAAAGTTCACTGCTATTGTGAATAGCAATACCTTGGAGATCCGCTTGCATTGGGCTGGAAAAGGGACAACTGCTATTCCTTTTGGATCAGTTTATGGTCCTCTCATATCAGCTATATCTGTTGATCCTGGTTAGTTCTACTTCTCTGTAGTCTTTTTTCTTCTACCATCACCCTTATCACCTAATCTAATATATGCATGCAAATCTCATATGTCATAACCAAGCAGATTTTACACCCCCAGTGAAAAATAGAAGTGGCATACCTGTGTGGTCCATAGTTGCTGTTATAATTGCTGGAGCATTTGTTATCATCATGGTTTTTGGTATAGCTTGGTGGAGAGGATGTCTAGGAAGGAAAGGTACACTAGAAAAAGGTATAAAAAACTCACCCAATAAAAATTAACTTTTTTGTTGCTCAAATTATTTCTCAAGGAGAAATCTAGTTAGCAAATAATTGCATTGTTGGTGACTTAAACTACAGTTATAACTAGATGAGTCTATACTTGATAATTGATATACAGTCAATCCATAGAAGAACTATCTTTTATGTTCGCCATTGTATACAAATTATTCTTCGAGGAAATTATAAGATATACATAACATACCGTATAATATAAGTATATTATTTTGTAAAATCTATTGTAAGCATTTGTATAAATACTTTGTCAGAAAGCATACACTGATGTTTGCGTTTCTAAAAACTATAATTCCCATCAATATCACGTCAATTAATAGATTTGCATACTAATGTCAATAAGACTTAAAATGTTTATAAACTTCAAAGAAAAATATCTTCGATTTTATTTTATTTTTATTTTCTTGGCTTAAACCAACAGAGCTAAGGGGTGTAGATCTGCAAACTGGCTTATTTAGCTTACGGCAAATTAGAGCAGCAACTAACAACTTTGATATTGCATTTAAGATTGGAGAAGGCGGGTTTGGTCCTGTTTACAAGGTATCTGAACAATCCACATTTTTATTTGAATATCATTGAAAGATCTATTATTGTTGTTACTTCTTCTCAACTTCCAAAAGTATGTAAAAAAAAAATAAAAAAAACCCTTTTTAACAATCCTCGCAATGCAGGGTGTTCTTTCAGATGGCACAGTGATAGCAGTTAAACAACTTTCTTCTAAATCAAAGCAAGGGAATCGTGAGTTTATTAATGAGGTTGGCATGATTTCTGCTTTGCAACATCCTTGTCTAGTTAAACTCTATGGTTGTTGTATGGAAGGAGATCAGTTGTTGCTAATATATGAATACATGGAAAACAACAGTCTTGCCCGTGCTTTGTTTGGTAACTTTCTTTCTTTATATTCAAGTTTGGTAGCCCTTTTATTAATAATTTACAATCTTGAACACAAATCATATGTACCATATCCATATGCTGCCTAACTTCAATGACAATTGCAAATGAAGCGCAAGAAAAATATCAATTGAAGTTGGATTGGTCAACAAGGCAGAGGATTTGTGTTGGTATTGCTAGAGGTTTGGCTTATCTCCATGGAGAATCAAGGCTAAAGATAGTTCACAGGGACATCAAGGCCACTAATGTACTATTGGATAAAGATCTCAATCCAAAGATATCTGATTTTGGATTGGCCAAGCTTGATGAAGAGGGCTACACCCACATAACTACTAGAGTAGCTGGCACCTAGTGAGTTTTTATATAGTTTTGATTTTATGAAATTTGTTGAATAATATTTATCATTTTTTATGCCTACAGTGAGGAAAAATATAAAATAAAAGATGTCATATAGTAAGATACCTCATCAATTTATTTTATCTCCCTTATTTTGGCTTTAAAAGTTGTATTCTCTTTAGTTAAGGTGTGACTTTTCAATACTGCAGTGGATATATGGCTCCTGAATATGCAATGCATGGTTATTTGACTGATAAAGCAGATGTTTATAGTTTTGGAATTGTTGCCTTGGAAATTGTCAGTGGAAAGAGCAATTCCATGAACTGGCCAAAGGAAGATTGCTTCTGTCTTGTTGATTGGGTAACTTGTGCTTTCATGCTCTCCTGCTTTTAAGCCTATGCAATTCTCTATTACAATATATAGAAGATTATTTTTATTGTGTAAATGCTCCATTAAAAATCTAATTTAATTTTCTTCTTGTGTCACGTCTAAAGAACAAAAGAATACACTAACTGTGATTAAATAAGATAGGCTGTATTTTCCAACAAAAAGGTATTCAAATTAAGGTTCACTTATGCTCGCTAAATTTAAAAAATTTAGTGTCTGTGGCCATGCTGATATGGCCAATTGCTTTCTTTGCAAAGTCTTCAGTTTCTAATTGCATCTTGCCCAACTATACCGCTAACTAGAGTGATCTCATATTGCATTTCTAGTAAATACTTTATTGGTATCTTTGCTCCTAAATAAGTTGTTCAGTAGTTTTGTTGATTGATGTCAAAATTAAGTTGTTTGAATTTTGGTTTTTCCAGACAAATGACTTGAAAGGAAAAGGCAATGTAATGGACCTAGTGGATGAGAAGTTAGGCGAAGACTTCAACAAAGAGGAAGTAATGGTCATGATCAATGTGGCTCTTCTATGTACACAAGTTTCTCCGATGAACAGACCCACCATGGCTTCAGTTGTAAGTATGCTTGAAGGCAAAACTATGGTTCAAGACACGGTGTCAAACACAAGCCAGGTATTGGATGGAAAGAAGCTGGAGGTAATCCAACAGTATTACCATCTGAGAGGAAAAAATAAGATCCTTGAGACTCAAGAGGAGAGCATTTCAATTGGTGAAACTTCAGCATTTATGACTGAAACAGATCTATATTCTGTCAACCTGGATTCTTCTTACTGGGAAAAATGTGATTAGATAATCTATTATCTATCATCACATCACTTTGTAAATGATACATAGCTTATACTTAGGACTGTCCTTTCGTATTCTTAAAAATATGAGAAGTAGAAATAGTTCCCATGAAGTTTATTTTGTGTGTATGTATTGTAGTTTTTCATTTTATTATAGAGAACAATTTTATTTGCACAAAGCTTTTGTAAGGTTATATTATTGAATAAAATACTGGACCAAAGCAATAGCGGTGACTCTGCTAACTTAAGGTAAAACTCAGGCCAAAATATGAGTCTCAGGAGGGTCTGTCCAAGCATAAGGTTGATAAAAGTCATCAAGGCTCTTAAAAATATTAATAATATACTTTTCATACAAAAAAAGTAGATTACTAATCAACAAGTGGGTAACCACCTAAAAAGGATACTAAGAAAATATTTTCTTCTTAAGTAAATAAACTCTTCATCTTCTTATGCAAGCTCACTTTCCTAATTAGCAACTATTTTATTTATCTCATTAGTTAATTCCTTTATCCTATTAATTTTAATTATATATTTTATTGGTTAATACTAAAAAAAGTTAGAAAATATCAAAGTTGCTAAATTACTCACTGACATAAGTATTAAATATATGTTTAATATTATTAATAATTCATGCTACTTTAGTAAAATAACAATCTTTTAAAGCTAAAATTAATAAAATATTATTTCAATATTAATAACGTCTCAATAAAAATTAAAATGAGTTTATTATAAACTTTAAAAATATAATAAATGAAATCAAATATAATAATTTAATTACTAATTTTTATCTTAAAAATTTTGAAAATTGAACTTCAAAAAAATTTATATTAATTTTAGTAATTTATTTTAATTAATTTTAGACTCAATTTATTTGTATCTTTTTAGTTTTTTTAGTTTTGACTACATGTATTTTCTATGGGAAGTAATCAGTCTCGAAATGAATAAAACTACTATAAAACTACAACTCGAATTTCAAATCACAAATTAAGTGAAATTAAAACAACTCTTACCAACTACATAAACGATAGATTATTTATTTTTTAGTTTGAATCATATACAATCTTTTCATCTAGTTTTTTTAGTTAATTAAGTTTATTAATTTTAAAATTAGATAAAAATTCAGATCTTGGATTATTTTTTATTTAAAAATCTAAAATTTGAATCTTTATAATTTTTTTACAAATTGAACTAATTAAAAATAAAGGGACACAATCAATTCAAAAAAAAATAAAGCATAAAAAATGTACGTAGTATAAATTAAAAGGGGAAAATTGTATCTTAAAATTTGCTTTAAATTTAAATATTCATTAAATTGACACCAATCTCATCTTAGAAAAATAAAATAAACATACATAAAATGCTTAATTGTTAATCATAAATGGAATTGGACTCGGTCAGTCCGAGTTTGAAATATGTGTCACCTTTGGTCCTAATTTAGAACAGATAAGCCTTAAGATCACTTGTTCACGATAAGAACGACCATACCAAGTCTTTTGGCATAACAATGTACCATCAATTTTCATATTTGCATCGTAAAAAAATTACTCCCACCTTTTTCTGTATTCGTAGGGGTAATATATTTATTTTTATTATTTGTAATTTAGTTAATTAAAATATTTTTATATTTTATTTATAAAAATAAAAAGTATCATTATAAAATAAAAAATTATTAAAAATATGTTAAATAAAGTCTGAAATTATAAATATAATGTGTGACAGTGTGTGAATCTATTAAGATGAAAATAATTGAGAATGTTTGTTTATTAAGAGAATGAGAATAATAAATAAAATCTATTAAATGATCAAAATTATAAAAATTGAAATAAACAAATTTCTGAAAGTTATTAATATTTTTTTTTTAAATATAGCAATAAGTTTTAAATAATGATATAACCATGTATCTCAAAGAAAATAAAAATATAATAGAAGAAAAGTTAATGTTTAAGAGTGCGGTATCATATCCATATTATAGAGGTATATTTTTAACAAATTATTTAATGTGTAACTATTAAATTTATTTTTAATGATTTTAAAATAATAGATGTTTTTATTTTTATTTTTTATTTTTAAATTTTTAACTTCCCTTAACACACGTTAAAAAAAATTAGTAGCATTTAAAAAAAAATTTATGGGTATTATATTCAAAAAATTTATACCAATAAAAAAGAGACACATAATAAATTAAAAAAATTATCATATATATTTTATTTAAAATTATATTATTTATATTATTTTTTATATGATCCTATTATATATATATTATATATTAAATTTTTTTATTTTTTATAAATTATTAATTTTAAATAAAATATATTTTATATTTAAGTATTTTTTATTTATTATAAATAAAAAGAATTATGAATAATATATTAATTTAATAATTAATACTAATAATAATAAAATTAAAAATATAAAAAATATATTAATATAATATTATTATTTTATTTTTAAATTTTTTTTAATTTTAATTTAAATATTTTTTAACTTATTTAAATGTAATAAATATAATAATTTATTATTTAAATACGTGTTTAAATATTATTGATTAAAATTTTTTATGTACAGTATTTAAAAAAAAATTTATGGGTACCACAAAATTTATTAAAAAATTATCTAAATTATTACATTATTTAATGCATGTCTTTGACTACCTATGAGGGACGAATTATATCATCAATTAATTTGTTTTATAATATTAAATATTAAATAAATTAATTTAAAATTAATAAATACCTATAATTTAATTTACTGTGTATTACTTGGGTTTGAGTCTATCCTCATAGCGTAGATTGGGGTCCAGAAGAGATTTGCATGAGCAACACACCATTCTACACGATAAGCTTAAAAAGTGGTAATGAAATTGCAAGTTGCAATCGATAGATAAATAAATGTTGATTAAGACCTATATCATTATCCATATATGCCCAGGCTCCTACATATCCAATTATCCATACTCCATACATGACATTTCGAATGTTTCATGTTTTTTCTGTCAAATAACTTTACATTAATTTTGATCAATTATTTTTAGACTTTATGATTGGTATAGTTAATAATCGTCAGTTTAGGTTCAGATTCTTGGACTTTAGTAGTTTAACCGTTAAGTACGATTCTTGCCCCAGTTTAGGATGGTCAAGCTCTTATATTAATGTCTAAATACTTTGAACATTCCTTCAACCTCAACCTATTATTTCTTTCTATTTTGGATTGTAGTGAGCACCCCTAACTACAAATTAACTATAGTGTATTTTGTATATGCATTAACTGCATTAAAGGAATTTCATAGTTAATAGTCACAAATTATTTTATTTTTATCATTCCGTTTCTTTATTTTATATATTTTTTATTACATTTTATTTTTTTTCTTTATTTGTTGGTCTTAATAATTTGGTCTAGTTATTAATTATGACTGTAAAAATTGTCACAATAAATTAATAATATAAATGTGGAAATAAAAATTATTGTAATTAATGAATATGACCAAATTGAAATAAAACAAAAAAATTAAATGAAAAATAATAATAATAATTAAAAGACTAAATTAAAAATAGAGATAAAATATTAGCTTTACTTTATTTTTTAAAAACCTATAATTACTAAATTTTAATATAAATGATAAAAATTTAAATTCATATTTAAGAGATTCAACCATTTAAAAATCATGTAAGACTTTATTAATACATATTATATATATTGACCTATGTGTATAAGATATTTTTTTATTTAAATGAATTGTATTTATCTTCTCTTTAGAGATATTTAATGTCATAATTATTTGATTTTAAAAATAATACTTTTTACTACTCCTTAATATCTTTCTGTTTAATGACTTCTAATATAATAAAAAATTAGTTTTAAATAACATATATACATTGGTTTTAATATTTTTTAAAATTAAAACGATTTTTAAACAAATTATATCATTAGGTTTAGAACTTCACTCAATATTTACTTCATATTAACATTTAAGTTGTGCTTGGATGAGATGATCAAAAGTTTTAGAGAATTTAAAATTTTGATAAATTTAAATTACATCATTTTAACTTATTATTAATAATTAAACTTTCTTCATTTCAAATATTTTTATTTGGATAAGCTAATTAAATTACTTATATTCTTTAAAAAATAAAATTGTTGTTATATTTCATAAAAATAATTAAAAATATAATATTTAAATTATTAAATTAAACATAATCAAATAAAAATCTGGATAAAACACACAATAAATGGAAAAATTAATTCTAAATTTCAATCCAAATTTTTGTTGAGATTAAGGATTTTTTTTACTAATGTCTAATAATTTACATTGCTTCGTCTGAAACAATTTTTCTATCATAATAAGTAATCTAAAAATAATACTTATTGTATATTTTCATGAATTGACAATATAAAAAATTTACTACATCAAAATTAGTTTTTTAATTTAAAAAACATGTTCCTAATATTGTTTTATGCATTGATAATTAAGTTTGGAGTTTCAAACAAACCATCACTTATTTATTAAGTTGACTCTATTATCATTTAATAATTTAATATTATTTTTTAATTTTAAGAAAAATATTAAAAAAAATATAGACACAAGAGCTAGCTATTCTTATTCTTTATTGATTAATTTTTAAAAAATAATTCATTGATAAGAGCTATGTTTTTAAAATTGTGGTTATCTAACAGTCAAAACTATATTTATATATAATTAATTATATAATAATTATTTTTAATTGTTTACTATTATTATTTTTCATTATATTTTTAATCAAGTCATGATAGAAATGAATGTAACGGAAAACAACAGTTCTATAGGTTCCCTCGTCTTGGATGACACGCAACTCGAAAGTGGCAGCCATTCAATGCCAAACACTTTTTTTTTTTTTTTTCACTTTCAGGGCGTTAATTTTTTTTTTAAAAAAGTTTCATAATTCAAAACTTTATAATTTGATATGAAAAATCGTTAATATTTACAATTATTTTACATATTTCAAATAAAATAACCACCTACTTTTTATATACAATTATTACATATTACATAAGGATATGTTATTTTGAAATAATTTACGAATATATTTTGCATGCGCGGCCCTATTCATGGGTCACTTTTAATAATGAAGTTTTTTTTTCTTCATAAAACATTAATGACAATCTTTTAATTGATATTTGATAGGCAAAAGTATTCAATTAAGAATTTGTATATAAACATAATATTGGGATCAGAATGATTAATCATTCGTGAAAAGATAATAATGCATTGATGTTCATTTTACACCAAAAAGATTAGTTATCTCTTTATTAAATTAAATTAAATTCCTGCATATTCTTATAAATATTTTAAATACTTTACATAAATACTAAATTAATTGCTTATTTTATACAATACAAATAAAATGATAAAAAATAAATACATGATGTGTGTGTATTATTTTAATTTATTATTCTTTTTCATCCGAACAACTCAATATTTTTTTTCCCCGTCAATGAATCAAACGAAAGCAAGCCAAAGAATCCAAGTTTCACCTGCGCTGGTAGAATCCCCCAAGCTTCCGTAATTTCCTTTGATGCCTTCGTCATTTCAATTGGTGCTTATCAATTCCCCAATTTAAGAACCAAAAAAATAATAAAGAAAAAAGAAAACAACACACACACCCACACACTCTCTCTCTCTCTCTCTATCGGTGTGTCCTGTATCCATAAACACATGCAGCCGCAGTTGTATAAATGCCGATAAATAGACAGTGCGCCAAACGCAAGAGAGCTACAACAACCTCCTCTCTCCCATTAGCGCACTAACCAGAGAAAATGGGGAAGAGAGTTCAATGTGGTTTCTCTTATGCGCACCGTTTCAATGTTCCCTTCTTCTTCTCCTTCTTCTTCTTCCTCCTTCTTGTGAGAGCAGAGGATTGGGGATGGGGCTCTAAGCAGTGCGATTTGTTCACGGGCACATGGGTCATGGATCACTCCTACCCCCAATACCAACCCGCCACGTGTCCTTTCATTGAGCGCGAGTTCAGGTGCCAAGGGAATGGACGCCCTGATCTGATTTACACCCACTATAGATGGCAACCACTTACCTGCAATTTCCTCAGGTTCCTCTCTCTCATCGATCATTATCACTCTCCCTCCCTAATCCTTCTTTTCCCTCCTATACTTATCAAATTTATATTTTCTAAAATTAAATAACCTTTTGCTTGTCCAATTGTGCCAGAGATTTTTGGTCATGCAATGGCTAATACTTTTTATTTAAAAAAATCTTTTTTTTTTTCAAAACAAACAGGACTTGTCTTAAATCAATAGCGTCTCTCTCTCTATTTTTTAAAAAAATATAGAAAAATTGTCTTAAAATAAATGAAGTCAGACACTTATTATTTGTGTGAACTATGTAAATATAATTTATTTTTAAAGAATGCTTTTACATATATTTAAATGAATTTAAGAAATATTTTGAATCTATATACGTCTGTGTGAGGTTGTGGTGGTGGGAAACGCTTATTTATTAGTTTATTTTAAATTCAATGAATGGGAAATGATTTAAGAGATAATATAAAACAATTATTTTTCTAAGAATTAATACCATTTTATTATTTTCAAATAGACCTATGGTAAATTTAATAACTTCAAACTTTGTTTTTCTTTTTTTTACAAATTATCTATTTTTTTCCGTGTTAGCGAAGTAAATTATTACAAATTAGCATAAAAATAATGAATAAATCACGTGGTCCGATCCCATCATCCAGCCTGTAAAAAATAGAGAATTACAAAAAAGCATCGGAAAGACATTAGCGGGGAATTAGATGTTCCGAATGTTTGGCTTGCATTGGCAAACGCAGCTTCACGTGCACCCGTAAAAGCACTTTGGCAGCTGTGTAGGAAAAAGTGCTTTGCAACATTGTCTGTTACAAACAAACAACCCAACAGTATTAGATTCATATTTTCTTAATTATTTTTTTTTAATGTGAATTTAGAGACATATAATAAAAACTTATATTATAATCATTTTATATAAAAAATAAAAAACTATCATACAAATTTTTTAACACTATTAAGAAAACTGTTTATTAATTATCAACTACTGCGCCGATAAATGTAGTGTCGGTTTGCACCTTTAACATTTCGTCTTATTCCGAATGAGTCCATCTCCTTTTGTCCCATTTTTTTGGTTTTCGAGAAAAATAGAGCAACTTGAACTGGAAAGTGAAGTCAGCGACAATTTATAGCAGTAACTGACATTTCGTATGTAGTTCTTTCATTAATTATTCTGAAAAGTGAAGCCAGTAACAAGTTACTATTATTTCAATTTTTCATTTATTTTTGAGATTTTCAAATTTATTTCATTTGTCCAATGTTTAATTGCAGATTTAATGGGCGAGATTTTCTGGAGAAGATGAGGGGAAAGAGCATCATGTTCGTTGGAGATTCACTTAGCAGGAACCAATGGCAGTCCTTGACTTGCATGCTTCATTCAGCCGTGCCCAATTCCAACTATACTTTGGTTAGAGTTGGAGATGTTTCTATATTTACATTTACGGTAAGGATTTAATTTTTTATTATGTTACTATGATCTAAGGTTAATTGAATGGGTCCTGCGCATTATCATTATTTTGTCTGACTTTTGCATTAAAGTGGGGGAAAGAAGAACCTTTTTCCGTCCAGCAAAGAGATGGTTGTGTAAGAAATTGTTTGAAGTATATTATATAGTATTTTTTTTTTATCGTGTATTCAAAATAAAAATTTATATATAATAAATTTTATTAAAAAATATATAATATTATAAAGTGTAATATATTAATAACATTAAATATTATAACTTTTAATAAAAAATTATTATTTATTAATTTTAAGGCCTTACGAAAACAGTTTATGCAAAAAGGAATCGACAACTTAGGTTAAGGTAAAATATGGTTAAGTCATAAGTGGTCCCCATTGCTGTCCATATTGATAAATCACTTGAGGAAATGGCTTCAATTTTTTTGTGATGGTTAAGTCATAACGTGTCCCCCTCTTGCCACTTGCAAGTTCAACCCTTTCTGTTTCTCTTATCTTCGATTGAAGAAATGGAAGGCTTAAACCTTCAGAAATGATCCTCTTTCGTCATTGTCATAATGCATACCAATATTTCTTATTCACTTCGGTATTTTATGATTGTATAGTTTTTGGCTTTAGCGTTGTTTTAAATTGCATTATTTGTTTACATCATTATATTAGGGAATCTTCATTCATTCATATTTTATTTCTGAATAATTTGCAGGAGTATGAAGTTAAAGTGATGCTAGATAGGAACGTTTATCTAGTTGATGTTGTCCGTGAGGATATCGGAAGGGTGTTGAAGCTTGATTCAATAGAAGGAAGCAAGTTGTGGAAAGGGATTGATATGCTTATCTTCAACACATGGCACTGGTGGTACCGTAGAGGACCCACTCAACCGTAAGTTTATTTCGGGGCTTATAATTAAGTTTAAACAAAATACATTTAAAATTACCTTTACAAGTTTATAAACCATTAAGAGTTGAAATAATTATTGTAATTTTGTTATTAAATGAGTTTATGATGAATGAAAATTTCTCAGATGGGATTATGTCCAAGTGGGCAATCAAATTTTGAAAGACATAGATCGGATGAAGGCTTTTGAAGAAGCACTTAAGACGTGGGCTGCATGGGTTGATGCCAACGTAGACCCTGCAAAAGTGAAGGTCGTCTTTCAGGGGATTTCTCCTTCTCACTACAAGTAAGCTATTATGAACCCATCCATTTTTTCTTTTTGTTATTCAGAACTCAAAAGTAGCAACTAATTCATAGAATCGTAGTAGAAACAAAATTTTGTGTGTGTGTGAAAATAAGTTAGAAAAACTTGCAAACGTAAATTCGAAAATACAACTAGTTTTGTTAAAATAAATGTGGATTTAAAAATATTAAAACGTGGGTGGTCTAAACACTCTATTAGCTATCTTAACGACATGGAAATACGTTTTCTTTTCTTGAAGCACAATTAATAACAAAATATCTCAAATTTACTAGCGCGTTTCCATTTTGTTGGACACTCAAGTTTGAGTAAAGTTTACAAGAGACAAGCTTTTCCCCAAATCACAGTTTGGGACTTAACAGAAATTCAAACACATTATAGTGTGATTATTAGCATTAATATCTTGAACTATAGGATCCAATATAATCTAAAACCTTACAAATGACAATGTTTCTATTTGAACACTGATTTCAGTGGCAGCCTATGGAATGAACCAAGTGCAAGGAGTTGTATTCGGCAGAAGACACCGGTGGCCGGATCAACATATCCCGGAGGATTGCCACCGGCTGTGGCGGTGTTAAAGAGTGTGTTGAGCACAATTAAGAAACCAGTTACCCTACTTGACATCACAACCCTTTCATTGCTTCGAAAAGATGGACATCCTTCCATATATGGTCTTAATGGACCAACGGGAATGGATTGTAGCCATTGGTGTCTTCCTGGTGTTCCAGATACTTGGAACGAAATACTTTACAACCTTATTTGATGGGAAATTTTTTATTCATGATTGAATTGGGGGGGGGGGGGGTGGGTTTAGTGAATTCTTATGGAAAAAAAAATTATATAGAAAAAACAGGGTTGGCTAAGAGACCACCTTGATTGGATTGTGCCTAGTGCAGAAAGTGAATAATAATAGTATTATTCAGGATTTATAATACATGTATACTAAGTTATCCTTTTTTCCCCCTTAACTTCATCAATCTTATCGCATACTTTACTAGATTAACAATATTATGGGACAACCAAGGTAACGTGTTCGAGCAGCGGACTTTTCTTTCTTTGCTATGAAAAATTTTAGAAAGGGAATTTAATGTGATTAAAATTTGATGGCTTAGTGATTGCCTTCTTTAAAGCGCTATTTGATGCAAGGGATACCAACGAAAATGAAATTATAACAGTATAAGATCGCAAATACAAATGACAATGAATAGGGTATTAATGTGAAATTTGGCTAAAATCAAAGACAATCAGTTCCATTCAGATTGCCCCAACAACAGGTGCATTTAGGATTTTCTTCGAACAACTTCATACATAAATAGTTATGCCAAATATAATTAAACCAATTGTTTGAATTCCTATTTTCTAGCAATCAACCTAATCTAAATATTTTGCTGCTGTGTACTTGTTGTCTCAGTTAAACCCATTTCGCTTCGGCTAGAAGGGTGCTGGGATACCGATTCAATGTCATCTTCACCCATGCATACGTTTGATATCACCCTGATTCCGCATTAAACTAAACAAAAAATTTGGTGGTGAACTTTCTTTTCGAGTTTTCGTAATGGAATTGGGGATCAATTAGCCATATCAGGGACTTATAGACAAGCTACCAATAAGTCATTATCGGATTTATTTGAATCCACATTATGCTTGTGTCATGGACAATGGATGACTAGAGGTGTCAACAAAAATACCGATGCATTATTTTCTTAGAAAAATTCTACTAAATTTATATATACTATAAGGAGTGAAAGGCTACCTAGGATAACAGGTATGTGATCATGAAAGAAAATAGCAAACTTTAAAATTATGAAAAAAAGAAAAAACAAAGTGGCATCAAAGAATCGTGATCTTACTTAAATGGGGGCCCATTGCTTGTGAATTGCCTAGCTACGCATTCCATGAATTAAACAAAACCTTCACATTCACTCTAATAGGTTGCCGTCTTAATAGTTAGTGGTAAGTTAGAACAATGTGAAATATAAAGAACGAGTTATCCAACTCTTGTTAAAATTTTGAGTGTATTACAATTGTATCATTAATTATATTAATCAAATTTATGATTACTTAACTATTATTAAAATTTTAATGTAGACCTAATTTTTTAACCATTAATTTTTCATTTGGCTTGAGATTTTTTATAAGAATTTGGGTCATTTAATATTGTTTTATTTTATTCGACATTCTTTATGTTTTTTAACCAAATTCTAATATATATTAAAATTAAGTGTGAGTTAATATAAAAGTAAGAAAGAGAGAACTTTAAACTTGAATGATTTACTCATGACACTTTTATTTATATACCCACCAATTTAAAACCTTTATTATTAATTTCTACCTTTGTTTTTTATTCGATCCGATGAGTTTTGTTTGCTTGTAGTAGTTAGAACTTCTTACTTTACTCTTATCATCAATCTAAGATTCTTTCAAGTGTCAACCAGTGGAAGACACTTGCATGTTTGTTGCGTGTTGCAGTGGTCCAATCAAAATTTAAAATTGAGAAAACCAGCTTAGCTCCTTTTGTCGGTGAGGTTCCCTCTCTAATCAAATATAAAGTACATTTACATCATTAATACATGATGCATGGATCAATTCGTCGAGCCATATTGGCAATAATGTGCTCATTCTTCTTACAATCATTAGATCTATCTATGTTCATGAAGCCAATTGCTTTCACATGCCTGTCCAAAATGGAATTTAAAAAACTGAAGAGTTATGTTGACTACACAACTATTAGATTCTGCAGTCTAGAGGAAGATTCCTTCTGATGTCATGTAGTTTTATCTACTTTTATTTTAATCAAATTTCTATCAATGTAGTTGTGTACAATTGTCAATACAAAATTGGTATATGGTATCCTAAACAGAAACAAATTTGAAACCTATAAAAGCCGAAGGACATGTAACTTGAATACGAGAGGAGACATGCTAATCAAAATTGAAGACATAAGATTAGTTAACTAGATTAGAAGAAATAGTTGATGAAAGTTTCTATTCTAGATAGGTCCCAAGTCCCAACAACCTTAACCATGTCCAAGTGATATCCTTGTTGCGTGCGGATTTAAGGTGCAACTAATATTCAAGATGGTAATTGGATAGTAGAAAATATGGATCAATTGGTTTCGTATAAGAAGTGAATGCAATGGATTGTTAATCCTATGGTCATGGAAGTGTTCTTCTAAAGCAATTCTCATTTCTCACGTAATTTTGGGCTTGCAACGGGGATGAGAAGAATGACATAAAAGTAAGCTAAGTTGCTACCTGGAAGGAACAACCTAACCAATTAGTGGTTGAACATTTATAATCCTAAAAGTTCACTACTGACGATGACCTTTGTAAAGGAAGTGTTTAGCTACTACGTCCACACATAAGCTTTCCTTGATGTATATATATATGTTAATTATTACATTTATCAAAAATATTTTTGAACAATTCGAAAAATGATACTTACATGGAAAATTATCCCAACAAATAAAAATGAACTTTAATAAGAATATTATCCTTTAAAGATTTATATATATATTTTTAAAAAAATTTCTAAATACGTAATTTTTATTGTCGTATAATTGTTCTATATTAAGACTTAAATATATCAAAAAAGTCAAATTTAAAAGACTAGTCTATTAAATAATAGTATTTTAAAATATTAAGAACATTTTATTTTATTTAATATGAGAGTCGTCATATTTAATTTTTTAATCTATTTATATAATGTCTAATATAATTCATATAATATGATATCAAGTTTATATAAATGTTAATGTGATATTTATTTTTTATATTTTTTAATTTTAATTTTATAACTTAAGAATTTATTAAAAATATAAAAGATGTGATATTATTAATAACACATTTTGTCCATATCTCAGTTAAATTATATAATTCAATCTAAATGTTATTAAGTAAATAATAAAATAAGTTAATTAATTATTAATAAATTTTAAATTAAATTAAAAAATATTTTTTAAAATTTATATTAAAAATTGAAATAAAGTGAATTTATATATCATAATTTGAAAAATCAAAATTTTATTTAAGTCATAAAAATATATCTCATAAATTTTTTAAGGTAAACTTGTACTATATTAAAAAAATTTACTGTAGAATTATGATATTATTCACTTGCACGAGGCTTTATAAACGACTGCTGCGGATAATATCTGTACTATCACCTTTAAACAAGTTACATGATTTGGAAAATAATATTGTAAAAAATTGAAGGTTTCAATTTATTTAGTTAAATTTTTGTTTTGATCTCTTTTTTTTTTTTAAGAGTAACTTCTTCTATAAATTTTTAAAAATTTGATTTTAAACCCTATTATTAGCAATATATTAAAACAAAATCTTTTAAAGACATATCATTAAGCTTAGTGGATGGTATATTAGGGAATAAAATTTAAATAATAAGATTATAATAATCATTAAATAAACAGATTAAAAAAATTATAGATATCAGACCCTAAATTTGTAAATTATAAAAATAAAGAAACAAAATTTATAAATGTACAAAAAATAAAAATAAAAATAAACTTTAAAAACTGGAAATTCATTTAAACGAAAAATGAATTATAAATAATAAGTGGGAACAAAATTTAGGGTCAGAAAGACAAATTTACTTGAGTAACTATTGTGATTGTAAGTAACTAATAAATATTACTTAACGAATCGAATTGGCTAAAACGTCCACTCGAAGGAAGTAACATATCTAACGGAGTGAAGTGGACGTCGAATCTGAATCTCAAAGAAAAAGTTTCTTTTTATAAAAGAATAGAGAGAAAAAATGGTAGGCCAACAAAATGATGCAAAACGGGCTTCACGTCTCCATCATAAATGGTTTTGACTTTTCAACCTCCAAACACCAAATCAACAATATCGACAAACATCAAGAGATTGTCCAAACCCACAAGTTTAGTGCATTTTTTTTTTACCTTCAATTTTGTTATTTAAATGTTAAATGTGTATATTATATCATATTATTTTTATCTTCTGTTTATTATTCATATACATATATTAAATCAATCATTTAATCTTCTAAAAATGTTCTTATAAAAATTAATAAAACTTCTTCAGTAAATAAAAGAGCTTCTTTTAAAAGAAAAAGTTATTTTTAACTTACTTTTTATTAAAATATTTTATAGAAGTTTATTAAAAAAAAGTCTAAATCCTTAAACTTTTTCATAGAATTTCTAGTTTAGCATGCATTTTTTTATCTATTTTTTCGTCCACCAGTGCAATGGCACTAAACAACTACGTATATTTCCCTATTATTTCTATAAAAAGAGATCTAGATTGTCTCTAGTTTATGTGAGAATTGGACCTCCAGCTTATTTTTTACTTAAGCGATTTTAATTCGTTTAAGCAAAAATTGATTAATTTTGCTTAAAACTGTGATAAAATGGCTTGAGTCAATTTTCAAAAAATAAATAGCTTAAGCGAGAAAAAAGGTTTAAGCAAAAATGATAGGTTTAAGCAAAAAATGGATAGAGAATTTTAATTTTTATTCAATCTTTTCTTCTCTTTCTCCTCACACCTATCATTTTGTCCTCAACCTCAATATTCAACCATCTTTAACCTCTACATTCAACTTTTTTTTCTTTTTCTTATACCTAATTCTTCTCTTTCCCTCCTAACTCTCTTTTCCTTCAACCTCATACATAACTCCTCTCTTCCTCTTTTCATTCTCACCCTACCTAATACTTATTTTTCCCTTTCTTCTTTATACTTAACTCTTCACTTTCCTCTTCCTCTACTACCAAAATTTTTTACGCAAAATTAGCTTAAGCTAATTTTTTTGACTTAAGCGAATTATTTTAACTTAAGCGGATTTTATGTATTTGAAGATATGAAAGCTGGGTATAGAGAAAAGAAAGGATGAAGAATGGATGTAGATAAGGAGAGCGGGTGGCATAAGAGTAGCTTAGGAGAGCAGGTGGTATAAGAGTAGCTTAAGAATGAATAGAGAGTTTTAATTTTCACTCAATCTTCTCTTTTTCTTCTCTCTAAACCTAACATTTCCTCTTCAAACTCCATATTCAACCTTCCTCTTTCTCTTATACCTAACTCTTCTCTTTCCCTCCTAACTCTCTTTTCATTCAACCTCATACCTAACTCCTCTTTTTCTCTTCTCATTCTCACCCCACCCAATACCTATCTCTCCCTCTTTTCTTTATACTTAACTCTTCACTTTCCTCTTCCTCCACTACTAAATTTTTTTACTTAAAATTAGCTTAAGCTAATTTTTTGGCTTAAACGAATTGTGCATATTTGCTTAAGTGAATTATTTTAACTTGAGCAGATTTTGCATATTTGAAGATATGAAGGCTAGGTGTAGAGAAAAAAAAGACTAAAAATGGATGTAGATAAGGAGAGCGGGTTGTATATGAATGACGGTGGAGGAAGAGGAAAGTGAAGAGTTAAGTATAGAGAAGAGAAGGAGAGATAGATATTGGATGAGGTTAGAATGAGAAGAGGAAGAGAGTAGTTGGGTATGAGATTGAAGGAAAAGAGAGTTAGGAGGGAAAGAGAAGAGTTAGGTATAAGAGAAAGAAAAAAGTTGATTATGGAAGTTCAATGGGGTTGAATATGAAGGTTGATGAGGAAATGTTAGGTTTAGGGAGAAGGAGAAGAGAAGATTGAGTGAAAATTAAAACTCTATTTATTTTTTGCTTAAGCCTGTCATTTTTGCTTAAACCATTTTTCACTTAAGCTATTTGTTTTATGAAAATTGCCTCAAGCCATTTTGTCACAGTTTTAAGCGAAATTAACCCATTTTTACTTAAGCGAATTGGAATCGCTTAAGCGAAAAATGAACTGAAGGTCCAGTTTCTATGTCAACTAAAGACAATCTGAATTTATAAAAAGTTATTACTTCTTCGTTCTTTATATTAGATATAACTTGATTACTTTTTAAAAAAATTATTTTTTACTTTAAAATATTAAAAATATTAATTATTTTTAATAATATCTTTATTTATTTGAAATAATTTTTATTAACTAATGATTGTGATAACTTTAACACTTTTAATTGAGACATTTTAGTGAAATTAATATATTTTACTATAGAAATTGGTGAAACTAATAATTTTTATGTGCATTAGTATTAAGTAATATGTAATATGAGAAAGGATGAATATTTATTAACAGATAAAAAAATGTTATGCATTAAAATTGTCTCTAATGATGTAATCTTTGTGTAATACAATAAATTTTTAGTGTAAATAAATATGAATTTATATTAATATAAGATACATTACACTAACACTTAATGTTTTAACAATGAATATTAAATTCTTACACTGATAAATTATTTATTAATATAATATATTATACTATTAGAATAAACTTATAATGTTTATATTTATCAATTTGATTTCTATTAGACAAAAATTATATTAACATAGTCTAATTCAATGTCAATTCATTATTATATAAATCTATATATAGTCCACCATCTTACTTACCTTCACCAATACACTCTCAATCACTTTAGTTAAAAATGATGTGTCATGTTTCATGTTCTTTGTATTTTTCTTGTTTCTTTTTATAATGTTATTTATTCTATGGTTGCGGTGGATTTTAGTTTCACAATGATTACGTTCTAAAAATAAATAAATAAATGGTGTACATTGCCGATAATGCTGAGATGTTAGTTTTTTTTTTTTTCTCAGCTAAATATGTACATTATGATAGATGACTTTGGATGTTGACTTTTGATTTCCTATTTAGTGCACTATACTAGGGATTTGGGGAGCTGTGATAAATGTAGAATTTTAACCTTGGTTTGTCTAGATTTTGCATTTGAAAATAGATTTTGCATTTGAAAATGAAATCTATTTTCATGGATATATTCTGGTATGCATATGTTGACTATAGTGTTAAGATTATGGAGTAATTGCATGAATGGAAACAAATCAATTAAACGCAAATGAGTGGCCCAATTCTTTTAGTTGTATCACGCTATTGGACTTGTCAAGCTTTGCTGAAAAACCCAAATGACAATTCGGGGAATCCTGTGTTCTTATATACGAAACTCTAAAGAAGTGTCAATTAAAGTGGCTTTGTTGGATATTTTTTTTCTTCTTGATATTGGGAGCTTGCTTTAATTTAGCAGCTGGAAGCAATTTTATGAGTTTGTATTTAGTTATGAATGATTTTCCCTCTGCAATTAATTCCCCATGCTTGTGTACTTCAGGAGTTGAAAGTGAACTCCAATTTGTATTCATCATCGTAGTTAAAGTGATCATTTACCATCCTTAATAGTAATAATTCCATGATCATTTGTGTACTTCGATCCAAAATTCCTGAGTGGTTATTATAGTGTTTTTGCCTCTATTGGCTACCCATGCAACTATTTTGGGAGACATGCATGTTTTCATAAAAAAAAAATATTATTTCATTTTGTATCGTACCCTTCATCTACTGTATTAATTAATATCTCATTTATATTATCTTCTATCAAACACATTAAAGATAAAATTGTATTAAAAAAATTAGTTGTTTATTAATTTTAAAAATAACGATAGTAATAATAAATAAATAAATGGAGGAGGGAGTACATCTATGTGTTGCATGACAGAGATAATGTTCTTTCATAAACAAGTAGTTGGGTCGGTAATACTACAAGTACAAACCCAGGGGAAGGTAGAAAACACCTTAATGGATTACGAAATGTTCATAATCATGAAGAATCAAAAGCTATTGAATGTGTTGGTTTCTAGTTTGAACTTCATGGTACAATGAGTTATAGTAAAGGAAGAAAATGAACTACTTTGATGACAATATGAGAGCCTTGTTGGTCAAAATTTTCTACCGTGGCAGATACTTTTGGGACAATTTTAACATTTAACACATGGGTTGTCACAGTACATTAACATCACAAGAGCTTGTGACAAGAAAGTTGTTTCTTACTTACAGGTTTTATTACATTTCCTTTATACTTTTTAGAAAGTATTAAATTAATTGATCAAGTTGACAAGAAAATAGGAGTGTTAAGATGGGCCAATGTGTTCAGCCCAAATGGTCTAATATATAACATAGATTAATTCTTGACCCAAAAAAAAAAACAATTGGGTCTTAAAAATTCAGGTTTAATTTCAAGTGATCAAATCCAATTTAGTATTTTGGTACAATTTTTTTTCTAGGAGGAGGAGATGATACCTGTTTTAAGGCAGGGAAAGCTGTTGGACTTAAATGAAGACTTATATTTACCTTAAGAAGACAAGTGGAGTTTCAAACGTACCATTTGTCATATGTAAAACCTTCTCTTACTCCACTGAAATAACCCCTTGAGATGTTCATTATTATTTGTGAAGTTCTTTTTTTAAGAAAAAAAGATATATTTGATAATATTTTCGTGAAATATTAATTTATAATTTTTTAAAAATTCAAGTGATGATGCTTGGGATATTAAACATATAAAAGAAGCATTAATTTTTTTTTATAATTGAATAATTTTTTTTTAATTTTAATGCCCCTATCAATCAATTAAAATATATTATAAATATACTTTTTATATTAATTATTATAAAAACTAATATTCTTGCTAATATGACAATTCATAAACAGATGAGATTGTAAAGATTCTTTACATTATTGAAATTAAATTTAAATACAAATTAGAATAACATTTTCAATTAATAACTATTTTTCTAAATAATATTGTTTTTATTAAATAAATTATTAACTGATAAAACAAGCTTAACCATCATATTTGTGAGAGTAAATTTGCTTTTAGAAAAATATAAAAAGCTCATCGTTTATTAAAGAATAATTCCAAATCTTTTTTTTTTAATTTAGAAAATTGTTTAACTATTAAATAAAATACATCAGTTATCTTCTATGTCTTTAATATAATAAATGCATATGGTAGTTTATTTAATACTGATTAACAATTTAAGAACTTTAAACAAAACAAGGAGGAAAAACTCTCCTATATAAATGTGGAAAGATAGTGAGCAGAAGAGTAAGTAAGAGATTAAGAAATGGGTTTGTCTTGTGTGCGCCATTTTTCCTCTGACCTTAGTATCTTCTTCTTCATCATCTTCTCCTTGGTCTTTGGGTTGGTGTTAGAAGTGAATGGAGAGAGTTTGGATTCGAAGCAGTGCGATTTGTTTAGTGGGAGATGGGTGAAGGATGAGACGTACCCACTTTACCAACTCGCCATGTGTCCGGTGACGGAGAAAGGGTTCCGCTGCGAATCCAATGGTCGCCGGGATCACACTTATACCCACTACAGATGGCAGCCAAGTGCCTGCAATTTACTAAGGTTGCTTACCCTTCCCTCTTTCATTTCAATTTTTTACACTTTCAAGAACAAATTTTCAAATAAATTAACCTATTCAAATAAATAATTTCATATTATCTTACTTTTATTTTATTTTTTAAAATTATTAAATTTTTTTTTGGTATTTTTAAGATAATATATATAATCCTTGCTTTTTAAAATAACAGAATGGAATATGTTAAGAAGATGTGTGTAGGATAATATAAGAAAATTATTTTAAAATTTAGAATAATTTATACATATCTCGTAATTATATTTAATATTTTATGAAAATTAATTATATTAAATTTTAGATCAAATCGATATTTAATACATGCTTCAATATAATTAATTATAGAACAAAAATTATTTATATTAATTATTTATAAAAAAATTAATTATTAAAATGAATTCAATCAAACACACATTTTATCTTTAAATTAACATTTTCATAACACCAATATCACTGATTTTAAGAAATTAAAAATAGTGAAGTTTTATTTTAAAAAAATATTACATTTTTATACTTTAGATGTAGTAAATATTTTTAATATAATTTTAATATTTTTAGATGTTTAAAATCAGTTATAAAATTTAAGGTTAACAATTTTTTAAAATCAATGGCATGTTTATCTCTATTTTTTTTATAATAATCTTTTACAACTCTTTAAAAAATTTAAAATTTTGTCCTAAAATAAATTAATTTGAACACGTATTATGATTGTGCCAAACATATTAAAAAAAAGAGTTTTTAAGGGCCTTTGGCCCATTTGCATATAAAAGTAATAATTTATTTTTAAAGAATAATTCTACATATATTGAAACACTACTAAAGAAATAATGTTTATCTAATAATTTTTCATGCCTTTACATGTTAGAGGTTGCGAATGTTTGGCCTTTGATGGCAAACGCTGCTCACGTGCTCCGTAAAAGCACTGTGGCAACTATTTTTAGAAAAAAGGGCTTTGCAACATGTCAGTTACAAACAGACAACTCAACACTACATTAAATAGAATTTTCATTTTATCAATTTTTTTTATATAAAAACTACTGCTACTGTAAAAGTAAATATGCTTTATTAAATGTATTAAATTATTGTAAAATATATATTAAATGCTTTTTATAAATTTGAAATAATAAATATTTTACTTTAAACCAAAAAGAAATCATTTTTAACTTTTGAACACATGTTCTTGGTATTCATTTGTTTCATTTATTTTGCTGGTATTTTCAAATTTATTTAATTTTCCAACGATTAATTGCAGATTTGATGGGCGAGATTTTCTGGAGAAGATGAGGGGGAAGAGCATCATGTTTGTGGGAGATTCACTGAGCAGGAATCAATGGTACTCTCTGATTTGCATGCTTCATTCAGCAGTGCCCAATGCCAGTTATACTCAGTGTAGAGTTGGAAAAGTTTCTACATTTACATTTACGGTATGAACTCAAATTCCGAGTATGTTGTTGTATGAGATATATTATTTCGACACTACATTTTCACAATAAAAAATATAAACTCTTTTTATTTATTAACATTTCTCATGTTATGTCTATATACTATGATCCACCATTGATTTATTATGGTGGTGCAAGAAATTGTTTGTAGTGTTACCATGAGCAATAGACAAATTGGGATAAGTTACAATTAATATGGTTAGGTCATGTGTCTTCCCTTCCCCTTGGCTTGTCCACATTCATGAGTCTTCAGGAAACAGCTACCTTTCCCTGTTGGCTTCCATTCTTTGCAACGATTGATTCATAACATGTTTTAAAAAAAATAATTTGCAGGAGTATGAAGTTAACGTGATGATACATAGGAACGTGTATCTAGTTGATCTTGTCCAAGAGAAATTCGGCAAGGTGTTGAAGCTTGATTCAATAGATCAAGCAAGCAAGTGGTGGAAAGGGATTGATATGCTTATCTTCAACACATGGCACTGGTGGAACCGTAAGGGACTCACTCAAATGTAAGTTTCTTAAGTTTATCTAATAAGAACTTTAATCAATTAAGTTTTGTTGTAATGAAATGAGTTTGACGAATGGGATTCTCAGATGGGATTATATCCAAGTGGGAAGTAAAATTGTGAAAGACATGGATCGAATGAAGGCTTATGAAGAAGCACTTAAGACCTGGGCTGCATGGGTTGATGCCAACGTAGACCCTAGAAAAGTGAGGGTCTTCTTTCAAGGAACTTCTCCAACTCACTTCGAGTAAGCAAGAATGTTTTGTTTAATTAGATTTGTTGTGGCACGACATTGTTACCAATTTGAACACTGATTTTAGTGGGAAGGACTGGAATAAACCAAATGAAAGCTGTAATGGGCAGCAGACACCATTGCCAGGATCAACATATCCCGCAGGATTGCCACCAGCTTTGGGCGTCTTAAAGAATGTTCTAAGTAGAATGAAGAAACCAGTTACCCTTCTTGACATCACAACCCTCTCACAGCTTCGAATCGATGGACACCCTTCCATTTATTTTGGTGACGTTGGATCCACCGGATCAGATTGCATCCATTGGTGTCTTCCTGGAATTCCAGATACTTGGAATCAGATCTTTTACAACCTTATTTGATGCCAAATTTTATTCATGATTCGATTAAGTGAATGGTTTTGTGGATTCTTATACAGAAATTTTTATATATAGAATAATATGGCCTCGCCTAAATGACCCCCTTCATCGGATTATGCCTTGTGCCTAAGTCAACAATATCAATAACATTTTAACGATTCATAAAATTACTCAGTAAAAGCATTTGTTATTGTGAAAAATTAAAATAATGAATGCAAACTATTATATTTTTTTAAATAATTACAATTTAAATACAAATATACATAGTTTTATTATTTATAATATATAATCTCTTAAATGCTTGATGTGGAAACGTCATTTCAGCACCTAAGTTAATATTGTTTTCGTCTCATAATTACTTAAGGGCTTTTTTACGTTGAAAATTGTGTAGCCATTGATGTTATAACTACTCGTTAAAATTAATTTTTTATTCATAAATTCATAGAAAAACATTTGTTTGAAAAAGTACAAATAAAAAAGAAGTATATTAAAAAGTTTATAAAAACAAAAATTATTAATTTATATGTATTTATATTATTTTTTTAACTTATATAACATTATAAAGGATAAAAATTATATATAATAATTTTTTTATTAAAAATTGTAACATTAACAGTATTAATATATTTAATTGAATTAATTATTTTTAAAATTTTATCATATAACTTCTTATCTTTTAAAATATTATATATATATATATATATATATATATATATATATAATTCACTATACTATCCTATTAATGTTACATTAAATATTATACTTATCAAATATATAGACAATTAACTAAAATAATATAAATAGTTAACTATTTCTTTTTTTCTTTTTCTTAAAGTTAACTATTTCTGTTAAATGTAACACATTTGTAATAATAATAATAATTTAAAATAAATTAATATTTAAAATTATGTGTTTATATTAAAGCTCATAGTTATTCAATTCTTAAATATTAAAATAAATATATTATTATAAAAATTTAATAAAATTAAATTAACTACCCTATCTTATTAATGTTGTATTAAATACTATATTTATTAAATACAAAAAAAAAACTGAGATAATTTAATTATTTAACTATATTAATAAATGTAACATATTTGTAATAACTATTATTGAGTGGAAACTATTATTTATTCTATGTATTTATATTAGAATTTATAATTATATTCAATTATTTGATATTAAAATAAATATAATATCATGAAAAATTTAATAAAATATATATAATTGACTACGTTATTCTATTGATGTTGCATTAAATACTATATTTATTAAAAACGAAGACAATCAATTAAAATAATATAATTATTCAATTGTATTTATTAAATGTAACGCATTTATAATAATTATTATTACTTACTGTAAACTTTTATTTAAAGCTCTGTGTTTATTTTAGACTTTATTGTTATATTCAAATCTTTGTTATTAAAATAAATATTATATTATCTAAGTTTTAATTAAAAAATAAAAATAATATAATTATTTAACTATATACTTTTTGCTAAGAATTATTTAACTATATTTATTAAATGTAACATATTTATATTAAATTTTTTTATTGTAAACTACTATTTAAAATTCTATGTGTTTATATCAAAATTTGTAGTTATATTCAATTCTTCATTATTAAAATAAATTTAATATTATAATAATTTTAACCAAAAAATAATAATAGTTTTAATTCATAGTAATGAAAATTAATAAAATACAAGTAAATGAGATACACCTAAAAGGATAAAGTTTATTGTTATACATAAACTTAAATTAATTCATAACTATGTATATATGTAAAAGTATTAAAATTCATAATTATTTATCTCCCTCTTTCTCTCGATATACACAAGTAAAATTGACTAAACAATCCTATTAATTTTGCATTACATACTAAATACATCTCTCATAGATAAATATAAATAAGATCAAATGTAAAATTTAGTATGATGACATTTCAAATAACATTTTACCAAAAGTACTTTTTTGAAAAAAATAATCATTGATTAATGTAAAATTATTAAGATGGTGGTGTATATTAAACTTTATACAATTTAGATATTTATTGTTCTGTAATGTAATGGTAGTTACTCTCTTATATTTTGAACAGTATATTATGTGCTAAAATAAAATAGAATAATAAAATTAAATTAATTTTTAAAATGTCTGAACCTTTGTAGCGTTTTTAAAGTATTAAAAGAGCTTTAAATACAACGGTAGATGGATAAAATTCACTTTAAATTTAAAAGTTGATATAATTTAGAAATCTCTTTAGTGGTTTAGAGAAAAAAATATTGGAGGAAAATAATGATCCAGATGAATAATTTAATATAAAAATAATATTATTTGTTTAAAACTTCATGAATTATTAATTGATTTTATTTAGAATTTCTTTTATTAAAGTTGTGTAAAAATATAATAACGTAAATTTAACTTTATTTAATATATTTTATGTGTAATAGAATATTAATTTTTAAATTGAGTTCTTCAATTATCCTTTTAATTTATTCTAAACACGAAATTAATTATAATCGATTCATATTTATTTTCTTATAACTTTTAAGCAAGAATTTATTATACAATTAATTCAAATCAATTTGGATTTGAGGGAAGAATGATCCATTCTTTTACATGGAATTGTTTTGTTTACACTATACCTTGCCGAGATTCATGGAAAGCTTGACCATCAAAGTTGTGCCTGAGCGGCACTGTCTATGGAGTCGAAGAGAAAGAGAATGAATAACTACTGATAAAGAACCTGACACCTTTAAAATAAAGAGTATATTTTTAATAATAAAATACAAAGCTGTAATTATTAATTAAAAAATGAGATATATTCATTTTAAAAATAATCCCACATTTTACCTCGTAGAATCAACTCTTTTCTTTAAAGAAATTAAATCACATCACATGATCTGAGGCTATGGTTATTAACTCTTATTTGATGCAGCAACTACATATGAAGTGAATAAATTTTCTAATATTTTTGTCAATAAAGCTACAGCTAGACACGCACAAGGGACCAACCACATTTTTTTTATATTAATATATGCAGACACAAACATTCACGCGGTCTCAAAAGGCTCTGTAGAATTTGAAATGAGGTTCACATTCTGGTTGGGTCCTCTTCTACTAGCCTCTGCTTTTATTATATGTGCAGTGGCACCTCCTCCACCATACCAAGGATGTGATTTTTCTCAAGGCAAATGGGTCATTGATAATGCCTCATTCTACCCTCTCTATGATGCTTCAAGGGACTGTCCTTTCATTGGGCAGGGATTTGATTGCTTAAGAAATGGGAGGCCTGATATGGGGTATCTCAAGTATAGATGGAAGCCCTCTAGTTGTGACCTTCCAAGGTAATATTATTTTTACACTGAATATTATTTTTGTAATATCTAATCACATGGGAATTTAGTAATTTACCCATTTTTTTTCTACCTGCAAGTTGGCATCTTGTATTATAAAGTTGGATTTTTTTTCTCCTACCAAATGATATTATTGGTTAACAGGTTTGATGGTAGGAAGTTCTTAGAGGAAAACAAAGGAAAGAAGATAATGTTTGTTGGGGACTCCATAAGTAACAACATGTGGCAATCACTCACTTGTTTGCTTCACATTGCAGTCCCAAACTCAAATTACACCTTAACAAGTCCAACACAGGAACTTTCTGTATTCTCATTTCAGGTACTTCATTTTTTTTTCAGTTAATTGCTTTATTACAAGAAAATATTGAACCTTGGTAACTGTTTTGTTTGATTAGATTAATAATTTTGTCCATGTTTTTTTCGGGAGTTATAGGAATATGGAACTTCCATCATGTGGTTGAAAAATGGGTTTCTAGTAGATTTGGTTCATGATAAAGAAAAAGGAAGAATTTTAAAGTTAGACACCATAAGCAGAGGGGACCAGTGGAAGGAAATAGATGTGTTGATTTTCAATACCTACCATTGGTGGACTCACACAGGACAATCTCAAACGTATTGTAGCTTTTGAACCAGTTTTTTAGGTGTTCGTGAGAGGAGGTAGCCATGTTGCTAATGTTTTCATTTTAATGTTAACAGATGGGATTACTTTCAAGTGGGCAATGAAATATTCAAGGACATGGATCACATGGAAGCTTTCAAGATTGGGCTAACCACTTGGGCTAAATGGGTTGATTCTAACATTGATCCTTCAAAGACTAGAGTCTTGTTTCAGGGAATCGCTGCTTCCCATGTTGAGTAAGTTTAACTGCTGGTTTCACTCCAATTGAAATTCACATTAAAACTCATGAGTGCAAGTGCTATAGTTATGTGTATTTAGATATTACTACTATTAAACTTTATAGTCCATGTGGGTGGGTTACAAACTGGGAGGTAACCATAGTAATTTATTATTTCCTCCTCTTTCTTTCACATGACAGTGAATTTGGTTTCAAATCCTTTTGCTCACTGTGAGATATTTTATACACTTTCAAATGTTATTAGTTTTAAAAAATTTAAGTTATATGGCAAGCCATCTTGAGTGGTGTAGTGTACCAAACCTCAGTTATTGAGATTTTTTTAATTAATATAGAAGCTTCATTACTGAAATCCTTCCATAACATGACCGAAAATATACTTAATTAACAAAAGAAGTGTTTGCTAAATGTTAATGTATGACATTCTTCTGATCAACTAAACTCTTAATGAATTACAAATATTCTGAGAATAAAGATCCGTAGATAGACTATTGGGGTAGCTTTTAAAATGAGAATGAAATCATAACACAAATACCCCATATTTTATTATGATGAGTAATTATTATAAATTGGTATTCAAGGGCTCACTCTTTTTTATTTTATTTTTAATTTGAATTGAATATTTAAGTGGAAAGGGATGCCTAAGGCAAACTCAACCGGAGCAAGGATCAATGCTGCCATATAGTGGTGTGGACATTGTAAAGAGTGTTCTAAGTAACATGGCAAAGCCTGTACAATTGCTTGACATAACTGTGCTCACACAATTGAGGAGGGACGGTCACCCATCTATCTACACAGGTCGTGGCACTTCTTTTGATGATTGTAGTCACTGGTGTCTTGCTGGTGTTCCTGATACTTGGAATGAAATTTTATATGCTGCAATGTTTGGAAATTAGTATTTTCATATATTCTTTCTTATTTGTTTCCTTTGAGGAAATAAGACTCTCGTATATTTGAATATGAACTTGTAATTCAATTGAAAAAAGGAAAGGCACAATTTTTCCGTGTTGAGTCTATATTTTGAAAATTGAATCAATATCTGTGAATTGTAACATTCTACCGTGTTAGGCACCAAATTTAAGGGGAAGAAAAAGAGATGAAGTTCTTGGAGCTTTATACTTTAAAATTAATGCCACAATGAACTCTGTTGGATAATGAAGACCTTATGCCCAATAGTGCAATCAGAATATTACTTGTGAACTTTTGTTTTCACTAGAATGGCCGGTTGGAATAACCTAATATAAGTCGGAGATTATTTGTTTGAGAAAAAGGAAGTTTTGCTTGTTAAAGCATTTTACATGACTTCTTTAGTTTTGCTCTAATTTAATTTTATCTTTCCTTCGTTTTCTTCTCTTGGTTATTAGCTTTTTATCTGCGTTACTGAGCTAAAGACTTAGAATGTGGTAGATACGCTAGTTTAAAGCTGAAAAGTTAGCTAAAAATTAAAGAACTATCGAATTGATTTGAAAATATTTGGTAAAATTAGCTATTAGATAATCCAATACATATACAACAAATAAATAAGAACAATATACCAAAATGGACCAAACACTTTTGTAGACTTACCAATCTAGTATAAGATTTTGTATACAATAAACGCAGTAGTGACCAAATCTTCCCTGCCTTGAAAATCACCACTTGTAGCATATGAAGACTCTTGAGAAGCCATTACACTATATTACAATGCAACTCGAAAATAGTACTCGGTTTAGTAATTTATATTTTTAGTGACAAAATTTAGTAGCCCAATTTTTTTGCGGACTAACATAATGACACTTGTAATTGGTAGGACAAAAGGTAATTGTCAAATGAGTTGACTCAAAATGATTATCCAATGGATTTTTTATTTTAGAATTTTCATAATGTCTAAATTAGCTATACATTTTACATAAGCTTTTATAGTTCAATAATAACCTCGTTAGATTGGTTTCCCTGACCATCTAAGGTGCCAACTATTAAGGTGGATTTCTTTCAAAATTTACCAGCACAGCAGGAATTAACTGTGTTGCAATGCCAACGCTTGGTAACCTGCTTGATCATTAAACTCCATTCAACTAGTTCTTGAATTTTTTTTATATGAATAGGTAAATAATTCCCTAATTATATTTTGCCTATAAAAAATGTCAAAGTTGATACTAATATAATGTCTTTACTTAATTACTAGATAACTTAGACAAATCATTTTCATGTTTGTTATCATTGTGGGTTGATGTTGAAGTATCAGATATTTGAAATGGCTGCGAAGTATTTTGAATGTATTGAGGCATTTCATTTAATGAAATATACTGCTTGGATAAGTTTTATCATTTGATAAATAAACATTTTACCAAATTAAACGGTAATTAAGTGTGTCAAATAGGATTCCGCAGGAGATATCTTTGCAATGGTGATATTAGTAACTGTTCATACATATCAAATGTAATATTTGTTGTTGTTGGATTGTGGCTTTTTCTTGTATTATCATTGATAACATATGGATAAATTTTAAGATTTTATTGATTATATAATATTTTATCATATAAAATTTTAATTATATTTTAAAAATTAAATTAACGTACCCGCATTCTAATTTTTTTACCCGTACTGTATCTACTCTAGAAAAGAAAATGCCTAAATGCATTTTACAATGATGGTTTAATTTAACAATATAATTCCAAATACCCTAATAAGCGCAAGTGCGTGTCCTTTTAGCATGAAATAGCAAGTTTTCACAGGAAAATATATTGCTGATGCAGTGAATGAAAAAATAACAAAGTAATAACAGTAAAATAATTTGCTAAAGATTAAGGGGCTTAATTAAAATAAAAAAATAACTTTTTTTTTTACTCAATGTGGACTTCTAAAAATTGCCACTTCTTATTGTTACAGTAATTATATTACACGAGTAAAATTTTCTAACAATTTTCTAAAAAACAAAATGTCTTTCTTATCGTCATTTCTAACAAATTTCTAGTAAAATGCATCTTCAAGAGATTGACCAAAACATTTAAGGAGGAACCCTTCAACAAAATAAAGCCATGCTCTTCGCCAATGAGGATTGATCCAAAGGATTGTGGCCAACACTATTAGTATCATGACATAGGATGCAACAAAACTCCAATAGAAGGAAGTGAAATCAATTGCAGAGTGATTTTTCTTACCATCATTCAACAAAGTTGAAGGTGGCAGCAGTGTTGCATTGCCTCTGTTACTGACACTCCAAGTAAGATATGGATTTCCTTTGTAGCTACTTTCATCGAAGGTACCAAACTGTCCCTTATCTGGTGCTTTGCCTGATAAATTGTTGTAGGACACATTGAAGACAGATAAAGAGTTCAAGTCCTGTAATTGAAGTGGGATTTGTCCACTCAAGTTGTTATTTGAAAGATCTAAGCTTTCTATGTTTTCTAGCTTTTGGATGCTCTCTGGAATTGCTCCATTTAGACGGTTATGAGATAAGTTGAGTGCATGAAGGCCATGGAGATCTCCTATTTGGGGTGGAATTTCTCCTGTCAATTGATTAGATGACAAATCTAATCCTGACATTTGTAGAATTACATCAGCTTTATACGAAAGGGATGAACCTTTTGTTATGAATTGCACTTCTCCCAATTCAAATGTACCCTTAAATTGTCCAATTTTTTGGTTTACATCATATAAAGAAAATAATGTTGAAGGTTCTAAATTGGAACTGTGTGGTGAGAAATCTAATTGCTTGTCTTCAAATGTGAATTTATTGAAGCAAGAAGGTATAGACCCAGTAAAGTTATTGCGTGAGAGGTCTAAGATATGGACATTTCGTATTTGACAGAGAAAATTGGGAAGATGGCCATGCAATTGATTACCTGCCAATAAAAGAAATCTCAAATAATCAAAGTTAATTCTTTCTGGAATAGTTCCTGTAAATTTGTTGTCACTCAAATCAATGGCTTCCATTCCATGGCTATTTGTGAATGCTTCAGTAATCATGCCAGTAAGACTATTTCCTTGCAAAAAAAGGTATGATGGCATCTTGAAGCAAGCGGGTAGTGCACCAGAGAATTTATTGTAAGATAAGTCTAAAATATCAAGCTCAAGCTCACAAAATTCTTTAGTTATTTCACCTTCTAAGTTGTTACTCGATGCAGTTAAGGTGGAAAGCCTAAGATTTCCAATCCCATTTGGAAGTGTTCCATTGAGTTGGTTATTATCCATCTTCAAGTCTATTAATGAGATGCATCCATTAAAAATGTGTTCTGGTACATTGCCAGAAAAACTATTGTTCTCCAAATGCAATCCCCTCAAGCTTGACATTTCTCCAATTGAAGTAGGAATGTGACCATCAAACATATTGCTTGAGACATCAAACTGTTGTAAATGTGGGATGTAGAATCCTATATTATTGGGGAGCTCACCTCGGATTTGGTTGTGTGATAAGTCCAACTTGTACATTTTATCCATGCGATGACTTAGATCAAATGGTAGCTTAAAAGGTCCTGTGAAAGTGTTATCATTTAAAGACACAACTTCTAGTTGTGGATTGTTTGCAATCAACCAATTGGGAAACATACCAACTAGGTTGTTGCCTGACAGATCAATATATCTCAAACCTTTTTGATATGAAAGGAAGGTAGGAATTACTTTTGTGGGTAAGTTTACCTGACAATGGGAAATTTCTAGGTGTTCTAATTGAAATGGTGCAATCCAACGAGGATTCTCAGTTTCCACTTGAAATGTTTTGGAATTCATAAAGTTAAGTTCTAATCCCTTAAGCTTTGAATGGTTAGCAAAGATGTTTAATGAGAATGTGCCCTCAAAGTTATTGAGAGATAGGGAAAAATACTCTAGCGATGTAAGGCGAGCAATTAAAGGTACTGGAATCCTCCCAGTTAAGGAATTATATGTAAGATCAAGAATTCGAAGTGATGTCAAATTTCCAAGGCATGCATCCAAAGTTCCTATGAAATTATTAGCAGCCAGATGTAACTCTTGAAGTTGCTTCATCTTACATAAACCTGAATTCAGAAAATTGGAAAGAAAGTTATGACATTTAGGATCAGAATATACTTCCGAGTATATATATATATATATATATACTCAAGATTTATTTGTTCACCTTGATTTGGGAAAGATGCATTTGTGAATGACCTTTCTAGGTCAAGGACTTCCAACTTGCTTAGATTTGCTAAAACTACACGAGAATGAAAAGAAAAAAAAGTGTTTAGACAAGTTATTGATTTAATTGGTATAAACTATTGATCTTCATCCCTGTTTAGGAGGTGAATCATTAATCGAACTATTCTTTTTTACATTTCATCACATGTATAATTTATTATTAAAATTGATAAGAATAATGTGTGAATTATATATATATATTTTTTTACTATAATGGTTTTATTTTTTACTCATTTTTATTAATTTTATTCTGAATTTGAGAGATTAAAGATATTACTTAACTTTTCCTCGCACATCTTTATTTTTCCTTGGTCCTTGGGCTGGCCCTCTATCATGTATGACATGTATTTAGACATATTTGAAAATTTTAAAACCGTAAAAACTAAAAATTTAAAATTTAAATTAAAACTGAAATAAACTATAAAGTGTAAAATATATTTAAACTTATATATAATGTATAATTAATCCAATAAAGCAAAAGTAATATGTCTTCAATGCTAACTTTATGCAATTGTATCATCATTCATTTAATCTGAAAAAGTAGGAAAATGGTTTTCTAATGGGTAGTCCAAAGAAGATGGCACTAAATCAACATGTTTGTTCAAAAGAGTGTGTGTGTGTGTGTGTATACTCTATCATGTGGATATCTCACATACCTTTGTCATCTACATCGCCTTCCATAGAATTATAACCTAAGAACAAATATTTGAGAGCTGGTAAGGTAACCAAGGATGAGAGTATTCCCTTGTCAAGCTCATTATTAGCTAAGTTGAGCGTCGTCAAATTCTTTAGGGTAGCTAAGTTGAGGGTCGTTAACGTAGACCAATTGGCATGGACATTATCTACAAATTTGTCGGTCATGTAATCGAATGCTAGTTAATTATAATAAACATCACTTCAAATTGTAGTAAATTTAATACAAAAACTACAACCAGTAAAATTGAAATCAGCATAAATTTACTTTTAATTATTAATTAAAATTATAAAGTATGACTGAGAAACATTAAATTCAAAGTGTGAAATGTTAAAATATAAAGTAAGATCTACATGTTTTTTTTTTTATTTTAATAAATTTTAAATAATAATTATAAGTATGTCAAATAATATATATATATATATATATATATATATATATATATATAATTTTATGATTTTAATACCAAGGTGAAGAAATAGCAAACTTCTTCCACAAAGACAGTGGCCTAGTCATACATTTTATGATTTTAATTTTGCTTCACTTCTCAATTCTCCACTCACCAAAATTTATTTTCTTTCTACTTTTGCATCTAAAATAACTAGTGGCTGCGAAAATAATAGGCAAAGAGGGTGCTATTCAAGCCAACATATATATATGGCTAGGTCTCCTAACTACAAAATAGGAACTGCTCAAATAACATGCACCCAGAAGCAACTTCATATACACTCGTACCTTGAATTATAAAGGGTTTGCCAAGACGATTGTAGCTCAAATCCAACAGCTCCAAGTTTTGTAATCGTGGTAATTCTTGAAAAAATAATAATATAGCAAGTCAAAATGCACAGAAATGTCTCTGAAGTGTGAAATATATAAATTATCTAAATTCATACCTTTCATAGGAAAAGGTCCACCTATACCATTGGCAGAAACAGTTAAATCCTTGAGCGATGGGAGAGTACTCATGAGTTCCATTATGCTCTCGTTGAATTGATTGTAGTCGAGATCTAATGTCTCTAGCTTCTTCAATGTTAACTTGCTTTTATAATCTAAAAAATTACTTCAAAATTCACTTTAACCATTCATACACTCTTTAGTTTTTATTATTACAACACAATCATGTATCAGTCCTAATTTTATAATTTTTAATAAAATTTAATTAATCATAAATAATGTGTTCTTAGCACTCCTGTAAAAACAAAAAGTAGTTTATATATATAACAATAAAATGAATAAAATTTCTTTCCAAACTTATAATTAACTTATATACATTAAATTTTAAAGAGAGTAAATAAAAAATTTCTAAAACATTTTAATGTATAGTGGATGAGCATAGATCAGTGAGGAAGAGGAGGGTTCACCGCTGCAGTAGTGGCCAATGATGATTGTGAAGGAACAGTGGTTTGTGGTGGCCGCAGTTTGATGGTGCAATGGTGATTAACAACACAGATTTAGGCATTTGTGGTGATGCTCATCGGCCATGGGTTTTGCTCTAACTATGAATATGAATTCCATGCAGTTTAAAAGGGTAAGTGCAGTGGTAATTGAGGAATAAATGCAACCCCAATGCTAATCTCTTGTATTTTCCATTAAGTAACGTTTTTTTTTATATAGTTTTGTCAATTTCAATCTTTGAAGTTGCATCTATAACTAATAAATTTTTATTAATTTTTTATGCAATTAAAAATATAAAAATAAAATAAATGTTTTATTTTTCAGTAAATTTTATTATTTTTGATAACTAAAACTCGATCGATGTATGTTTGAAAAAGAGGAGAAAAAGATTTTATGGTTGAACAAAAGGTGAAAAGAAGGGTTAGTCCCACTTGAGAAGGGAAAAAAATGGGGGAAGGGAGGTTTATTTTATTATTAATAAAATTTGTATAATTTAATTAGTATTATTTTTTTTTCTGAGGTATGTCTAAATTTTTATTAAAATTTATATCATAAAATCTAAATACCTTAATAAGATTAGATGTCATAATTTTCATTAATTTTTTTATTAATTTCTTGTTAACATATGTTAAAAGTGCCATTAATTTTTAAAGATACAAGCTCATAACGCACCTTGTTTCCAAGTGATGCCATCAAAACAATTGTCGGATAAACGAAGACTTCTCAATTCGGTGAAGGACAGGAACAAGAACCAGTTTAAGTGTGTGTAGTTTGAACAGAGCCCATAGAAACCCATATCACGATTTCTATGAAGATGATGAAGAGAGAGATGGATGACATGTCCCGAAGAGGAATCACAAGTGACTCGTTCCCAAGCACAGCAATTGGCTTTTGGGTCATTCACCCATGAAGCCAACAATGTCTCATTCGAATAAGTAGCCTTGAAATCCAGCAGTGCACCCTTCTGTTCTTGGAAGCACCCACTGGTGCCTAACACATGACACAATACTATTGTCCAGAACAATAACAACCATGCCTTCTTCCAACGCAACTCCATTTCCAAGAGGATTTTGAACATTAGTAATGCTTCAATACTTGCCTTAGTTCTGAGCGCTTTTATGTCTCATGGAATGCAGTGGCTGCACTTATAGTACATAAATTATTGGAGAAAAGTAGGAACTAGGGAGTGTAGTCTATACCGACACTAGAGTTTGGATCAAGTCAACTTCGGCAACGGGTGCGTATAGCACGGTCTACCCCAAAAGTAAACCACAATTATCCGGTGGTAGTTGAATAAAGTATTTTCTTTTAATATATATTCTCTTTCCTTTTGATTAGATCATCATTCCTCCTTTTATTTTGTTGTCAGCTTTTAGCTGAAATCGCTAAATTTAAGAATGAGATAATATGTATCTCCATTCTGCTAGTCAAATTTGTTTCGTGGCTTCTTCAACCTTACGGAAATGTAATACTTAATGTGGATGGTAGTTCAAGTGGCAACCATAGTATGGGAAGGTTCGGAGCTCTTCTTCGAACAAGGGATGAAGTTTGGATAAGTGGAGTTTTTGGAAGCATAGGTGGATTCACATAGCTAAGCTTTGAGCTATTTTTCATGGTTTGATCATGGGTTAGAAAGGTAATCACAGAAAAAATGTTTGTTATTCTGATTGCCTTGAAGCTATCAGTTTAGTTTGGATCCTGATCCAATTTATCATCATTATGGTGCTTTGATTATGGCAATCCAAGAGATTATTAGTAGGCAATGAGATGTCTCTATTAACCATGGCCTCCAAGAGGGTGCAGAGAGAGACCTTTTAGTCAAGAAATGTGTCCGTCACTCAAACAAGTGTGTTTACTTGAATGCTTAGCAATTAAACACGTATTTAATGGAGTTTATTTAAATTATCTCACAAAATAAATAATTTTATTTTAATTAACTAATAAAATCAAAATATTATATTTAAAAATATGTTTTATTTATTTATGATAAATTAGTGAGACAAAATTCTTTATTTCATAGAATAACATAGACAAAATCATTAAGCGGTTCGTATATAATGTACGAAAATTTTGGAATTGACAAAGGGCGTTTCTGTTTGAAAGATCTACACAGAGAGGTAAATTGCGGAAAACTGAAGAAAACGAAGTGGAAAAGAAATTATGATTAATGGAGACAAAAGACTAAGCAAAGGAGTCAAAGGTGACTGCAACCACCTCAGGTAATTAAGAAACAAATTCGTTTTTTTTTTTTAATCACTTTGACCCTATGTAAAGTGTTTGTGTTTTGAATCGTCGGAGAGGTAACTTTATGCTAATGCTATTAATTATAATTTTTATGTTAAATATGAGCTTATATTTTTTAAACATCTCTCCAAAAGTTCTTTTATCACAGTGCTCTCCTCGTAGCTAGTAATCAGACAAAGGTTCACTTTGGATAAATTTTAAGAAAAATTCTTATAAAACAAAAAAAATAAATTAAAATCAACTATCTGAGGTGGATTTTCCTTAACATCGGAGATGTCTAACTTCCTAGCTTTGGTGGTTTTCATGCAAAAGTTAGCAGCACTAAAGGAATTAATTGGGTTGCCAATGCTTTATAGCCTTTTTGATTATCAAACCTTCTTAATTAACTAATTCTATCAAACCTCGTGTTATGTTCTGAAGATATCACTATAAAGGTGGGAAACTGATATTTATCTAATTTGTTGTTCCATTAAAGTGCAGTGAGATATTTGTTGAACTTAGATTGTGCAGTTGTTTAGAATCAAACAGAACATTAATGACAAAATTAGAAGCGAGCTACTTGGAGAGCTATGAAGCGAGCTACTTGAAAAGCAAGGAAGTGGGGAGCAAGAGCAAGAAAATAGGGATTATAAAAGGAGAAAGAGATGAAAGACAAGGGGCTTCTTCTCTCTCAAGTTTAAGCAACCTCTTCTTTTTCCTTGACATTTTTTTTACTTCAAGGGCTTCTTCTAAAAAAAGACCTTCCTACAAATGCTCTCCCTAAGTTCAGTGGCTTAGAGCGTGACATGGAAATGAAGGACAAAATTTCATAATTGATAAACACTGTAAAACACAAAGGGACTATCGTTCTTTGGCACATTTAAACTAAGGAATGACGCGCTCACGTAAAGAAACTCATGGATGGTATTTGGCTTGATTATTCTAGTACATACATTTTTTATCATATAAATTAAAGATTGCGGGAGAGATCAGTGACAAAGATATAATTGGGATAATTTTAGGCCATTAGCAATGGAAAAAATATTAAGAATTACCGTTATAAATAAGAAGCCATTAAGCTTTTTAAATTTGTCCTGCATTTGATTTGAATGCCGATGAACACATTTTTACAGTGATGTTGATTTAATTTAAAAACGTAATTCCAAAAACCCTAATACGTACATACAAGTGTGTGTCCTTTTAGAATGAATTTAGCAATTATATCTAATCTATGATTACAACTTTCTAGTGAAATGAATCATTAAGAAAGTGACCAAAACATTTATGGAGGCACCCTTCGACAGAAGAAAACCACACTGTCCGCCAATGAGGATTGATCCAAAGGATTGCCACCAACACTAATAGTGCCATGACATAGGATGCAGCGAAACTCCAAACGAAGGAAGTGAAATCAATTGTAGATTTATTTTGCTCTCCACCATTCAATAGAGTTGGAGGTGATTGCAGTATTGTACTGCCTCTGTTACTGTTATTCCAAGTAAGATATGGATTTCCTTTGTAACTGCTTTCATCAAAGGTACCAAACTGTCCCTTATCAGGTGCTCTGCCTGATAAATTATTGTAAGACACATTAAAGACAGATAAAGAGTGCAAGTCCTGTAATTGAAGAGGGATTTGTCCACTCAAGTTGTTATTTGAAAGATCAAAGCTCTCTATACTTTGTAGCTTTTGGAAGCTCTGTGGAATTGGTCCATTAAGATGGTTGTGAGATAAGTTGAGAGCATGGAGGGCATATAAATTTCCTATTTGGTGTGGAATCTCTCCTATCAATTGATTAGATGACAAATCCAATCCTGACATGTATTCAAGTGTAGCACCTTCATATGAATGAGAAAAACCTTTTGTGATTAATTGCACTTCTGTAAATTCAGGTATAGCCTTGAATGGTGTGAGTCTAAATCCTGGTTCATAGTGTGATGAGAAATATTTTTCCCCAAATGACATATTGTTGAGGCAAGAAGGTATAGACCCAGTGAAGTTATTGCGTGACAAGTCTAAGATATCAACATTTTGTAACTTACATATCTGACTACAAAGTTGTCCTTGCAATTGATTACCAGCCAATAGAAGAAATCTCAAAGATTTAAGCTCATAGATGCTCTGTGGAATTGTTCCTATAAATTTGTTGTCACTCAAATCCATACCCGCCAAGTCCATGCCTGAGCTGTTAATGAATGCTTCAGTTATCATGCCAGAAAGACTATTTCCCTGCAAAAAGAGGTAGTAGGAGGGCATTTTGAAGCAAGAGGGTAATGCACCAGAGAATTTATTGTGACGTAGGTCTAAAATATCAAGATCAAGTTGGCAAAATTCTTTTGTTATTGCACCTTCCAAGTTGTTACTTGCTGCAGTTAATGTGGCAAGGCCAAGTTTTCCAATCCCACTAGGAAGTGTTCCATTGAGCTGGTTATTATCCATCATCAAATAATTTAATGACATGCACCCTTTTATAATATGATCAGGTATTTCTCCAGAAAACTTATTATCCCTCAAAAACAAATTTGTTAAGCCTGACATCTCTCCAATTGAAGCAGGAACACGACCATGAAACATGTTGTTTGAGACATCAAAGTACTCCAAACGTGGGAGGAGGTATCCTATGTTATTGGGTAGCTCACCTTGGATTTGGTTGTTTGATAAATCCAACTCGTATAATTGATCCATGTGATGATTTAGATCAAAGGGTAGTTCAAAAGTTCCAGTGAAGGAGTTATCGTTTAAAGACACAACTTCTAGTTTTGGGTTGTTCACAAACAACCAACTTGGAAACGTACCAACTAGGTTGTTACCTGATAGATCAAAATTTGTCAAGCCAGTTTGATTTGAAAGGGAAATAGGAATGCTCCCGATCAACAAGTTATCTGAGAGATCAAGCCTTTGAAGCGATGTCAAATTGCCAAGGCATGTACCCAAGGTTCCTCTGAAATGATTACGTGACAAATCTAGTTCTTGAAGTTGCTTCATTTTACATAAACCTACGCTCAAAAGATTGAAAATATGTAAATTTTAGTTTGTGATACAACAAAAGAGTTTAATTTTAATATACTATCACTATACAAATTTTACATTGTCAATTAATTTCAATACACACTAAGCACTGATTTAATTTTTATATTAATTATTACAAAGGTTAATGATTCTTACTAACATGACAATTCACGCTCGAGTGACAATATAAAAACTTTTTATATTATCAATATATTTTAATTAAATGCTATAAAAAAAATAATGGCAAATTCAAGCAAGCTGTGATATCAATATACTACGTTTGAAACATAAACAAAATTATTACATTTTAACATATAGTATATATTTGCTCACCTTCATTTGGGAAAGCTCCACTAAGTGATGAATTACTTAGTTTAAGGACTTTCAACATGCTTAAATTTGCCAAAGCTTCACAATAATGAAAAGACAGAGAGATATGTTAGACATAATATCAGTTTATTTGCTATGAAATATAAATTGAAGTACAATATATTTTACATTTCAGAAGCAGTGGTATGTTAAAGAACCACATTGTTTTGTAGAAGAATCCTCCACTAAGCCATAAGATAACCGAAGTCAACAGTAGCTACACGTGGAAGACTTCATCCTTAAAACATTATGCACGTAATATATTCTCTTCGACTAATATTATATGTCTTTGATTGTTTTAATTTGCCTTGAAATATTTACTATTATTAAAATTAAAAAAGAACATTAATTATTTTTTAATAATATCATCGTTTATTAATATCTTATATAATAACTTAAATGAAACTACAACTATATTCTAGTTCTTTAATAAGTATAACTTTGTCAAAAGAAAAACTTTTATCATACGTGCACTAAATAATTTTTTAAAAATATGTATCTCCGTAAAAAAAAAAGTAACATGAAACGAAAAATAATAACAACAAAGTTATACTTATAACAAAGCAGTCATTTAGAGAGAAATAGTGTATAGAATTTGAGTAAAATATCACATTATATTTTTATTATATGCATTTGAGAAAAAGTCTAGTACATGTAATCATACCTTTGCTGGACTACTGGTTGCCATTTCAGTGCTTACAACCATACCTAATGAATATTTATACATATATGTTTTTTTATAACAGTTTATTTAAAAAAATATTGATTGTTATAAGAATTATTTTAAATTTTTTTATTAATTGACGGTATAAATGAATTCTTTAAATAAATGAAATATGTTTTCCTTTTAATGTGTTCAATATATATAATTATTTTCTCATTTCATTTGTCTCTTTTATGGTTTAGCAATTACTAAGTATCTTTCCCTATTTAAAATTTAGCAAAACTAATGGTAAAAGCAAAAAGGAAATTAATTTGGGTTTAGGAATAATTTATTTTAAAAAAGTTGGAAATAATATTTTAAAAGTGAGTTTCAATATGGTAAAATAAAAATTCTTTTAAAGTGTAAATATGGATATAATTCATAGGTTTCACACTAAAAATAAATTATATTAATTAAATAGTCAATTTCTGAATTATAGAATTTAACATAAACACCAGCTGCACTGTGCTCCACAATTCTTTCGAAAACATCGTGATTTTGTGAGCAAAACTCAATCATTAATAAAATAATTGAAAAAGTACATTTTAAAATAAAATATTCACTTTAAAAGTTTCAAATCCTATGCATGTAATAGTCATGAATGAAGCCTTTGAGATGAAAGGTTCTAAGTTCAACGATAACCCAAAAGTAACACATGCATGTACTTACCTTGAGGCCAAAAGGAGCTGCGAAGATTATTGTTACTCATATCCAACTGCTCCAAGTTTTGTAGAAGTGATAATGCTAAATATTTAAGATTAAAAGTTCAGAATGTATAGACATTTAAAATTGTGAATTATAGAATTAGTTACATTCATACCTGTCGGTAAAAAGGGTTCACCCATATCATTATCAGAAAGAATTAAAGTTTTGAGGGATGGGAGAGGGCTCAATAGTTCCATTATGCTCTCGTTCAGAAAATTGTATGAAAGATTTAATGTTTCCAGCTTCTGCAATGTTGACTTCCCATTATAATCTAAAAGATCAAAAACTACTGTAATGATCCATAGGTAACAGAAAATATTGAATATTATATCTTATAATATGTAAATTTAATTTAATCAACCCTCTACAATCACACACGTACGCATACACAGAAATATAATCAATCGATACTGTGTTAAATTTGACAAACTTTTATTATTTTTACTTTTTAGAATTGTTAAATATTATCACTTCAACTATTAATCACATGATAGAATTTTAATAATCATGTTTATCAAATTAAAATAAAAATAATTTAAACATTTATAAATACACCTTCATGGCAAAAAATTGTTTACATTTTAAATAACATAATATGTTTTAAATTAAATATTGTGATAAAATGTTAATTAATTTTTAACTTATACAAAATTTTGTATATTAGATCAAATGTAATCCCTAAATCACTAGTTGCCTTTTATTGATAGCCGTTAGATATAATAATGTAATTGTTTAAGAATATATATGACGATTATCAATATAAGAATTATGTAAGGGTATAAATTTATCAAATTTAACATGTAATATTAATATTAAGAATTTTAAAATCTTGATATGACTAGCCCATAAGATGTTGAAACATTTCATTTTTATTATAATATTATTTTTATGTTCAAATTAATTCAAACACACATTAATTTTCCTCCCTTTTCGATCGTTTCATGTTGTTTGCAATTCGGTGATATTTCTGTCAAGGACAAAGTTCAAAGTTCAAAGTATAAAATATGGAGAACACAGCACCATATTTGTGAAATGTGATCTTTCTTGGATGAGCTCTTTGTCAACTATTAAACATGATAACGCTACGAGATTAATTAATGCTTACTCGATTAAGTCATTAAAGATTAAATCTTAACTAAAAAAAGTTTTAGAAACTAATTTTTAATAAACAGAGATTAAATTATTTTAGGAGTAATTCTGATAAAACTTATCTCACTTAATAATTTTTTATAAATATTAAATTTTTTAATTAAATTGTTGAATTAATTTTTTAAAATATATTAAATTTATAAAAAATATAAAATAAAAAAATTATTCAACAATTTTATTTTGTTTAAAGAAAATGCTTGTTTTCTGAAAAAGCAACTGAATGGACGGGGATGACATAGAACTCATGAAACAAAGAAAAAGTATATATAATAAGATATTTTGAGAAAGAAAAACAAGTGATTAAACAGCAAAAAGAAAGGAAGAAAATAGTGACAACATTTGTTTCTAAAAATCGTAACAAAATTCAAAACTTTTGCCGACTGTCAATAGCTCCAAATCACGTCACCATCAACGGCTGCTCTATTTCCTTGGCTATCCTTCCGTAACTAACTAGCTCACTAATTTGATAATTTTTTTAATTAATAAGATATAATAATTTTATAAAAAGTTTAAGTTGAAAATAAAGAAAAACGTTAACCTCAATTTTTAGAGTTAAAAACAAATTAACAAGCTTTTATTAAAAAAAGTAAATTATTATCATAAAAATATAAAAATGTAATCAATAATATTGATTTAATAAAAAAAGTAGTGATTTATAAATAGTTAAACTCAGTTCAAACAACTAATCTTAACTGTGTTAAATAGATAGAAGAGGTGAGAATAGAGCGTACCTGGGTTGGCAACGAAGGCATCAAAACAATCGTTGGTCAAATCAAGGCTTCTCAATTCCTTAAAGGAGAGGAATAGGGACCAGCTCAAGCGAGTGGAGTTGGTACAACGTTTCTGCCATCCTGGATCCCCATTTCTATGCACAGCCTCAAGAGAGAGAGCGACGACGTGGCCCGAAGAGGAATCACAAGTAACTCCATCCCAAGCACAGCAATTACTCTTTGCCTCATTCACCCACGATCCCAAATATGAATCATTTGAATAAGCACCTTTGAATTTCAGCAGTGCATCCTTCTCCTCTTCCAAGCAACCACTAGTGCCCAAAGCTTGACACCATACTATTATCGTCCCAAACCCAAACCATACCAACCACCTTTTCTTCCAAGGCAACTCCAGTTTTGAGAGAAGATTGAACATTACGGTTCTCACCGTTTTAATGCCACCTGTAATGCAAAGGCAACATTTATTAGTTACCAAACTCGATTATTGACTCGGTCAATGTATTTATTTTAATTGATGGGTCATTAGCTAAACGAATTAAGAGTCTGCTTATTCTCTGTCTTTTCTTAGTTATGCGATTTCTTATGTTTCCTTTGCTGCAAGTTAAAAAATTATCAACTCTGACGAAATTCCATTTTCTTAATACAAACATACCTTAAAAGCATTAATGCAGTGTACTGCATTCATTCAACATTTTAAGAATGCTGTTGGGGAGACCGCGGTGGAAAGAATTCAACTTTTAAAAACAAACTAATTTTGCCTGATCAACTTAATTATATAATGTAGCCATAAACAAGCACATTGGATGTATTCCAATTCCAACTATAATACATACATCTCAAATTACATCAAATTAAAAAAAAATCTTGATGCTAAAAAAATGAAATATAAGAGAATTAGTCAAAAAGGTATAAGAAAGAAAAAACAATGATTGTTCTATGGTTTTTATGTCATTCCACAATACAATGACATGAAACCCAATACTACTGTTTCGCGAGATATATAAAATCAGCAACAAATGAGGTATACATATCTCAACATTTACGGAAAGATATATACAATATAAGTAACTAAGAGTTCACATTAATTATAATGTCGCCACACATGAATATATTTAATGTGCCTTATAAATTAATGTATAATATATGTTATTTGTTTATTCTGACTGGAATAACACGAAGGGGTTGACCATCCATATCTTCAAGCTTAAAATCATTTTCTAGTTTCCAATCAAAAATGTTGATTAATGATCCCAACATTAAATGCAACATCCTCATAGCTAGCGGTAAGCCAGGACATATTCTTCGTCCACCGCCAAATGGTGTGAAATGAGAATGTCGACCTTTGACCTCAATTTCTGACCCTAAGAACCTCTCTGGTGAAAATGAATTGGGATTATCCCATATGCTTGGGTTTCTTCCAATCGCCCATGCATTAATTAGGACTTGTGCACCCTTTGGAATGATGTAACCATTGATTTCTACATCTGTTTTGGCATTTCGAGGTAGCAAAAGTGGGGCTGATGGGTGTAGCCGTAAGGTCTCTTTTACTATTGCTTGTAAGTATGGGAGTCTTGTAATGTCTGATTCCGACATAGGATTGCCTATTCCAATGGTTTGTGCAAGCTCTATTTTGGCTTTTGACATTGCATTTGGGTTGTTGATTAGCTCAACCATTGCGCATTCTAATGTGTATGTTGTTGTATCGGTTCCCGCAACTATTAGATCCTGTTAAAAGTGAGAAATTCAACAATTGCTTGGTCATACCATACATAATATATGAGAAAATGGGCACCAAATAAAGCTGCAATTGAAGTGAATGAGAATGATGAATATTTGACTTTATCCCTACAAAATTACATAACTTTTTATTTCCATTATTATAATAAAAGAACTTCTATTTAATTCCAGATTTTTTAGAAATACATGTAAATTTTAGTCCATATTATTAGATTTACGTAGTTAAGTAATGACGTGACTTAATTAATTAGATTATGCCGTATGTCAATTGTTTTCTTGACATGCCATCACTTAATATAAATTATCTAATCAATGGTAATGATTACAAATATTTAATTAAATAAAAAGTATAAAAGGGATCTAAATAATAAAAAAAACAAAGACAAAAAATTATTAAAGTCAAATCAAAATATAGCATTGTAACAAAGGAAAAACTAACAAAAAAATGAGCTTCTACCAGTTACGTGAATGAATTTTTACTTTTAAAAATAAGAAAAGCTAAAAGTAGCTAGATTAAACACTACATATATTGTAAAAGTTGCTCTTTTTTGTTTATGTGCGTGTATTTTTATTTTTATTTTTATCGAGAATCACCACAAGCAAAGTAAAAGGATTAGCTTTTAGGTCAAAAGTGATGGTTAGATAAAACCATTTTTACATGGTAATTTTAGGATTTGGAGATCACTATTTGACCAACTACCCAGGAGTAAATTGCTGTTACTTTTAAAAGCAAATAATTTTTTTTTCGCAGTGATCATATATGTGAACACATTTTTTAGGATAAAAATAAAAATTATGAGAAATTGTTTAAAACTTAAGTGATTTTAGAAATTGTTAAATCGATCAAAAAATTGGGAAAAAAGTTATTGACAGTAAAGCAGGACTGAAAAAATAATAAGGGAGAGAAAAATACAAGGAATAAATGTTTAATCTTTTCGTTGTCCATCTTTTGGCCATTCTCAAGAGAAATGTTGAGCAAGGTATCTAACATGTCAATGTTGGTGACATAGCTTTTTCCAGCTTCTCTCAACTCCAACCGTTTGGAAATCAAGCGATCAAAGATAACGAACAACTTGGACACATAAGTAGTTGAGCGCCTTCTAATGCCTTGTGGATCAACTATCTTCAACATAGGGAAAAAATCCCCCAAGTTCGGTGTTGCAATTGCTCTCACGAGATTATCAATTATACCCTTGTACTCTGCAGTTTCACCTACAGAGTTAACAAAATCCAAAGAAAAAAAAGTGTTTGATAAAAAATTAATCGAAGTCCTAAAAGCAGCACTGCCAATATCCACTGCTTCACCAATTAGGCTGCTTCTATGAACATCATTTAAAAGTTCTTGTAGTTTCTTGCACCTAAGGTCATGGCTAGCATCAAGGGTCTTGTGGGAAAACAATTGATTATTGCATATTTTCCTTAGGTCTCTCCAAAGAGGTGAAATGGGTAGGAAGGGCAAGCTATAATGGTTGTGATTGTGAACTGTTGTAGCTTGAGGAATCGTTCGGTTTGAGAATAACAAATCATGGGTTTGGAGCACTTCTTTGGCTACATCTGATGAAGAGATAACTATGGTGGTTAATTGACCTAGCTTCAAACGCATTATTGGGCCATGTATCATAGCAAGTTTGGCCAGTGATTGTTGTGGCTTTCTGCCAAGTTCAATAAGGTTTCCTACAATGGCAAGAAGAGAAGGTCCTGGTGGAAGCTTGTAGTTACTTTTTCTCTTTCTTGCATGTAGTGAGAGAACGTGTATAAGTGTGCAGGTCAATAAGAGGAGTATGCTACATATTACAGAATCCATAGGGTAGGGACAAGAAAATTTGAGTAGGGAGGTTAATTGTAGAGGTTTCAATGCACAGGATTATTGGAGAAATCATCAATTTATAGCACGTGAGAATGAATCTAAGTCTAGAAATTAACAGAATCGCATCTTTGTCGAAGTCAAAAGTTGACATATAATGCTTAAGCATGGAAATGGCATGGTCAATATGTTAATGATTAATTTTGGTTTAGAAATTGTAAACAGCTTACATTTCACTGTAAATATCCCGTCCATTAATTAGACGGGATTTTTAAATATAGTTAAACGATTAAAATATAAATTAAAAATAATCATGAAGAAGATTTTTAATACAGATTACAGATATTTTTTATGAAGATAACTTTATTTAGATTCATCAAGAACATTTATAGTATGATGAGATAAATATTTATAGGGATTATTTTTGTAATTGTTTTAAAACATTCAAAGAGGAGGTGTCTCTTTGTTTTTTTTTTTTTTATATTATATTTTTGTGATACATATGTATAAAAATTAAAAATAATGAGATATAAAATAATTATATATAATATCATATTAAATATCAAATTATTTTAAGTTTTAGTAATAGACTTATCTATTGTGTGACTCAGGTCGAATCTAAATTAAATTAGATAAAAATAAAAATAATAAAATTTATATTTTATCAACAAATTTAGAATTTGGAACCTTGATTATTGATTTATTTAATAGAATATATTTTTATAATAAATATAAAAATACATGAACTCAAAATTTTTAATTTTAGAAAGTTTTAAAAACCCATATAAATGAAAGAAGACTATTTTATAGATAATTTATAAATACTCCACTATATTTAGTATCGATTGATGACGTGCCTGATTTTGTCATCTTTGTACGCGGATTTACACGATTATCAATATATAGAAAATACTGATTGGAAAAGAAAGATAAAGATGTGTATCATAAGATAAAAATGACTCGTCAGTGAAAATATAAGGATATATATATAGCTAATCTAATATTCAACTGTTAATAAATAATAGTTTTAATGTTATCATAAATTAAAATTAAAATAAATGTAATTTAACTCAATTTAATTTAAAATAAATACTTTTTTCTTTCTTATTTTTAAATAATATCTCATATAAAGAAATTTATTCTCCAGTAGCAGCCACCTCTGGTCAATTCTCGCACACATAGACGTACGCCAAATAAATAACGTCTCTAAACCTGCAAGCTGGTTGTCAATTTTCTGGGCTTGACTTGTGTTATGATTGCCATGGAATATCTAAATTTACTTCTTTTTGTTTTTGTCAACTAAATTAATTTGGTTGAAAATGGTATTTTTGTGTTGACTAAATAAAAAGGATACTTTTATTGACCTTTTATTTTTTCAACAAACGAAATGGTTCTCTAAAATTTAATTTGAATTTATTCCATGATTTTAGAATGAATGCTTCATAGCCGGAAGACCTAGTTTAACATACTGAAATATTGTCCTAACCAGCATTTTAAAGCTTTTTTGCCAGTAATTAAGACAATAATGTAATATGAAAAGGAAAATGAAGTAATGAAGTCAAGTAAAGCATATAATATGATTCCCAGTTCTGTATGAGCATATATACCAAGTGTAAATTGAAGAAAGAAAAATAAGAAATTAAAATAGTAACCAAGTTCTAAGGCAAAGCTCAAATATTTTAAAAAATGTTACTTTGGATTCTGTTTCGATTGATGGTGAAATATTATGAGGGTGAACAACAATGCAGAAGATTATTAAATTGAACAGCAAATATGTTGCCTTTTCTTTCACCTAAATGTTCCCAGTAGTATATAGCCCAAATCTGGCATGCGAATTTATGATTAAATCATTCGCCACTACCGAAGTATTGCATATTCAATTACAATTTGTCACCTTATATTCTACCTTTGCATGTGTATGTGTCTGTTTAATGTGTATATATATATATATATATTCCTCTTGTTTAATTATTTGATTCTGATCATGAGTGATTGAAATTCATTGTACTCTAATTCTAGACTAGAAGCAGTCTCACTTGATCAAAGTAATCATAACAAAATAATGTCATAAATTTTAAATGTAAAATCAGACTCTATTATGATCTTGTCAAAAGAAAGATGATCAAAATGCCATTGAATACCTGAGTAAAATGATGATCCATTTAATTAGGATAAGAAAAAGAATATGAATTTTAAAATAATTTAGAGTGAATAGAAACTGAAATGGTTTATTCAAATTTCGAAATACTTTCAAAATCACTCGCAAAAATTGAGGATTTGTAGCTGTCATTCAAAAATATTACGAATTAAGTATGTTAGAGAAAATTAAAATTAACAAATGATTTTACTTGTAAAACAAAAAATGAAGTTACAAGTCAAAGAAAGATTATGGACAATGTCTCAAAGGGAGTAAATGGAGGAGATCAAGTCATCTGTTGACCATTTCTTAACCATTACTGTCAAAACTTTTTTTTTATTTTGTTGCTGTTGAGGTGTTTTAAGTTAAATGTTAAGATTTTTTTAATGCTGCTTAAAGAACTGATAAATACTTTTTATGAACAAGATTAGTTCTTGTTAAGAATAAAGATTTCCTTTTCACATATAAAGATTGCAAAACTTTAGGGATTGCTTTTATTTGAATTTTTTCACGTTTAATTATAAAAATGTTATATATTTTTTTAATTGTATAAAAATAGTAAAAATAAATTTTATGTTAAAATCACTGTTTTATAGATAAATTTTTAAAAGAGTAAATTACATTTTTCTCCGTTAAAAGATGCGTATATTATACTACTCTTCCTTCTATCTTAAAATATTATAACCCTCTTTTTTAAAAAATAAAATTTATCACAATTTAGTTCATTTTAAGTTTTTTATTAAAGCATCAATAAATAACTTCTTAATATTATTTTTTACTAAAATTATTTTTTAATAAATTTTACACTTTGTCATATTTTTTAAGAAGCCCAGTGAGATTAAATTAAAAAAAAATTATAATTTTTTTTAATGAAAACATACAAAATATAAACGACTTGTGCTTTAACACATTCAAAAAATAATTACAATGTGAAAATATTTATAAAAAATTAAGATATATAAATAAAAAATAAAAAATTTGTAAAATTAAAATTATATATATATGCATATGTTAAATCAAAAAATATTTAAAAAATTTATATTTTCAATTAGAAAAATTAAATAGGAAAATTAATATATTTTATAATGAAAAATCAGGATAATGTAATATTTATATCTCACAAAAAAAAGTATAATTTACTCTAAAAAAAACAAAGTGGAAACATTTTTGTTATTGAAAGTGAGAAAAAAATAAAAATTTCCTAAAAATTTCAATTTTTTTTTTTCAGACATGAATAATCAACTGAATCACTTAAAATTCGGAGTTGAAGAAATATAAAATGTTTAGACTTTATTTAAAAGTTTAAGGAGAGATGAAAAGAAAAAATTCGAAAGATATGCAAGAGAAGAAAAAAAGGGAGAAAAAAGATTATTAAAAAAATTCAATTAAATTAAAAGAATTTAAAAACACAAAATTACAATAATTTAAAAATGTTTTTATAAAAAATTTTAGTTTCGTACAAATACTCTCATACAACAATTATCATTAAATAAGTCTTTATCTTTCTTCTAATTTTTTTTTCAAAATCTAATCACCAAACAAATTCTTAAATAACATTTAATCCTAATTCCCGAAGTAATGTTCTGCTGTGGTTGGTTTAGTAAAAATTGCAAAATGGACTAAGTTGATAGTGTTGCTACAAATAAATTTACAGAAATATAAAATTTCAGCTTTAAATTATATTTTCAAATCAAAATTGAATTATTTTTGTTTGGTCTCTTTGAACAATTTTTTTTTTTTAGAAATGAACGTATCTAATGTCTGTTTAAGGAGAGAAGAAAAAATGTAAACTAAATTGAACTTTATTCTGTGGCCCAAATAAAAAACAAGTATCTGAATCAGGCAAAGTTATCCATTTTTACACTTGTGCAGTTTAGACTGATTCCAAACTTGTAAGTTGGAACTAAGAGTAGTTCTTCATCTTCACCTGGTTAGAAAATATTTGTAACGTTTAGCCTCAATATTTATGTCATAGTTTAAAAATACAAAGAGCTCATCATGGTCATGGCTGTCCACAATTAATATACTCACTTTCCAACTGTGATGAATACGAGAGAAACAAGTAAACTAAATCATTGTAGCTTTTGAAAAGGTGTAAATATTTTATTCAATAAGTTTTTTATACAAGGCATACTCAACATTATGGTCAATAAATTTGACAATTTAGTTGTAAGCTCTTTCAAATACTCATAAGTTATAAGAAAAAAAATATTAGAATACATTTAAAAAATTTATTAGTTATAAATTATTTTGTAATTTTTTATTAAGCTCTTCTAAATATCCTAAATAAACTTTTGTAAACATTATTCTCTCATGAGTATTTCCACTCTTCTTTGAATCCCTTTCAACACATGTGGAATGCACATGACACAATTGGGCTAATCTAAGTGAATTAAGTTTCGAAAACTTACAACTATCCATACACATGATTTTGTTTTAAAGAATGACGTTTGCATGTTGTTTCTGTTGTACTATTATTAGATATTTAACAACTTTTGTGCTACAATTAAGACTTTTAAGATGATATATTGTTAAATTTATTGAATTTTAGTTACATATTATTTATTTTAGAAGTATATATTTAAAAATCAAACTATTCAATCCAATGCACTCCGCATTTAATCAAATTAAATTGGATTGAATTTAAAATTTTTTTTAATTGATCTAAACTAAATCACAGTATTTTTTTTTTTCTCAAACTGATTTAATTCAATCCACGAACACTTCTATCATATTATTATTATTATTATGTCTATCAAACGAGTTTTTATTTATTTATTTTTTATATTAAACATATTGTATACTATTGACTTTCTAAAGCGTTTTAAAACATAAATATATGTGTATCTTCTTTTTTTTTGGTAAATTCGATATTTAGAAACAGCTATTATTAACAGAAACGATAAAAGTTTTATTATCAACATAGAATTATTTTTGAAAATGCAACACTGCTCCCATTGATTTTAGGGACCCAAAAAGAGCTTGAGTAACACTAACACGCAACAAGCCCATGGAGTCAGCGAGATGGAGTAGTCTTCTCTCCCTTTCTCATTCTCCTTCGCATTCACGCACTCCCTCCCTTTACAAATTTATGGCCTTTTCAACTCTTCACACCTTCACACCCCCTTCTCTTTCTTTTTCTTCTTCTTCTCTCCATTTCTTCCCCTTCCAACCCACACCCTCTTCTCTCTCTTCAAAACCGACCACTGCAATCTTCAACCCTCGCCTTCCTCGCAACATGCACGCCACGCACAGTCTCCGAGACGCCGTAGGAGGAGCAATGGCCCTCGTCCAATCATCACCCGCCACGTGGCAATCCGCTCTGCTCAGCAACGTGTTGATCTTCCTGTTGGGTTCTCCCATTTTGGTCACTGGTTTGTCTCTCTCTGGTATCGTTGCCGCTTTTCTGCTCGGAACACTCACTTGGCGTGCTTTTGGTTCTTCTGGGTTCCTCCTTGTTGCCACTTACTTCATCATTGTATTGTAACCTCAATTTTCAGTCTTCCTTTTCTCTTTTTGGTTAGCTCTTAAGTTGTATTTTGATTTTCGAAAGTGGTTTTTTTTAGTGCAAAACTAGTTTTTTCGTGGAGTTATGTGAAATTTGGGAAATGGGAGTGGCGATTTGCTTATATTTTTTAGTTTCTGGGATTGGGGACTTGTGGTCCCTGAAAGGTGACAAATTTTGAGATCAAATTTGGTTATTCATGGAGTAAGGAGAAGTTCTAAAAAATGGTGTGTGGGATTCTCGTTGCTTTTGTTTCTGGGGTTGGGACGTATTTGTTTTTAGAAGTGATGAATTTTACCAGTTTCATTATTACAAGTGAGAATTACTTTTTTATTTTATATTATCTTATTTGGAAGTCATTAATTTTGAAAGAAAATTTGGTTTTTTCTTATAATTCTGTGCAATTCTGAAAATGGTCTTGGAGATATCTCTTGAACTCGTTTCTGGGAAAAGTGAACAGTTTTTAGGGCAGGATCGGTTATTCATGGTGTTCTATGCAATTCTGAAAATGGGTGTGAGGATTTTTCTTGTTTTTGCTTTTGGGGTTGTTTGGAGTTGATTTGTTTGGGATGTCAGGGTACGGCTGCAACAAAGGTGAAAATGGCACAGAAAGTGGCCCAAGGGGTTGCTGAGAAAAGAAGAGGAAGAAGGGGTCCAGGCAGTGTTATTGGATCCAGTGCTGCTGGTTGTGTTTGTGCTTTCCTCACTATTTTTGGTGTTGGGGGAGAGACATTTTCTCAGCTTTGGAGACTTGGGTTTGTTGCCAGTTTCTGTACCAAGTTGAGTGACACAGTCTCAAGTGAGATAGGGAAGGCATATGGAAAAACAACGTGAGTCACCTCTGGTGTGGATATTGGTTGTGTTAACTTATGTTATTATCAACATCTATTTATGAAATTGATTTTTATTTTTTTTTATTTGTTAGCTCTTCTAGCTCCCCCTTCCTCCTAATATAAGATCCGTACACTGAACTAATGGAAGCCTATGAAGAAATCGTGATTCTGTATTGATGCAGAAATTTTTTAGACTGTTCTATGATTTCTATCGATAAAATTTCCTGCTGGAAACTAAAAGATACCCCTCCATTTGTGGCAGTGCATGGATTATGGGAAATATGTATTGCTTGCCAGTGTAAATTCAACACATAAGAACCTTGGTTAATATATTTGCTTGTTGTACATTTTATTTGATTGTCAATGCTAATTTCAATCTGAATTTATTGAAATAGTTTCTAATAAATTGTGAACTTTGATAAATTAACTTAAGATCTATGTTCTTTCGAAAACTTTTTATATTTTCAGCTTATATTTTCTTGCAAAATTTCAGTACCAAAGTTCTTCCGCCATAATTCCAGGTACCTAGTTACAACACTCAAGGTAGTTCCAAGAGGCACAGAAGGAGCAGTTAGTGTTGAAGGAACCTTGGCTGGAATTTTAGCTTCCATCGTTCTTGCATTTGTTGGTTTTCTCATTGGTGAGGTACTTCACTAATTTCTGACTCCCTAAATGTCTCTGATGAGGATGGGTGGGAAGTACAAAGGGTTGGCACAGCCGCACAGGTGCCAGAGGATGTAAGAATTTGTTAATGTTTGTGTGTTTGGGTTTGTTTATTTTGATATTTTTTTTCTTTTTTGCAGTTTTCTAAGAGAGCTGTAAACAAAATATAGCCATTTCCTCCGAAATAATTCCAATCAAACATGCTAGTTTAGATATAATTCTCCAATTAATAAACGCTATTGAGAAAAACCAATATGCTTCAAGACTTGTTACTAGAATCATTATGTTTCAGTTTCAGACTTTAATATTTCTCATTTCCTTTACCGCCCAAACAGCTTTTGAAATAGGGTTAAAATATTGAGTTCATCCCTTGAAATTAAATATTAAAATTAATTGAATGATCTGTGTTCAAATGGCAGAGAAGTAGTTAGTTTGTGATCTAGAGATAGGTTAGTTGTTTATTTCTTAGAAATGCTGAAATAATTCTGAATATTGACACTGAAATTAAAATGATGACATAAGAGATGGAGATGGCTTAGTTTCAGTCACACATTCAGTTGGCAATGGCAGCTTATTTTTTGGGAAGTCTATACCCTAGCTTTGCTTCTTTCTTTTTTTTTCCTGTATGTTTTTTTACTGTTAGTGCTTCTAAAATACTACTTTTGAATTGTGCTTATAATTTGCTTCAAGATAGACAGTAGACTCCTCATCCCCTCCTCTCAAGGATCTATGACTTGTGAAACCTACAGTATAATTATTTTTGGCATTTTACTATGTAATGTCAGTATAAGACTAAGTGCTGATTTTTTCAGTTGTGGTGGAGTTGGATTTTGGGTGAGATTAAGTGCAACCTATTCAGGACCAGTTGAGGTAGAGTTAGGGTTTTGTGTGAGATTAAGTGCTGAATTTTACAAGACTAATAATGGTGACATTAGGGATTTTTGTGGTGGGTGTGCATCTCTATGGGAGTCGATTTGTGTTTGTATGAGCCATGAGGTTGGCTGTGCACTCATTTGTTGAGAGAATACTTTGGAAATGTTTAATCCTGACTTGAGAATTATTTAGCATTTGATTAATGAGAGAAAGAGAAAAGAAATTATATGTGCACACATATTTGGAGTTTAATTTTATTACAATAATTTGAAATTTTTCCACCCATTTTTGCTTACTTGTGCATATCATGATCTTTTATTTTTTTTAAATTATTCTTTAATCTATTAGATTAAACTTTTTTATGTGTGTATAATAATTATATTAAATAATACTTTCATGGTTCAACCGATTCCATTGGCTAGACTTTTATCCCAGATATATTACTTATATTTACTTCAATTTGAATTACTTGACTAATGATTTAACTTTAATGTGCTGTCAAAGTCTATTAATAGATTTTCTGGTTGAACCATATCAGAACCCCAACGTGAGTGACAGCATAACATATAGCTGCTTGGGGCCTTTGTGAGAAAGTGGTTTTATTATTAATTTAAAGTGGGTGACAGGTTTTGCACGTACAGATCAGTTTTCTGCTTATTGAACAACAAAGTATGTATACAGATCTTGCCAAATCACTTAGCTGGAACATACAGTTTCTATAAGCATCTTAATGAATGCAGAAATTATATGTTATAGATATACTAAGGTTCCTTAGGGATGTTCTGTGAAACAATATATGTTGCACAACTAAGCATAAGAGCTGAGGTGCTCCTAGTACATTTCCAATCTAGAATCCAAAATCATGTGATGTTTTACTAATTCCTTTTTCATAGCTTTGAACTCATGAGATAGGATTCGTATGACATAACATAAGGTGTAGTTAAGCTACTAGATCTTAAGCTGATTCCTCAGCAACAATTAACTGTTGTAGATATGCTATGAAATTGGAAAAATAATGCTAGGTATGATTTTGTAGAGGAGAAAATGATAAACTATCGGACAAGGTAATTTGGACATGGGCAAATAAGGTCAGCAGAGACACTGTTATTGAGAGTGGATTGCCAGGGTTTTAGACTTGTGAAAAGGGTAGAGGGAGACAAAATCTTTGAAGGAAATTACTAAAATGAATCTTATAGTAAATAATATCTCTAAAGTTTTAGTTTTTGACCGAGTCCACTGATGTATGATCTATTTAGTTGAACGCAGCTTTTGTTGCTGTGTGCAACTAAATATCATGGATCCTACAAGTTCAAGGAACATAGCTTGACTTTAATATTCCTAATCCACAAATTAAGAATGCTGGCCGGTAGGTCCCATAAAATGCTGAAAGTCAATGATGAAGTATGAAATATCTGTGTGCATTTAGTTGTTTTTGGATAGTGTTCCCTCTTTTTGGATTATGAAACCTATCAAAGAATGACTCCCTTCTGCTACTGTTTTTCCTTCCTCGTCCCCTTAAATCCCTTTAATGAAGTCAGTGAAGAAGAATCCCTAGTTCCCTACACATGTAGTTGTTGCTTTGTGGTCAGTTGCTTAAGAGTTTTTTAACTTAATGTGTGCTAATGACTTTTTTTTTTTGTTAAACAGGTTAGTTCACATGAAGCAATTATATGTGTACTAGCTTCCCAGATTGCTAATCTTGGTGAGAGCATAATTGGTGCTGCACTTCAAGAGAAGGAAGGATTTAAATGGGTAGGTTCACGAAAAAAAGGGATATTTCATTTTTTTGAAACTATGTCAAAAATATGTTTAATCTTGCCTATTAAAGTTGTATACTTGGGTTTAATGTGTTTTTTAACTTTTTAAAGTTTAATAGACAGGATTCAAAGATCAAGTTCTTAAATGCCAATTTGCCCTTGCCCATAAAAATCAAATATTAGTCCAAATTCAAAATAATTTATGATACTTGGCAAATTTGAACAGTATGGTCGAGCTTGCCTACTTTGTTAAGTAGCATACGTGATACCAATCTATACGAGTTACTGTATGGTTTTATTATGTGCAAACCAAACTTTTGGATGAATCTTTTCTTGTCTGTGACTTGCTCAAAGCTGGATTACTTTTTTGTCAAGCATGTCAAGATTTGGTTCACCAGCATAGTCTGTATATCTGGTAGCAGCACTTACTTTTGCACTAGTTATTTACGATTATTTTATGTTTTTTGCAGCTTAATAATGATGCTGTCAATATCATCAACATATCAATGGGGAGTATCATAGCAGTCTTAATGCAGCAAGCACTCCAGATCTGGCATTCCTAAATTTGCCACATGATTTTCAAGGAGCTCAATCATCTGACATATTGGCCATCTTCATAAGGGTTTATCTAGAACACTGGTGGTATTGAGCATTGAATCTGTATTGATAACAAAATTATTCGTTTATTTGCCGTTGAAAATCGACTTTTGGATATTATACTCCTGAACGTTCAAGTGCCTTATGTGAAGCAGCCTCTCCTGCCACAAGCCTATAGCCGTGATTCATCTACAAGTTACTGTGGATGGAAGCCCGTCTCTCTGATCGTACTCAAGCATGTAGGTTGTTACAAAGTTTAATAGGAGTGGCAATTGAAACAACAAAACTCAATACCTGTAGCCATAAAACTCAATAACCTGTAGCAATGATTCAAGTTCCTTGTATCAAAAGCAGTGGTTCTTTCAAAATGTAGATTTGATTTTCCTGTTCTTCTTGTCAAGAAATTAAATAGTTTCTCCAACCAATTTCTATCTATCATTGTGCTTTTATTTGCCTTGAATTACTGGCAGCTGGAAGGGTAAGATGGGTCATCTAATTTTTCTTGCCATTGATCCATATTTTTTAATGCATGCGCTCACTGAAGAGCATCTGAAATGTAGGCCTTTAAAGTTGAAGAGTTAAGTTAGACTTCCATAATTGGATAGTTAATTTGAGAGATTGACTCTACTTATCAATGGCTAAGATGCATCACATTGCATTCTTAACTCTTTTAAGTCTCTTTTCAATGCTGAGTTACCAATTACATGTGATTTACATCGCCTCCATTTCAATGAAATTTTGTACTTGGAATATGAAATTCTTCTCTTGAATTTTGGGAGGGCAAAACTTAGATATTGTTGGTTATATTTTTCAACAAAAATTGATATTTCATGAGTGTCTGTTTTCATTTTAGTAACTAAAAATCGGTAGCGATTAATGTGATTATTGAAACGAAGATTTTGACCAACGAATATAAGTTTTTTCTTTTGGAAAAAACAAAACAAATATTGAATTCAGTTGCCTCTTATTAACTTACCTCTCTCCAGCAGCCCTTCGCATCGAACCACTATTGGCAGTCATAATGAACTTCTCGAGACAGTTGTTTGCAAGCCCTATTAATTGTGTTTACAAACTTTTGAATTATCTTGGTTTCATGAAATTAATTTTGATTAAAAATGATTTTGAATTAAAGATATTTATAGTTCAGAACTATGATTTTTAACTTCAACGTGAATATATTTCACAAAATTCTATTTGTCACCATTAAAGTATACAAAATTAATATTTTGATATTTTAAAATAATTTGTTTTGATTCTGTCTTTTTTTTTTAATCTCCTTTTGTTTTATTTTTATTTTTATCAATTGTAATAGTTTTTTTATTGAGTAAATACTCATTATACTTCTTTAAACAATAAGTGTCAATTAATTATTTTAGTTTTTAACTTTACAAAAATCTTATTTTAATTCTTGACTTTACAAAATGGTATTCATTTTTAATATAAAATGACAAAAATAAAATTAGAAAAAAACTAAAATGAGTGATTTTAAAAAATATTAAGAATTAATGTGGTTTTTTTTTTTTTGTTAAAATAAGGCAAAACTAAAAACAAATTACTAAAACAAGGCATTTATAAAACATTTTTCTGTAAGATATTTTTTGTCACATTATTTTAAGTGTTGGTCTTTAAAGGGCTAACACTTATTTTCTTTTTAATAATAAATAAAGTTGATAAAATCTTTAGTTGCATCGGCCTGATCACATGCAACATTTTCAGTTAACATGGATATGAATTAATAAGGGTATGAACTAATTAAAGAGAAATTGAATGATCAATGATTAATTATCCTATAAACTCTTTCACTCTCAACAATGTGTTTCTTATCAACCAATCCAGGAAGGAATCAACTATAACCATAAACATAACCAGTTGAAGTCATATCTTTAAAGAGGACAAGGGTATTGACATAAGGAGACAAGGGTATAATTTTTTGATTTTTTGAATTGTTGTTCTTGTCTTTTATGTAATTTTTTTATTACTCATATTCTTTTTCGTTCCTCTTTTGCAGTTACTTTGCTCATCTCGCTTTATTGTTAAGATTGTACAATTCTCACACTCAAAATTGAAACTTTGATTTAAATCATTTTCAACAACAGGAAACATTATCCTCCTTTGTCAAAATCGCAAAAAAGACAAGAAAGATGATTCAAAAAATTAAAGAATTCTACCTTATCCCTCTTGTGTCAAACTACTATTTGTTCTTTCAAAGACAACTTCAAGTGGATATGGTTGGCTCCTTCTTATATATGTTACTGAAAGAATATGTTGTTAAGAGTGAAAAGAATTTATAAAGTAATTAATTATCGATCATTCAATTCATCTTCAATTAATTTGTACCTATTGACTGAAAATGTTACTTGTAACTCTAACCAAAGGTTTTATCAACTTTAATTTGTTTAATAAAAAAAAAAACAAGTGTTAGTTTATAAAAACTAATACTTAAAATGATGTGAAAAAAATATTTTTTAAAAAATTTATAAATACTTTATTTTAGTAATTTATTTTTAATTTTACTTTATTTTGATAAAAAAAAACATAAATTAGTTAAAAAAAAATTATTACTAACGTGAATTAAATTACTTGATATTCTCACTTTTTGCAATCTAACCTTAATTAGTCAACTTGATTCATTAGAGTTTTATTTAGAGTACTAAAATGATGAATTACCTTAAACTATAATATTTTTTATTAATAAAAAACGTGTTTTTATTTTTAAATAATTTCTATATCATATAAATTTTCTTTAAAATAAGAAATTATAGTTTTTAATGCTTCTCCTATTCTATCATTGCTGCTTTTACATGACTGAATATACTAAAAATTAGAATGATTGATAAGCATATATATTAAAAATTAAAATAATATTTCTTTAGTTTAAGAAATATTTAATGAATTTGAAATAGTAGAAAGTAAAATGATTGATTAATTATATATATTAAATTTAAAATAATATTTTAATGAATTCTAAAAGTACTATTTTTTAATCATTGTACAATGAAAATCGTTTATCTCGAATCTGCTTACATAAAAAGTCAAAATCTTTTCGCAGCAATCAAAAAAGTTGTATCCGTACAAAAATATTCTTTCCTTATGCTAAGATCTTTTTATAGAATTTGGCTATTGTTTGATACGGCCTTCGCTCAACTCTTCTAATTCTATTATCTGAACCAAAGTACAATTTTCACACACAAGATAAGGGATTAAAAATGTTATTTAAATAATTTTTAAAGATAAACTTTAGTTCTCTTTCCTTTTATAAGTATGCTTTTTAAATAAATAATAAAAATGATAGATAATATCACTATAATAGTAATTTTCAGTGGATCGAAATTACATCCATCGTCATTGGCTTTGTTTTTCACGAACAATTCTTTTATGGTTATGGTCAAGATTTTAGCACGACCATGAAAATTTATAAAGATTTTATGATTTCGACCTCTCACTTTCGAATTTGGATCCTTCAACATTCCCAATACAATTTGCAATACTGCATCACGGCTCTTTATTTTATTTTTTTTCCCAATTTTAATTCCTGTTAAGTTTTTATGAAGCGAAAAAGGCCATGCAATTCAATATGCTAACAAATGAGATTCAAGGCACAACAGGTGACGTTTGCATGATTCAATAGTTAAATTTATGGCCCGCACATGTGGAATGTGACCACAGATGCCAAGAACAGTGTTTGTTTTGGTGTTTCATTCTCAATCACTCGATATATGAATAAGAAAATATGGGGAAAAAATGTTGTTTATATATGGTTTCAAATATAAGTTATACTGTAAAGGATTTTTTGAGTATCAAGGTTTGTCTGACGAAGATTTTTTAGGTAAAATAACGTTATCATATTAATGGCGTCGCTCTTTTATTCCAAGGAATATCGCTCTTGTAGGTCCTGCGGAGTGAGATTCACCACTGCCCATTCAGTTTTAGGTCTATGAAAATGATCGCATTGAAAAGGAACATATTTCAATGCATTTTCAGTTTTGTTTTCTGTGCGAGGGAAATTTTAATTCAAGTAACAAAGGAAACAAATATGAAATCCTAGTTGGTGCAATTTAATATATATATATATATATATTCTTAATTTCCTTCTCTTAAAAAGTATTTAAATTACATTATCCCCTCTTCTAAATATTATATTATCATTTCTTGAAATCTGAATTCATGTAACTATTTTAATGAGAATGGATTTAAATATTTTTTTTTCTCTCATTGTAATTCTAAACATCGTTGACAGCTAGTTTGAACCTTTGTTATTTATTTGGTGGTTTAGAAAGATAAGATAAAATATTTAAATAAAACTTCAAAGTGAATAGTATGTTTAAAATTTTATTTCATCGTCAAAGATTGTAAAATTAATAGGCACAATTTGACCATAACCCTTAATTTTATGAGACGATTCATCAAGGTGTTCAAAATTATCTGCCAGTGATACCTAGTTGGTGCATGTTTATTTAAGTTCATTTTTAAAAAATATATAGTTCTTAAAATTGTATTCTCCACTCTTAAAAAAATATATATATGTTCATAATTTATCCTTCCCACTACCAAGGTTCAATCAGAAATCAAAAGAAATAGAAAGATGTTAGCATTATCATTCAAATTAATAATCAAGTAGCTAACAGACATGGCATCACTTTCCATAAATGATGAGTCGTAAGCTCCAATTTAACTTAACCATGTGTCTTTCTCAAACTTATCAATGACTAAGAATAGAATAATTAAGACTGATACAAAGCACACACCCCATGTATAGCACCAAAGTCACCAAGATTATATTATGACCTTTTCTCTTACATGCACATTTTTAGCAAGGTAAACTCTAAATTATCACAATTAACTTTTCAGGAAAGATTCTTTTGTTTTTGTTGAATCATTCAAGCAATCCTTCTATGGCATAAAAATTACACAACTCAACCAATATTGAATCAGATCTCTATGATAAACAAATAGATGCATCTACACAGGATTCTAGAGAGGAAAAGAGTATACTATAGGACCAAACTTTGTTGTAAAAGCCTTTTACACTCCCATTATTTGTTGCTGCTTCCCTTAGCAAATTTCCAATGAGATGCACTCCCCAAGAAGAAACTGAGATAGCCAAAGTAACAGAACTATGTAGCCAATCAAATAAAGCCTAACTGCAAGAGGAGAGCACTTAGCATCATACCAGAAAACAAATAAAACCAATGTCTCTTAAGTTATTAAGGAAGGGATATGAGTAAGGAAATTAAAGATGCCTCCGGCGTCTTAAAAAATTGCTACTATTCTGAGGTTGTTGCATTTGAGAAAAGCATATGTCAGGAACAAACAGAACACTATCAGATAAACGTTGAGGGTCTTTTGGCCAGTATAATCCAGAGGCTGTAGGTGGAGAAGGGATCATCTGAGGAACTGTCCATGACGAATCCGGAACGCAATCCAAGTGGTCATCATCCTCCTCCATTTCCTCTTCGCTTGATCTTAAAACAGGAGAATCAGAATCCCCAAGTTTACCACTGTCAGCCTGCACATACTCATCAGGTGAAAAAGAAAATTACAGAACCATACAACCATAGAGATATAACATACAGATGCAAATATAACATATACCTATTTTAATATTCAAACTATGTACATGGTGAACAAATGAACAACTGGTAATGTGAAAATAATCAATTGAAAAAGAATTAAGATGCTAGCAAAAGGGTCTTGGTAATTGGAATGTTGAAAAACATGTGTGTTTGATGTGTCTATCAAGTAAATTATGTATGATAATTCCTTGCCCTCATGTAATATGAATATGGTTGCTTGATCATGGATCACCTTTGAGGATAGCCATTCCATAGTGCCACTGCAATAGCTCATTGTCACCTTTAAGATGTTGGTTAAAGTCTATTAATTTTTATAGCTTGCAATATTTAGTTCAGAAAGGAATTATGTTCCAAAGTGAAAGCCAACTGAACTGAGCATTGCACTTATAGAAGGTCAAGCTTTCCAAAGTTAAAATGTGAATAAAGGAAAGACAACAACAAAACACAAGCACTTCAATCAACCAAACTGTCAAATTCTGCTGTTTGAAATCTACTCAATACAACACCTTTTCTAACCACAAACGGGCACCCTATATATGAAACCTATACTATATTCACCACTATTTTAGTCATGTGACCAATATTTTAACAGCACAAGTACCCTCAGAAGACAGGATCAGCCCTGTCACAGTTCCTTCACCCTGTGTAAATGCGTTTGTGAGGAGAGAGTGAGAGTGAGAGAAAGGGGGTACTACTGTACAGTTAAGTAATCTATGATGAAAGATGAATCTGAACTCTGGAATACTGACCCAATAATTAAAAAAAAAAAATGTCATTAAAAGATAGAAAATAGGGGATGCCGAGCTATAAGGGTATTTTTCAACAACTATGAACCTACCCTTGATGATCCTCCCATGTAATTATAATTCTGACTGAACTCATTGAGGCCAATAAATTCATCAATCGTCCACTGTGAGATGTTTCCAGCTGTAGAACCACCGCCATAAGACACCTTAGCTGGTGGAAACTCCCCAACTAGTCCAGCATCAAAGGGTAATACTTCATTGTAATCTGATGGCTGGGGCATTGTGGAAACCTTTCTCGAGACAGATGACGACTTGGTATCAGAAATTTTCTCCCCAGAATCTGACTTCAAAGAAGTTGAGGAAGCACCAGGCTCTGTAGCTTCAAGGCCTACTCTTACACCAGTGAGAAGAAACCTCTGATGACCTGAGACATAAGTATTTGCAGTGTGTATTGCCAAATCACATTTTCTGCAGAGTAAAGCCCGATCCTCTAGACAGAAGAAATAGCCAAGTGCCTCCTGTAAAGAGTAGCAGACTCTACCATCATCACAAGCTGATCCCAAATGACAAACAGTTTGAACCCGTTTGAATTTAACCAGGACAAATATTAAGAAGGTTCCGATTCAACAGAAACACTGACAATGGATTCAGTAAAATAAAGATATTGCAGACATAATGTAAAAGTAAAAGCCAAAGATTTGCTACTTCCTGAGAAGATAAGCAACTAGTTTTCATGACTGAATGTAAGTACCAGAAACTACCATACTTAAGGGAATGAATTCAATGAAGAATATAGGAAGAAAAAAATTAATAATGAACATCTCATGCACCTTCCACTTGCTAACTTGTTTTGAAGGCAGGAAGTAGATTCTGGTCTCCCCCTTCCCAAAACCCAAAGTACAAAACAAGCACATATTCAAAGAAGGGGGAAGGAGGGTGAGGAATATATCCATGAAGCACAGATGTGAGAATGAACATGTCAAGAATATTGGATTTAGTACACAAGAAATATGATTAGAGTAGACACATGAATGGAAAGCATTGTTTACAACTAGTTATCAATAGTAGAACAGAAATTTTCACTGTTGCTAACACTAAATATCTATCATGAATTTAGGTTCAGTTCCAAGCATGTATGATATGTTTTAAAGATGCCCCATCATCATATTAATATTACATAGATAGGAAGCATAGGACAGAAATACCACCAATAAGCTTAATCTTGGAATTTATGGATGCAAGGACAAAGCTGAGATTGATAAAAAGGAATTTAACATATAAAGCTTTAAACAGGAAATAATATGTACTACTCAATAGCTAAAAATCTATGGTTGGAAGTCACTCAAGAGTTCCTAGTTATGCCCCGCCCTTAAATTTTTAATTTTTTTTTTCTTTCAAGTATTTGAGGTTTGATATTAAATGATAGATTCAAGTGTTCAAGTGATTTCAGGCATGATGAGTACGAGTGATGTAAGAGTAATGACTAATGACAAGGTGACAATGGGAGACTTAAAATTATCCAAAATAAAATAACACGAGGCTTTTCAAGATGAAGATGATATAATTATTGAAATCCAAAGCTTTAAAACCTGTATGGTTTGAGAAAATGTTTTTTAATCTCCATTTCTTATTCTCACTATCACTAATAATTACAAAATTATAGTCGTTTCACCATTTCCTATACATATATTTGAGAACAAAAAGTATAGAGAAAATAATGTAGCATTTTTGTATTTATTAGTGAAAGCAAGAAATGAAAACTAACATTTTTGCAAACCAAATAGACCTTTGAGACCTTAAAGAAACAACAGTTCGTCTAACGTGTGTCCAAGGAAGGAGCACACAATAAGAGCCTATAAATAGTAATTTTTTTATTGAAAATCACAAGATTTCCATGCATTATTAACATTGCTATAATTTTCAATAAAACTAACTATTTACTAATTTCTTAACATGAGACCATGGGAAAATATTAGAAAAACCAAATAAAAAAAAAGGAATGCTCCTTCTATAACGATAAAAACAGAATTTATTGCATCATCAAAGGAAAAAAAAACAAATTTATTGTAAATCCTCAAAATGTAAAGCATCAATAAAAAAGAGAAACTCATTTTTGAGACTATCTTTCACCAAAACTTAAGTTATATCCATTGTGCATGTTCTCCAACAAAATTAGTGGACACCATTTACAATCCATTCAATCAAACTTGAGAAAATTTACCCCATTAACAAAACCTGAAAGGATACATTTTTCACTAAACGTCACAAACTTAAAAACCCTATAGCAGCAGATCATATCATTGTTTGCAATCCCATCAGACACTAATAAAGAATAAACCTAATCATCAGCAAAAAGTTCTTACAATCCAAAACAAGTACTTCCATAAAAATCTTAACAGTATCTAATACAGTAATACATTCATTTAATCATACCCAATACTCTCTTTCCCATGGATTAATCACAGCTAATAGATTCCATAGAATAAAATAATCACCCTTCACCACAATCCCATCAAACCAAAACAAAGTAAAAACCACAAAAGCAACATAAAAAATACCTGACAAATGTCACATTTGGGCATATGAGAGGAAGAGGTAGAAAGAGGAACTCTCTGGTGCTTGCTAGCAAGCTTGTTAGCAGCATGAACCTTCTCATCACATTCCCAACACAAAGCTGCCTCATCAGCACAGCACAGAACCTTAGCCTCCGAAGCTTCACATACGTTGCACTGAATCTTCATCCTTTCTATCACAAGCGCAATTCTAGTTTCTCTTCCCCCACACCAAAGTTCCTTCCTTTCCCTAAAAAATCACCTCTTTCCACTTTAAAGTTTCAAACTTTACCCTCCAATCTAATGAAAATAATACAATTCAAAGAACCCCACTTGAAATTGGGAATAGAGAGAAAGAATAGAAGAGGTTTGAGGAACAAAGAAGCAGAGGAACAGGGTTTAAGAAGTGCGGAGAAGAAAGAAAGAAAATGAAGGATATTTTTTGAGGCCACGAAGTTCATGTACACGTGGCAGAAAACGGGTAGTGTCGTGGCATAGGAGACCGCCTTTGCTGGCTTCGGTCATGCTACTGTAAGAAATATAAATCTTAAAAAGAACAAAAATCTAGGATGTCTTTTATTTTTTTACACTTTCTGAAGTTCCTTTTCTGAAATTTTTGGCTGAAATTTTTTGGATAATAAAAATCTTACTTTTTTTCCCTATATGAGAACATTTTATCTTTATATTTTTGTTGATTTGCTGAGAATACATTTCCACTAATTTTGAAAAATGTTTTCAATTGTGTGAACAAAATGAGAAAGTACTGGGTTGTGTTATGCCGCGTTGTCCCCTAAGAAAATGGAATGGGGTTTTGGAGAATTTGAAAAGGGTGAGTTGAGGCCCCATGGTTTAGGCAAAGGAAAAGGGGAGACGAAAATTGAGTTTTGGCTTGAGTGGGATATTTTGCAGCACAAGATGCGATACACCATTGTTTTAGGCAAAAGGGAGGGAAAAAAATTATAGTTCAAAACTTGGATCTCAATGCGTGGAATGGATTGGAGCAGAAAAGGGATATTTTATTATATTGATATGAAAAATCAATGTTTCGATAGTTAAATCAAACTAAAGTTATTTTATAACACAAAAAGAAAAGATAGTTTAATCAAATGTTTCTTTAAAAAGCTTAGTATTATTTACCCTTTAATTTAATTCATCACAAATTATTTTATTATAAAATTATGTGTAGCGAAAATTGAATAGAGAGAAAAAGAAAAGAGAAAGATAAGAAAAGAAAAAGGATAAAAGGGAATAAAAACTTCTTTTGGGCCTGGTCTAATCAAGTTTAAACTAGGCCTGAAAATTGCCTAAAGCAGTGTCTAATCTTGAACTGGGGCATAGGCCCATTTATCGCTGCGGAGTGGGCTTCTTCTACTCTAATTACAGGTCCACAGACCAGAGTGTGTAGGCTCGTTTTCTCGGTTCCATTTTAACATCCGTTTTGCCATTTGAATGTTGCCAATCAATGTAATAGATTGGAAATAATTAATACATTTGCTTTACTACAATTGTGATCAGTTTAGAACGTGAATGAGTGAATAATAATTGGCAGAGCAGTCATTTCATTTGAGGTATAAGATTTTATGTAAAACTTTGGAGAAACTCCGTAGGGATCGGTCTCATCGTTAACTGTATTACCAAAAAAGGTTCAAATAGAGACATTGCAATTGAATTATGATGGATTCCTAAAATGTATAGACTCTCAGATTAATTCTTATCATTGAATAGTCGGACATTTTAGTCATTAAAAAAATAATCTATTACACTTAAACTTTATAAAATATCATTCATTTTAGTCTTTTTCTTAAATATAAAACAATAGTAAAAAATAAAGTAAAGAACTAAAATCAACTTTTTACAAAGTTGGGATTAACGTGGGATCCTCAAAATTTCAAAAATGCGAATGCTCAACCTATACAATCCAGCTTGAATATTAATTCAAGACTTTACTTCACACACATAAGCAAATCATTAAAAAAGGGTTCGCTTTTCAGTGGTAGGGCATTGGCATATTTTCTCGTGTGTATCGATTGCAAGAGCACGTTCAAAATGCCTTTTTTTTACTTCAAGAAAAGGGGTATAACAAAAAACCATTGACCCCTCCAAGGAATCGTATACAAACTGTCCTACGAGTGGCTAAAACAAGAGAAGAAATGCATTATTTACAGAAAAATGTCCTGGCTATCTAATCCCAGTTCCTACTTATGAAAATACTACCCTGTCTAGCATATGAGTAAGTCAATGAGATGTACATCAGCAGCTTTATCCCCCTCAATTTTAAAATCAATTCGGCTTCATACTTAGGGGCTGGATTTTTATTTGTAGCTCAACCTCTATGCTGGAATGAGACATTGGAAGCTTAAAGCCATGTCAGCTCATGCAGCCTAAATCTTTCATTGGATATGCTAATCCTCCTACAAATTCTGCATATTATCATGTTGCTATATAATTTACCTTAGTTTTTCAACCAATAACAACTGATGTGGCAAGAAAACTTTCAGAATTGGTGCTTTGGAAGATATCTCAATGATATCCCCATCTTGGATGGTATATTTGACATGAGAACCATCAACATATATCACACCCTTTTTACAAGTCCATGTCGTGTCCATTGTCTGCTCATGTTTAATCAACCCATGCATAAAGTCTGACAATGCCCCAGGTGAAATAGGCTCCCTTACCATGTACTGGAGATCCTGAGATAAAATGGGCATTGGAAATCCACCTGCAGAATGCATTGCAGCTGTTGAACCTGCAGCTGTTGAAACTCTAAGACCACTTGATCTGCAGTTAACTAGAGGGGAACATGGCTGATCACCCTTTGTGATTCTGCAAAAATACATGCTTAAATGCTTAATTCGCTTCTTTACAGAGAATTAATGCTCTGAGATGATGAAAATAAGGAAGAAATACATGAATCAAAGAGTTTCAATTTCTCATAGGGAAGTTTTTACCTGAAGGAGAACGTAGAAAGTGAAGCAGGACAAGGATGTGCAATTAAGATATCATTGAGAGCAAATTTTGACATGTGTAATGCATTAACAGATATCATGATCCTTGTTAACTCTGAAGGAACAATTTGACCTTCAAGTATACCATCTAAAACCTGAAAATGAATTTAAAAAATAGATAGAAAAAGTATTAATACTGGAAGCAGCTAGCCAGCTACAAAGATCATGTTTACAGTTGTTCAAGGTTCAATGAAAAGGGTGTAATGATGGAGATGAACATCAAAAGAATGAAAAGGCTAAACAATAACAATCACTAGATGGAGTTCATATGTGGGCCTTTGTAGCTGGCATTGAACCTTTATTTGGCTCAAAAACTTGATTTTGGATGAATTAAATAAAATCAAAAAATGGTTCTCCACTGCCAGTTAACTGAGCATCCAACTTTTTAGGTTGAATGGACCTAAAAGTTGACCAGTTCACTAGTGCCAGTCTGGTCCAGCCCAGTCCAGCTTTCATAGCAAAGAACAACCCCAAAAACATGTTTATCAATGAAGTTGCTAGGGATTATCAGATGTACTCATAAGTATGCAGTGAAAAGTTTATCTTGTTTACAATTAGATAGGGAAGAATGCCACAAAATACAAAAGTAAAAGCCACTTCTAATTCCTAAATAATAATATACAAGTAACAAATTTTATCTATTTTTTTATTTTTTACACTTTGTCCCAGTTTCACAATTCAAATTGCTAATATAAGAAAGGGAATGTTCCTCATAGAGTTCATATGACAAGGGAAATTCCCATTATTTGCAGATATGTACCAAGAGCATGAACTGTTTCACTAGAATTTAGAAATGAGCATTTAATGCCAAAGATTTGTCCAAAATTTGAACAATTTACATAAAAATAGAGTAACATATCAAGTATCAACAAGTGAATTTTAATTTCAAGAAATATCAAATTGTTTAGTGCATATTAGAAATTTATGAGCTTTAATTTTTGGAATAGATTCCCCCTCAAAAGATATTACCACTTGTGATGCAGGCTTGCAGTCATCAACTTATGGACTAGATTCTTATTAAATTGTAAATTTGTTAACAAAATTGAAACCAGCATCAAAGTTTTCTGTTTTCTTCTTTTAATCAGACAGCATATAAGTTGAGTGGCCAAAAAAGTATTTAAAAGGACAGAAATGGGTATTGATGCACATATGTAAGCCTTTTTCATCACATACAATTTGATTAGATGTACATTCTAAACCTCAAAGCATTCCTATCTTATTCCATGCTAAACTGGCCTTCACAGGTAAGTCACGGCACAATAATTAAATTGGTTTCACTGGAGTAATTACTGGTGCACCATTAGTGTCATCAAATTTGAACATTACAAGTTATTGCATATTCAAACTTTCATTCCACAACATGCTAGCTGCTATACCTTCAAGGCATAGAAAAGATGAAAAAAATGACTACTGCTGAAGTTCCATCTACATGTAAAGAATAGATAATCTTACTTGTTCAAAGTTTTCGACAGTTGCAGCACAAAGTTGGCCGGTGCTTCTGGTAGCATCAAACTCACTGTTCAACTGTTCCACCTATCATAAATGAAATGAGACCAAAATTTTACCATTTACCAGGTCAGGTTTGTTTTTTACTGGCATATGCCAAAAGATTATCAAATAAAATGACTAATCTCTGGAGTCAATGTTTTAACACTAAAACCAAAACTACATGTATATAAACCTCATCAATCTGAGTAGGGTCAGAATTCAGTCCAAGAACAGGAATTTTGTCATCCATAAAATGGCTAGCCTGCAGAAGAGTTCCATCACCACCAACTGTAACAACTAGATCCACATCATTGATGGGCTGAAACAAGTTGTTACGTCGCACAGCTTTCCATTCAACTGACTTTTTCTGCAGAATTGCTTGACAAAAGTTTATGGCATCATTGTGCACTTTATGCCTACTCTCCAAAAACTGTAAGATCTGCAATTTTCCCAACAGAATTCAAATTTCAAAATACACTAGAAAAAACTACAACTATGCCTAATAACCACATATAATGTAAGCCAAAAATCCTGCAAGGAAGCATCCCTTATTAAGTAAGATATTATGTAAGGGTCAAATTCCAGGGCACTTCCACAAGAACCATAGCATAAAATTCAGCTCACTCATCCTTTATGTATGTATATATATAGCATACCGAGTGAGAGCATAACAGGTAAGAGGAGTTAATTTTATCTGTGATTGTACGTTGCTCAGTCAAGACAGCTCCTCTAACAAGAGCATGCTCTCATCGAACATGATTCTCACTCACGCACGTGTGCACATGCACACACGAAGAGTTATTTTCATGATTTAGTTCATTTGAAATGAATTACAGCCCCATTTTAGCTTACTAACATAAACAAGCACCTAAGCATTGAGCATTTAACTAAAACTTTTCTAGGCTGAGATGAAAGTGGGAAAGAGGGAAATGACAATGTAGCTTGAAAGATACATACAAATGTTTGATCATTGTGACTTCCCACCTTGCCCGTTTTAGATTCCAACCAAGGACAGCCAAACAAACCCCACCACATTGACATTTTGTCAAGCAAGAAGTATGCACATGGGAACCGAGGTCTTCTAGAAGAAGACTCAGTAACACAAACAAAACCATCGCAAGAAGTGGATAACAAAGCATGTCAAAGAGAATATGAAAAGAAAAGGAAACAAACAAACATGGTGGATGCAACCAATATTAAGATTTGGGAAGAAGCCATCGAATACCTGAGGCTGAGGGTGGGTGTGGGAAGCTTGTGAAGATACGCTTAAAGGTTTTAGCAGCAGTAACAGTCTCTTCATCACCATTTCCTTTTACCTCTCTCAACTCTCCTAAAACTGTTTGCAACTAGCAATCCCAATAGCACAAAGTAAAGCACGCTCTTTGTGCTTGCTCGTAACAGAGTAAAATTTGAATATAGTCCATGAAATTCGTACTTATATTTCTTAAATTTAAAATTTTAGAATTAAGAATCATGTTAGTTCTTATTTTTAAAAAATATTAAAATTAAATAATAAAATAATAATTTATCACGTTCAACTAAGTATGACAATATATACAAACATTGTTTTAGAATATTTTAAAAATAAATTATTTTCATCTTTAAAATATGTATTATTCTTTAAATTAATTTTTTAAATTTAAAATTTAAGTTATTGAAATTAATAATTATCAATTACATTAGAGTAAAAAAAACATTAAAATTAAATAATAGATTAATTATATAAATATTTTTTCATGATTTTTAAAATTTTTAAGATAAAATTTCTACTTTATTTTTTATTTCATTTTCTTCTATGACACTTTTTTTTCAAAACTGCAATGGTGTTCATATTGCAAAACTTTTTCATTTAAATTTTTTTGTCTAACCTCAAGCATGGAAATTTTAGTGAAGGTTTAAAGTAGAATAATAAAAAAGGAAGCACAATAAGGACTAGCCGAGAAATTTTTTGAGTCGCATCATTGAAAAAGGCCTTGAGATGTGCAGTGACTTTAAAAAAATGTTAAATTTGAAGGTGATTTTAGTGGATATGAGAGTAGAGAAAGAGAGAAAGTTAAAAGATGAAGCTTGATTTAGTGGAAACTTAAGGTTGTTAGGTTGTGACTGAGAGAAAAATAAAATAAAATCTTGTGTTGAACTAAGGGAAGAATTATGGAAGAGAGGAAGGGGGAGACTAATTTGATGGAAGACGAAGCAAATACTATAGAAGAAAGACACGTCAATGCAGCAGCAATTGCTAGAAAAAGGAAAGAAGACATGAAGTAAAGTAAAATATAAGACAAGAGACTTTATTACTTAAAAATTTCAAAATTTAAAAACAAAAATGATATATTTTAAAAATATTTTAAAATAATATCATTTTATATTTAAAATAAATTGTCACATGTCATGTTAAATGACATATCATTACTTTATTATCTAATTTTAACGTTACTTAACAATAATTATTAATTTTAAAAATTAAAATTTTAAATTTTAAAATTAATTTTAGACATATTGCATATTTTATGAATTAAAGTGAAGATTTATCTCTTATTATATTTTTGTTGCATATGTATTATAATGTATCTGATGTTTATTATTGAAATAGATAGGTTTTACCATTTTAAGTGATAAAAACATGATTTTAAAAAAATGAATTTTCCTTTAATAAAGTTGTAGATTCAAGTGCTGTGAATAGATAAAGTTACTGTAAATCTTTTTATAATTTTTTAAGGGTGTAGATAAAAAATAACATTTTTTAAAAAATTATTAAAAAAACATCTTGAAAACAACAAATTAAAATGTAGAACTTGAACTCAATTAGAATTTACTAGTAAAACTAAAATAAAGTAAAATTTTATTTTATTTTAAATAATTTTTTTATAGATCACAAGTAACTTGGTTTGTTTTGTAATATTATCTTAGTTATAAGCTAAGTAATAATTATTATTTCAAACTTTATATTTTTGTGAAATTATTGAAAAAATAATGTAGAATGATTACATGTTATAATTAAGTTGAGTTTGGATGACATTCTAGATAAGTTTTTATAAAAGTAGAAAAATAATATAATTTTTTATAAGTTAAAAAAAATTATATTCTTATATTTTAGAGAATTTAAATAAAAAAAATTAAAAATATATATAACTTAATTTTAACTTAAAAAGAAATTGGATTCATTTTACTATTTAATAGTTTACTTATAAGTATTTGTTTAAGAAATTTATCTATTTTGAGCTTTATTTCTCAATAACTCTTGGCATAAATATGGCTAGAAGAATATAAAAAATTTTATGAAAAATTAGTCTTAAAAGTTCTTATAAAAATTCAACTAAAATAAAAAAAAATAAAACTTATTTTTTATCTAGTCAAGTCTAATAATAATAGGTGACTAAATTGACATATTTAACATTAACATCTTCCTTTTTCAATAATCATTGTTGTGTATTGTCTTGGAGCAACTTCTAGTACAATTTTAATATACTAATGCATAGATTTAAAAAAAAAAAGTATCAACACTTGACAAAATAAAGACTTGAAAATGAATAATGTGAGAATTGTTTTAACCTGTATTGCCATGAATAATGACTTGTCTTAAAACTTTTATTTTACACAAGTATTTTCTACAAACCTCCTTGAATCACCGTTGTTGTGAACAAAAGCAATTTTGGCACATCCAAAAGGTCCCTCAATGTTAGTATAAAAATTTGGCTACTAGTCGTGTTTGCTATTCAACTGTAGGCCATTTTATGTTTAAGAATTTGAAGTACAAATATTTCATTTTGTCAATCATATTTGTATTCGGTAAATATTGGGCATCAATATTCATTGAGTATATTTAGATACTTATCAAAATTATTATTATTTAAATAATTATATGCAACATATAAATAACTCTAATTAGACTAGACATGATTAAAGATATTACGGGTTAAATCTTAAATATTAACTAGATTATTTTTTAAAAAAATAACAAACTTTTAATAGATATATATTTCTTTTATTGAATTAAATATGCTTATCTTTACTTATAAAATGTGTAATATAAATTTCTCAAATTCTTTTATATTAGAGATTATACAACCATGTACTAGTATTATATTATTCATTTATATCATTAAAATAATATATTAAAGTACTCGTCTCTAATTTTAAAAAATTATCATATTTCATATTCGTATTCATGCAACATATTCACGAACATTCAACCTTCATTGATTTAGATCCTCGCTGATGGGGCTGAAAAGAAAAAAACATTTCTTTTACCTCTGAGACACATGGCTCAAAGCTACGAATAAGAAGGGTAAGAAGGGAGCCAAGGAAGTGTACCCAGGTGAGGATTATTGTCATACACCAAAGTGGTGAGAAAATGGTCGTGTGTGGTGCTTGCAAGGGGTTGATGTACGATATTTGTTTTCTTTAATATTGATGGATATTTTTAAAAGTGGAATTAAAAAAAAATTAACGTGAGCAAGGTATGAAGTAAAAAGAAGAGATAAAAAAAAAAAAGTAAATTTCCTAAAATAATTAATTGTAGCCCATGAATGCCTATTGAACGTGTGAATTGGATTTAACAAAATGTTGATTTAAAATAAGTTGAAAGCATCACCATCAAGTAATAGTAAAGTAACTTAATGAGATGCAACTTCTAATTTATATTGATATTCTTTTCTTTGATATCCATACTTAGAATTTATAAAACTTGTTTTACTTTCTTCATCTCAATTTCGATCACTTAACCTTCAATTCCTTGTAAGGAGTATTTAGTTGAGATAGTTAAATACGTATCAATTTTATGAAAAAAAAAAACTTCAAAGAATGTATCTTCATCCTAAAAGGAGATGTGGTAAATTGAATTTTAAAATTACCAATAATATGATCAATAAAAAGCTATATATAATTTAAAAAGCTAAAAAACAAATATAGTTGCGAGAACAAGATCAAAATAATTTTTCTACAAGATCTAAAACAACATATTTTTACATGTATTAATATTAACCTATTTTTTAAAAATTAATGATGTTTTCTCCAACAACTAGAAATATAAGAATTTCAACTACCATAAATATCTTTTAACACATTTATCTTTTAAGTTCTAATTCCTTCTCCCTCCCGTGTACTTAAAGTTCATTCCTTTATTAAATTTTGTTGTACATCTTCGTATAATATTAAATTACTTTTTTGAATTTTTAAAAATATGAAATCTAAAAGCAACTACTATAAAATACTTAAGTTACGTTTGATAAAATGAATTGAAAATTAAGAGCTTATTAATTATGCAACTAGCTTATTTGTGTAAATGTGTTAAATGATTTAAAAAGATATATAATATCATATTAATATAATATTAAAATTAATTATCACTTATTTTATTTATTTATAATCAATTAATTAAATAGTTATATAAAATAATAATATAATTTCTCTTTATATATATATATATATATATATTAAATATACAATATTTTAAAATATATTTATTTTAATATAAAATACATCTAGATAGAAAAATAAAGGAGCAGATAAAAATAAAAATAAAATTGAATAATTGTGAATGTGAAAAAAAACAAAAGACAATAACATTAACAAACATTAAATTATGTATGTGAAATTTGAATTATGAAATGATAAGTTGTCTTTTTAAAAAAACTAAAAAATAAGAATATAATAGAATTATTGGAATTAGCTTTTGAAAGTTAAAATATTATTTACTTTAAAAAGCTTTTAGGGTTTAGGGTTTTTAGTTACAAACTCTTTTCATTTTTTATTTACCAAACAAACTTTATAAATGTATTATCAAATTTTAGTCAATAAGTTACAAGTTACCTTACCAAGACAATTTCTTTTTCTATTTAATGCTAAACACTAAATAAAAATAATTAAGAAATACTCAACCATTTCTTCGTCTGTCCTGCACTACCCTCAAGCCTCCTTCTCTCCTTCAAGAGCTTGCCTTCCTTTCTTTCCTTCCATTTATTAGTTTTACTATTGTTTGTGCTATGCATTTAATACCCAAACAACAAACATATAAAAAGGTATGTCATGACTCAATAATTACTTATTATGTATCGTTGTGTTTGCATTGGTCTTCAATGTGCATCACACACATCTTAGGTTAGTCTTTCCCTTAAGAACCTATAATTGCTCCTGGACGACATCGTTTTAGTACTTCCTCCTCCATTCCTAAGCAATCCCTCAAACCCCAACAATGGAAAATGGGATAGTTGTTGTACATAGCCCCGTGTGAAGATTATCCAAAAGGCCATGCAGCACTGAAGAGGGTATACAACTGAACCATAGAACTTTTGAAATATGACGCTGCACAGATTTTTATGGAAAGATACTCTCACTCATATGTG